ATGGATCAGCCAAAAGGCAAGGGTCCAATTTTTCCAAAAACTTCACTCCTACTGTCACAGACTCATCTTTATCCAGACCGTCGGTGCAAACCTCGGGCTCCGAGAACTTCACCACACCTTCCACCTCCGATACTTCGCCCTCATTCACTTCCATTTCTCCTCCTGTCTTCAACTCACTCTGTTTACACTTTCTACCATTCTTCTTTAACAAACCATCTCCCTTTTTCCCGCCATTTTTAACTGGCTCAAGCTCACCCTCTTCCTCCCTCTCTCTCTTAGACCTCCTCTGCCTCTCTATTTCCCTCCATTCCTCCTCCGTATTCCAAGTATAACTCTCCTTATGATAGTACTGCACTTCTCCTGACATACATCTAGTTCTTGCCTTGTCTGGGGAAGAAATTTCTCCTCCAACTCCCCTTCTCTTCCAATTCCCCCACGTCCAATACGATAATTTGTACTGATTTCTTCGTTATGTAGACCCTCAAACACTGAAGTCAGACATGTTTGTTTTCCCATAATCCTCCTCTGCAGTGCCCGCCTCATGTGAGAGTTATCGTCTCTTCTAATTAAAAGTAAAGCAATTCAGTTGTCAGTGAGTAGTAATGGAAATTCATATGCTAAATAAAGTCCCCCAGCCCACCACACCCAAAAGGTAATATGATGGAAATGGATGTCCCTATACATTAAACCAAGCACCTTCTGATTGATGTTAAATACTAGGAGAGAAGGTGCTCATGTCATTAAGAGCAAAGGACTATGGAAGGGTGTTGCATATAGGGCTTAGGGCAAAGAACCCAGGGAGGTATGAAGGGAAGTGGTCCCTATGGAGAAGACTAGGCAGATAGATAAAGGGGTTACATTCGGAATTCAGGTGGGGGAGCCTTATTTGGGGGTTAGGAGTAGGATTAGGGTTGAGTCAGGATTTAACATAACTGTGGACATGAAGCTAGCGTTAGGGTTAGATGTGTGTGTGTCTGTGATAACTCTATATTTATTTGTGTTTTTAAAAAAATAATGAATTGTTTTCATGACACTCACTCACCCCTGTCGCAGAGTTACCCAACAGTTGCCACATATTTGCATGACAAGTTGTTTCATGACAAGTTACAACATATTTGCAGTAGATAACATGCAATTATGTATGCATGATGCATCAATATATATATCCTGAGTGCTATAAAAATGGTATGTACTTCATGTAGAGGTGTCACTGAAGTAGTTCCAACCCTGACTATGAATGTCTGAATCATGTATGTAAGCACTTTACTGTAATTGTGCCCTGTGTGATGAAGATCCAACCTTTCATCCATATGTGTAGGCCTACTGTCAGCTCAAAGGCAATAATTAGTTGACAGGTAAATACTGAATAAAGCAAAAGGACAGACAGATTTCCCATAGGAGGAGCTTCTGGCAAATAAAGACAGTATGTAATTTGCCTGCTGCTTGCCTGCTTTGCTCCACCTTGTTAGAGTTTTCCTTTCAGGGCGAATGGCTTTAAGAAGGCAATACATTCCCTACCTAGGGTGTTCGTTAATTGAGGAAAGAATCCTCCATCTTCTACTGTTGGCCTCCAAATTAGTGTTTTTAAGCAGAAAATCTATAAAGCGGGTACAATGTAGTCTTCATTCCCTCCCTGCTCTCCTGTTTATGTCCTCACTCATCCGTTACAACTCTCTCTCCATCTTTTCACTGTGCCCATTTTCCTCCGGAACTGCTCTGATGCTTGCACACCAACAAACAAAAACATACATTTATGGGGCATGCAGAAGCATACAGACAAATACAAACATGAATGCACAGACATGCACACATACGCACACTCTCTCTCACACACACACACACACACACATCAAACCTTTGGGTGAAGTTGGGTGAAGCACTTGTTTCCACTCCCGTCCTATTGCTCACTGTTGATAGAACTGAAAGATTGTCTGAGAATGACCATGGAAGTTCTAGAAGGTCAGTGATGCTGACAAGAGATGAAAGAGTAAGTCTGGGTAGTTTGATCTCAAGGCCAGACAGGTGACTAAAACTGACCATTCGCCACACCTTTCTATTCATCACGGTTTCTTTCTAAGCAATATATTCAACTGCCCTTGGTAAGTCAAAATAAAATGTGGGTAGTTCTTCAATGTCTTATCAAGGGATTAAGTCAACTATATAAGCGATATTTCTCCCTCTCTGGCACCTCTTGGTCATAGTAAGTCTAATGACTGAGCCATTTTGCACATCGGCCAACATATTGCAAAGCGTGAAACAAATTCTGAGCAACACTTATCTATACAGTGGATATAAAAAGTCTACACACCCCTGTTAAAATGCCAGGTTTTTGTGATGTAAAAGAATGAGACAAAGATAAATCATGTCAGAACTTTTTCCAGCTTTAATGTGACCTATAACATGAACAATTCAATTGAAAAACAAACTGAAATCTTTGAGGGGGAAAAATAAATAACTCACAATAACCTGGTTGCACAAGTGTGCACACCCTTAAATTAATACTTTGTTGAAGCACCTTTTGATTTTATTACAGCACTCAGTCTTTTTGGGTTAGAGTCTATTAGCATGGCACATCTTGACCTGGCAATATTTGCCCACTCTTCTTTGCAAAAGTGCTCCAAATCTGTCAGATTGCGAGGACATCTCCTGTGCACAGCCCTCTTCAGATCACCCCAGATATGTTCAATTGGATTCAGGTCTGGGCTCTGGCTGGGCCATTCCAAAACGTTAATCTTCTTCTGGTGAAGCCATGCTTTTGTGGATTTGGATGCGTGCTTTGGGTCGTTGTCGTGCTGAAAGGTGAACTCCCTCTTCATCTTCAGCTTTCTAACGGACGCCTGAAGGTTTTGTGCCAAAATTGCCTGGTATTTGGAACTGTTCATAATTCCCTCCACCCTGACTAAGGCCCCGGTTCCAGCTGAATAAAAAACAGCCCCAAACATGATGCTGCCACCACCATGCTTCACTGTGGGTATGGTGTTCTTTGGGTGATGTGCATTGTTGTTTTTGCGCCAAACATACCTTTTGAATTATGGCCAAAAAGTTCAACCTTGGTTTCATCAGACCATAAGACATTTTCCCACGTGCTTTTGGGGGACTTTATGTTTGTTTTTGCAAACTTCAGCCGGGCTTGGATGTTTTTCTTTGTCTTGCCACCCTTTGTCTTGCCACCCTACCCCATAGCCCATTCATATGAAGAATACGGGAGATTGTTGTCACATGTAGCACACAGCCAGTACTTGCCAGAAATTCCTGCAGTTCCTTTAATGTTGCTGTAGGCCTCTTGGAAGCCTCCCTGACCAGTTTTCTTCTCGTCTTTTCATACATTTTGGAGGGACATCCAAATTCTTGGTAATGTCTCTGTTGTGCCATATTTTCTCCACTTGATGATGACTGTCTTCACTGTGTTCCATGGTATATGTAATGCTTTGGAAATTATTTTGTACCCTTCTCCTGACTGATATCTTTCAACAATGAGATCCCTCTGATGCTTTGGAAGCTCTCTGCGGACCATGGCTTTTGCTCTGAGATGCAACTAAGAAAATGTCTGGAAAATCCTGCTAGAACAGCTGAACTTTATTTGTGATTAATCAGAGTCACTTTAAATGATGGCAGGTGTGTAATGACTTCTATTTAACATGAGTTTGAATGTGATTGGTTAATTCTGAACACAGCCACATCCCCAGTTATAAGAGGGTGTGCACACTTATGCAACCAGGTTATTGTAAGGTTTTCATTTTTCATTTTTCCCCCTCGAAGATTTCAGTTTGTTTTTCAATTGAATTGTTCACATTATAGGTCACATTAACAGTGGAAAAAGTTCTGACATGATTTATCTTTGTCTCATTCTTTTACATCACAAAAACCTGGCATTTTAACAGGGGTGTGTAGACTTTTTATCTCCACTGTATGTGCTACAAATAAGTTATGCCTTTGAGTAGACCTAGTAACTATACTGAACAAAAAGATAAATGCAACACGTAAAGTGGTTGTTGGTTTCATGAGCTGAAAGAAAAGATCCCAGAAATGTTCCATGCGCACAAAAAGCTTATTTCTTTGGAATTTTGTGCACAAATTTGTTTACATCCCTGTTGGTGAACATTTCTCCTTTGGCAAGATAATCCATCCACCTGACAGGTGTGGCATATTAAGAAGCTGATTAAACAGCATGATCATTACACAGGTGCACCTTGTGCTGGGGACAATAAAAGGACACTCTAAAATATGCAGTTTTGTCACACAACACAATACCACAGATGTCTCAAGTTTTGAGGGCGCATGCAATTGGCATGCTGACTGCAGGAATGTCCACCAGAGCTGTTGCCAGAGAATTGAATGTTAATTTCTCGTTTTAGAGAATTTGGCAGTACGTCCAACCGGCCTCACAACCGCAGACCACGTGTAACCATGCCAGCCCAGGACCTCCACATCCGGCTTCTTCACCTGTGGGATCGTCTGAGACCAGCTACCCGGACAGCTGATGAAACTGAGGAGTAATTCTGTCTGTAATAAAGACCTTTTGTAGGGAAAAACGTATTCTGATTGGCTGGGCCTGGCTCTCATATGGGTGGGCCTATGGCTGCGCCCCTTCCCAGTCATGTGAAATCCATAGATTAGGGCCCAATGAATTCCTTTCAATTGACTGATTTCCTTTTTGAGCTGTAACTCAGTAAAATCGTTGAAATTGTTGCATGTTGCGTTAATATTTTTGTTCCGTATAGATTTTATTTATTCAAGTGTAGAGGTTTGTGTTTATTGTTTTTCAACATATTTTAATTAGTTTGTACAATACATGAAAAAATCTCCTGCAAAAAATACAAATTATGCTTCTTCTGTTGTTAATGTTGACCTGGCACTGACAGTATAAAGGTGACTTAGAAAACCTGAAATTAAAATGAAGAGCGGACTGCACCGCATGGAGCGTGGGTGACATCTAGTGGCCAAGATATTTTCAGCTGGTATGCAAATTGTTGGATTTGCGCAGCCGCAGTTTGATACTCCCCGAATCGTCTAACCAGGAAATACATCACGGAAGTCGCTAGCTGACACTACGCTTTTAGCTAAAATAGACATGATATTGCGATTTCGAGAGGCAAACTGAGAAGCAGAATTCGGGGATTTTATATTGCACAAAATATGTACTAATAGACATTGCATTTGATAGGTAAAAGAGATGAGGAGACGTACACTGTGATCAACGATAGCTAGCCTAGCACCTGCCGACAGCTGTGACCACAATGTCCAGTCCACAAGCTACACTAACGTTACAGTATGAGAAATGCATCAACCGACGTTAATCTTCTTTAGCTAAATTCTCTTTCGGCTTTGCATCAGTTCTCGCTCCTCGGTTTAGAGGAGGATAGCGTCGCTACAGTATCTGCCTTGCACATTTCGTACTTGAAGGACTATACTCAATCGGCAGCATGTTTCAGAAGACCTCTTTCACGACGCTCATAGTCGGGGTGTTTGTTGTGTATGTTTTGCATACTTGCTGGGTGATGTATGGCATCGTTTACACCAAGCCTTGTGAGAACCCCAAATTCGAAAACTGCCTCAACCCTTATCTGGCAGGAAAACCACGACTCCAGGTTGGTATGCATCATTGAAGCTAGCTAGATGGAATGCAAACTTAGTCAGCCAGCCGTTTTGCAATAGCTAAGTGTGTGAACGTTTGCTGTGTTGTTGGTTTTTCCTCCATTTTCAGCTGAGTATCTACACTGCTTTACGACCCAATGCTGATGGTGGACACACCCTCATTCACAAGGAGGAGGACTTTGATGTGGAGTCCAAGTTTGAAAGGTGCAACTTTTCTTACAGTGACAGGATATGGCTGTATATATGTCCGTTGTAATAAGCAGGATGATCACCTATGGAAACTTTGTGGTAGACACAGTGATCTCTGGGTAGTTGCAGGATTACTTGGACTTCATATAAGCAAGTCATCCAAAACGGCTGCCCAAATTCATTGTAGATGGTTAAATGTTAACGTTGAACAAACAGTCAATAGACTATTTCAACCTGCGAAGTTGTACCTCTCCCTGCTATATCTATTTATCCCTTTTCCTAAAGGATTGTGAATGTGTCCCTCCCGAAGAAGACCCGTAAGAATGGGACGTTGTATGCCATGGTGTTTGTACACCAGGCAGGCATGTCTCCGTGGCAGGACCCCAGGCAGGTGCACCTGGTGACCCAGCTCATCACCTACATGATACCCAAACCACTGGAGGTCAGCCTGATCTCAGGGGAGGAAGCACCAAAGGTCAGACTACTATTACACCACACAATGGCTGCGTTCCCTAAATAGTGCACCATGGGCTCTGGTCAAAAGTAGTGCACTCTAAGCAAATAGGTTGCTATTTGGGATGCAGACAGCATGTACAAGAGCCATGGAAAAGCTCCAAAGCAAGTCACTCGTTGGTATCTATTTAAAAGCCTTCATTGTTAAGGTATGTCCATACACACACGGTGGCTTGCCTTGGAATCAACCATCCTGAATGGTCCCTCTGTAGCATGTTTGTCTACATAAAAATGTGTTACATTGGAATATCCTTCACATTGGAATGCATTTCTGTGGGGTACGTCTTTCAAACTGTCTTGCTGATTTTATTGTTTTGACCACTGCCCTTTTCTGCATTTTTCATTAGTGTTGTTTTGTTATTCACTTGTCCTTTTCTCTGATCTGTTGTTGTCATTGTGCCCAGTGCAGCCAGAGCAGCAGAAACGGAAGACTACTACTGGAGGTGACTCTGCAGTGGACCGGCCCGTGTCTCACTGGCGCTCACGTCTCACACTCAATGTGGTGTCAGAAGACTTTGTCTTCGACAGGGACTTCCTGCCCAGTGACGTGCACCGCTACCTGAAAGTGTAAGCACACGCTTAGCACAGCACTTAGCACTCATGATACAATCTAGCCCTTGACCATGACTCAGTTCCTTTACATTACACATACAAGTAATTGCCGTCTTCTCAAGGGGAGGGGGTTTGTTAAGATCCCTGACGCTCGGTCTGAACATTAACATGCATCGCTTGCGGTACAATTTTGGAAGCATAAGGACCTTATCTTTCATATCAGCAAGAAATAATAATAAAAAAATTTTTAAAAATGGTTTAATTGATACACACATTGATAGGGTTAGTGTTTCCACATGGCCATATCATATCTCCATGTTATAGCTCTTCTTTACGGAAAATAGACTAGAGGCGACCACCTGTGTTAATTATCTATCTAGCATGCACTGAAGACCTGTGTGTAAGCGTAACTCAGGAAGTGTAGCGGAAGTGTAGTTTCGTCGGATGGAGCTGCATAGCTGTATGGATCTGTGCAAAACTGCTACAGTAAGTATATATTTTTTATTTTAAGGATTATTTTTTCGCTAATGAAAGATAAGGGCCATATGTTTTGAAAAGCCGTATCGCAAGTGATTATTATTGAAGTTTCTAAATGTTAAAACACAGCGTTGGGATTGTAGTTCATGATGCAGTCGTGGGCAAAGCTAATGGCTGAGAACTGTAGGGAGAAGGCAGAATGCCACCTAGAGTTTGAGAGAGCTAGATACAATCCAGAATTGAAATTCATCATACACTTACAAATAGACACCTGGCACTAATATACAATACACAATACAAAAATGCCTTTATTAGAAACTGGGTGGTTCCAGCCCTGAATGCTGATTGACTGACAGCCGTGGTATATGAGACGGTATATCATTGATGGATTTTCCTTGATTGTTGTACTGTGTTCAAGATTTCAAAATGGAAAAAAGATGGTGTACCTTCCACTGCTGTTTGTGGATGAGCTGAGCAACCGAGTGAAGGACTTGATGGAGATCAACAGCACCAGCATTGAACTTCCTCTCACTATCTCCTATGACACCATCTCCCTCGGGAAACTCCGCTTCTGGATTCACATGCAAGATGCCGTCTACTCCCTGCAACAATTCGGTGAGTAGTACCATGGAAATATAATTCTATGGGTGACATTTTCGTAGTGCAAAAGAATTGTGCAAAGTGCAAAAACTACAATAAACCTCATCATAATCTCGCAATGAGATTTAATTGGTTTGTTTGTTGTGATTTCAGGCTTCACTGAGAAAGACGCGGATGAAATCAAGGGCATATTCGTGGACACCAACCTGTACCTCTTAGCCCTTACCTTCTTTGTAGCTGCCTTTCATGTAAGACTAAAGTCTAACTGTTCCATATAGATTAAGTGACATTCATCTTTAATGGATGATTCTGACTCACAGGCCTAAATCAGGGATGGACAACTTTGATGGGGGTAGGGGCCACATAAAATCTGAAATCATCATGCGGGTCTGCCGGCCCTAGCAAATGTTGTTGCCACAAGAGAAAAACTTCTGATGCACAACCACATTTTGAAATAGCACCTTGTGTATTCTAATTCTCAATAGTAAATTGAGACCCCGACTGATTTCCTACAAATATTTCCTTTGCAGCTCCTCTTTGATTTCCTGGCCTTTAAAAATGACATCAGCTTCTGGAAGCAGAAGAAAAGCATGGTGGGGATGTCCAGCAAAGCAGGTGGGTTGATTTCTCACTAGGATGCTGTTAGGCAGGGTCGGGGTCAATTCCAATTGAAGTTAATCAATTCAGGAAGTAAATCGAATTTAGAAGTTAAAAAAAATAAATAGCTTCTCCTTTTCAGTTTATTGATAAATGATTGAAAATAAATGCTATTCTTTTTCAATTATTTAATTGGAATTTCAGTTTACTTCTTGAATTGACTGACTTCAACTCAAATTGAGCCCAACCATGGCTGTTTTGGATGGATGGTCTTCTCTCTGTGTGCCCTGGTTTGTCATCCAGACAAACTGCAGATACCTGTAGTCACATTGGTGGGTGTGTCTTAGTTCAAATGTCTTAGTGTGCTGATGTGCCATATGATATGCGTTTGGTTCTATAACTGATTGTAACTGACAGCTAAAGTTGTGTTTAAGGCTATAATCCAAATGGTCACCAATATGAACTTGTATTGCTCTCTCACGTTAAACCACAAATACAACCGACGTTGTGGCTATTCAGTGGAGTTGAATATAACATATATGCCTTTGTGTGTGGGATGATATGCAATTAAGCAATAAGGCCAGAGGAGGTGTGGTATATGGCCAATATACCACGGCTAAGGACTGTTCTTTGCACGACGCAACGAGGAGTGCCTGGACACAACCCTTAGCCGTGGAATATTGGCCATACATCACAAACCCCCGAGGTGCCTTATTGCTATTATAAACTGGTTACCAATGTAATTAGAGCAGTAAAAATAAATGTTTTGTCATACCCATGGTATACGGTCTGATATACCATGGCTGTCAGCCAATCAGCATTCAGGGCTCGAACCACCCAGTTTATAATTGTGTATATAACCAATGGTTGACTATTCTTCTTAGGCCTGTTTATGTTATGTTCCTTTTCCAGTACTGTGGAGGTGTTTCAGCACCATTGTGATTTTCATGTACCTGTTTGATGAGCAGACCAGCCTGCTGGTCCTCATTCCTGCTGGAATAGGCTCCCTGATCGAGGTACGTCTCCGCACATGCTGTCAGTGGCTGTGTCCCAATTGGCACCCTATTCCCTATGTAGTGCACTGCTTTTGACCAGGGTTATGTCCCAATTAACTCTCCTTCCTCCCAAAGTGTGCACTTGTTCACTAATTCACTTATTTGGAAGGAAATTACAAGTATAAGATACAGTGAGCTCCATAATTCATTGGACAGTGACCATTTTTTTGTTATTTTGGTTCTGTACTCTAGCACTTTGAGTTTGAAAGGATACAATGACAATGGGGGTGAAGTGCAGACTGTCAGCTTTAATTTGAGGGTATTTTCATACATATCGGATGAACTGTTTAGAAATTATAGAAGCTTTTGTACATGGTCCCCCCATTTTCGGGCATCAAAAAACATTGGACAGTTTAACATAATGTAGAATAAAGTAATCATTGTTAATATTTGGTCGCATATCCTTTGCATGCAATGACTGCTTGAAGTCTGCGATGCATCGATATCACCAGACGCTGGGTATCTTCCCTGGTGATGTTCTGCCAGGCCTGTACTGCAGCCATCTTCAGTTCCTGCTTGTTTTGGGGACTTATTGCCTTCATTCTCCTCTTCAGCATGTAAAATGCATGTTCAATTGGATTCAGATCCGGTGATTGACTCGGCCAGTCAAGGATTTTCCACTTTTTGGCCATCAAAAACCCATTTGTTGCTCTAGCAGTATGTTTAGGGTCATTGTCTTGTTGCATGATGAAGTGCCGTCCAATGAGTTTGGAGGCATTTGGTTTTATCTGAGCAGATAAAATATTTCTGTAGACTTCAGAATTCATTGTTCAACTTCTGTCTGCAGTCACATCATCGATGTGTCTATTTGTAAGTGTATGATGAATTTCAATTCTGGATTGTATCTAGCTCTCTCAAACTCTAGGTGGCATTCTGCCTTCTCCCTACAGTTCTCAGCCATTAGCTTTGCCCACGACTGCATCATGAACTACAATCCCAACGCTGTGTTTTAACATTTAGAAACTTCAATAATAATCACTTGCGATACGGCTTTTCAAAACATATGGCCCTTATCTTTCATGGGCATTTCTTTTTTTTCTCCACACTTTCCTCTTTCCATCACTCTGGTACATGTTAATCTTTGTCTCATCTGTCCACAATACTTATTTCCAGAACTCTTGGGGCTCTTTTAGGTGCTTTTTAGCAAACTGTAATCTCGCCTTTCTGTTCTTCAGGCTTATCAGTGGTTTGCATCTTGTAGTGTACCCTCTGTAGTGCTGCTGGTGTAGTCTTCTACGTATGGTAGACTTTGACACATCTACACCTGCATCCAGGAGAGTGTTTTTGATCTGTTGGGCTGTTGTCAGGGGGGTTTTCTTCTCCATAGAGAGTATTCTCCGGTCATCCACAACAGTGGTCTTCCTCGGTCTACTGGGTCTTTTGACATAATTGAGTTCACCGGTTGTTTTTTTCTTGTTAATGATGAACCAAACTGTTGACTTGGGCATGGCCAGGGTTTTTGCAATGTTCCTGATTGATTGATTTTCATTTCTGAGCCTTATGACGGCCAGCTTCATTTCCATCGACACTGCTGTCTTCCTCATGTTGTCACACCCCAACAACAATCTCCAAAGGCAATAGCAAAGTCTAGAATCAATACTATTCATCAACAGCTCTCCTGCATTCACTAACGACACAAATGAATACACCTGCCTAACGACACACATCTGTGAAGCCAATTTAACAAATACTTGTAGTACCTTAAAATGGGGGGACCATGTACAAACGGTGCTGTAATCTCTAAACTGTTCATCCAATATTTATGAAAATACCCTCAAATTAAAGCTGACAGTCTGCACTTCACCCTCATTGTCATTGTATCCTTTCAAACTCAAAGTGCTAGAGTACAGAACCAAAATAACAAAAAAATGGTCACTGTCCAATGAATTATGGAGCTCACTGTATATGGTGGAAACTCCACTAGTAGATGCCTCCATCAATCCAAGGCTTTTAGATTTGTGGGAAGTAGTGAACGAGTGCACTACTTGGAACGCACATCAGGGCTCTGGTCAAAAGTAGTCTGCTACATAGGGAATAGGGTGCCATTTTTAACACAGACAGTGTTTCCCTAAATTCTTCTCCATTTGCACAGTTACTGTTGTTCATGTTAGTATAATATCTGACCCCATTGGATTTTGCCAGGCATTTACTTTTCTCAGATTGAGTCGATTTTCTTTTTCTGTTTGCTGCATTTAGTGTACTATTCAGTGATTTCTGTTTGCTGCATTTAGTGTACTATTCAGTGATTTCTGTTTGCTGCATTTAGTGTACTATTCAGTGATTTCTGTTTGCTGCATTTAGTGTACTATTCAGTGATTTCTGTTTGCTGCATTTAGTGTACTATTCAGTGATTTCTGTTTGCTGCATTTAGTGTACTATTCAGTGATTTCTGTTTGCTGCATTTAGTGTACTATTCAGTGATTATCAATGTTTTCCTCCTTTTGTAGGTTTGATAATCCCATCATCCGATGTCCTGGTTTCTCTAATCCGCTATGTTTTAGATCCTTTTAGATTATTGTGTCCTTGTAGATTATTGCACAATGTCCTTCCGTGACTCGTAAATCACTCCTGACTGGTTTCTGTCCCTCTACAGGTGTGGAAGGTGAAGAAAGCCTTTAAGATACAGATTATCTGGAAGGGTGTAAGACCAACGTTCACAGTAAGTCTGGTTTGTTTGTAAAGATATGTTTTTCAGAGTTCATTTGCTCACGATTACATTTGTTTTATGTTAGTTCTATATGCATATCAAGTGTTTGTCTCACCACAGTTTGGGAAATCTGACGAATCAGAGAGAAGGACTGAAGAGTATGATACTCTGGTGAGACTTGCTATATATCCTTTTTTGTCCATAAAAAACCACCAAACAGAGTAATTGTTCCTTTCTCCTCAATTTGTATACAGTAGTATTGTCATAAATTGGATCCATTTGATTTTCCTTGCAATGTTCTTCTCTTCCCAGGCAATGAAGTACCTGTCGTATTTACTCTACCCACTGTGTATTGGAGGAGCTGTTTATGCCTTAGTTTTTTTGAGATACAAAGGGTAGGCTATAACTTTATTGTCTGAATATTAACAGTTGGATCTACTACAGCAGGGATCATCGACTAGATTCAGCCGCGGGCCGATTTTTTAAACTTGAGTGGATGGTCGGGGGGCCGGAACATAATTACAAAAAATGTGTAGACTGCAAATTAACTGCAAGAAGCCGAAACAGATATAATGTTTGACTAAAACATAATAATTTCAAACATTGCTTACATTTGTATATGATCACGTGTCTCTCTATTATGCGTGGGAATACTTGGGAAAATATTTCTTAAATTAAAATAACTTGGAGCTGATTTCCTGGTGTTTTTATTATTATTATTTTATGTTTTTGCTCAGAAAACTTTTTGGGCAAATAAAACCACCCGCAGGCCAAATTCGGTCCGCGGGCCGCCAGTTGGGGAACCCTGTACTACAGTGATGGGCATACTGTAGTCGTTTTTTGGGGAGGGGGCAATTATTACTTTGGATTAAAAACAACCCCAGGCTACACTTGAACATCTGATACCTGATAGAAAGTATGTGGACATTTTAATGGACCTATATATTTTGAAATAACTGCCCTTTTTTATGGCCTGCAAATTGATTTTGACGAACAAATCGGTCCAAAAAAAAGAATCGTCCCTCGGTTGCATTTCGAAATCCTAATCTGAGCCTCTAAATGTTGCCCTCACCTGGTCTACTACACGGTGTGTGTGTTTTGAATGTGTAATAATGTCTCCTCTGCTTTCTGTTTGACAGTTGGTACTCCTGGATCATCAACAGTTTAGTGAATGGTAAGGTTATTGATCTTATCCTGAGGCCAGCATGATTTGCCTTAATTAACTTTTTCCACTGGGGCTTCCATACATAAAAATCTATACACACATATATTATGATTATTATTAATATTATTATATTACTTTTGAAAGCTAGATTTATTGACTTTGATGGTTCCTTTTTTGACAGGAGTATATGCTTTTGGATTCCTCTTTATGCTACCTCAACTCTTTGTTAACTACAAGGTCAGAGTCGTTATACTAAGTACTAGTGCACATGTCTTCTGTTATATTATTCATGAGGGTAATGGCCAGATGCTGGTGTCCATATCGATAATTCTCTTGTTTCAACAGTTTAAGTCCGTGGCACATCTACCCTGGAAAGCATTCATGTATAAAGTGAGTGGATAATATATGTATTTGAGAGATTGTCGGGTTTTACACTAGATGTTAGATGTCTCGGAAATAGTTTAATCATTTAAAGGACAATTATAGTATGTTTACCGGTATGTGTAGTAATTGTTGCAATGAAACATACATACATCTATCAGAAAATAAAGACATCATAATAATAATAAGTGGATAAGAATGAAACTGAGGTATGTTGATAATAGAAGTTTAGATTTATTGCGTCTCATCTTGTCCATCCCCAGGCGTTCAACACCTTCATCGATGACATATTTGCCTTCATCATCACGATGCCCACCTCCCATCGGCTAGCCTGCTTCAGGGATGATGTGGTCTTCCTCGTCTACTTGTACCAGAGATGGTAAGGCAGACACACACACACTGCAGTTTCCCTAAATTGACTGTTGCAGTTTGTCAAATGAGTCATTTGTAACACTATCTCCAATGCATAACAGAATATCCTCAGATTGACTGTCAATTTGTTTACAACAACCTTTTCCCACCTATTTTCTCTCCTAAGGCTGTATCCTGTTGATAAGACCAGAATGAATGAATATGGACTGTCTTACGACGAGGAAGAGAAACCCAAAGGGAAAGTCCATGAAGACTAAAACTATAACTGATCACACACGCTGCTCCTGCGAGCCAAGTGTAGAAGATGGACCTACACGTCGCTGTGCTGGGATGGGGTACAATGCCAATAAAACGCATTGGTGTTATTTGTCACAAGGTGGATTTTCCTAGTAGGGAAGGTTCAGCTATCCTTACTGCTCTCCTAAGCCCCTCACTTACATGTAGTCACATCCTTGCCAGTCACCACCCACCCAACCTTAAACAGTACCTACCCAGACCATTGAATACTTGAGTGGGCTTTCCTAAGCAATGCGATGAATAGCACCACACTGGTTGAATTAGCCACAGCTGCCACCAGTTGAAGGAGCATGGACCAAGCCATGATTGATGTATAACATGATTGGTGAATATATGTTTGTCTATGGGATAGGACCAACTCAGTCCCCGTCCAGCCTCCACCCCTGCCTGCCTGCACCTGTTTACCCCATCCAACATAAAAACACCTTAACCCTACCTGGCATTTCATGTCATGATGTCATCAGGAGACACACTGACTGATGTCAACAATCTGTTTTGTACACTTGGTCAAAGCGTCCAGAATTCTGAGCTGTGTTTGATCATCCAGAAGAAGATCTCTGCTTTTATGTTTGTATTTGACCTTGTAAAGTATTAGAACATGAAGACCATGAGATGATGGTGCCAAATATGTGCTTTTGAATGCGAAAATGTGTGATGATCAATTTTGTTAATTGTTATTAAAGCATTTGATAATGTTTGATTGTTTTGGTGGAGTTTTTTTAAAATTTGTATTTACAACACATATCACACTAACCAAACAACAAAACACACCACATGTAAACACGACACATTGTTCTCTCTCATCCGTCTAAATCATTTTAAGTCAAAAAGGGACATTTCTATACTTTTCTTTTCATATCACAATATCATCCTAACCAGAAATCTAAATAAGAATGTTCCATATATAGGAGGGCTGCAACGAAATTAAAAAAACAAGAAATGAATAAATAGGTACTTCATATTATGATATGAATAATGACAAAGTTGGAGTCATGATAAAATTGCCAGCAGCTTCTCATGTACATGATTTGTGTGAATTACACATTATTGATTGGTATTATTACATATTATAAATAACATAAAGTTCCCCTTTTTTCCTTTACTCCAAGACAGTAACTTTAAACTTGGCCCATATTTCTTCATATTCCTTTGACTTTCCATTTCCAATAGTTTTCTCAAATTTGACAGTCTTCATTGACAGTTTGAGCCATTCTGCAAATGAGGGCGGCTTATCCTCTTTCCAAGGTCTTAAAATGACCCTTTTAGCAATTAGAGTTAGTGTCCTGAGCATGGAAGCATTTGGTGTATTTTCTGGGAGGTTAATGCCCAGCAAGATAAAGGCTGCATTTGTGTGTAGACAGAATAGTATTTTCCAACATGCTTCCAACTTAGGAGTTTGAGCAAATGTATTAAAGAGACTTCAGGAAAGTGTAGTAAGGATATTTGAGGCAGAAATTCTATTTCCTTTTGTCAGCAATTCAGAATTGATTGTCATTTTGTCTATAAATTATTTTTACACATTGAAAAAAAACCTGTTCATAGATGAGGAAAACTAAAATGATCTAAGACACATCTGATATGCCGTGGTCTCTCTTTTTTAAAGGGCTTGGCAGACTAATTGATTAAACCCATAACTGATAAGACAGGCAGTGATTGATAATTTATTCTATATACTATATATATACTAACAATTTTAGGAATGTCTCATGGTCTGAGAAACACCGCTCTAGCTCTGCCACCTTTCACGGATTGAAACACATCCAATGCAAAAAAACAGATATCTCTAGCTTAAACTAACTAATTTATGGTTACTTGAGCATGATGCAAACAATTCACAAAAAGAAACTAAGATGGGCTAAAGTAAATGTTTGTGTTTGAGCACAAAGCATTAACTACAGCATGTGACAGACATGAACCAGTTTATCTGTCTGTCACCTGTCTGTCATCAGTGGGAATCCAGTCCCTTTCTAAGACCTGCACTACCAGCACACACCTCCACCAGCATCAACCTAGGAGGCTAAAATACAATTTATACTTGATCCGAAAATGTGGTCGGAGGCGCTGTATGGATGGTGTGACGCAATTGCGGAGCCTTGGGAGGCAAGCAGAGGCCAAATTGAACTCCGTACCACATCGCTGTGCGCCTCTCAAATGTTTTAACAACGAAGAGGGCTCTGTATAGCTCTGCGTTGACATGATTGGTTGACGGTAGGTGAGGGTGGGAGGTCCTGTATAAACACAAACTCACTTCCTTGACAAATTCCTTCACAACAGCTCTGCGCTGCTCCGCGAAGAGCAAACCGTATGTTTGCTCTGACTTCTGCGGAGGCTGCATAGCATTCAATGCAGTATGGCCAATGCAGACGTCGGATTGACCATGTAGCGCCTTTAGGGTGGAACCAGGTCGGACTGAACTCTGTAACTTCAACGGTCTAAGGAGAACAGAGAAGCTGAGCAACAGGAAGTTACGTCCAATCTGGCCTGGTTCTGTCTCTCTGAATTAAGTTTTCTAAATGAATGAATATGAGTAACTGAAATAAATATGTTCATCTCTGGTGGTGGTTTTATTGTTGTTCAACCTCTTTCATTTTGGATGCTGAAGAAATGCAGTGGTATTTTGTTCAAAGGGTAAGACACTGACAGATGGAATGTATACAAATATGTTCTAGCGTAGATATAAGATACAATCATTTTATCATAAACACACCCTAGAGCCGGACCCGGAACATATAATTAGTTATGAATCAACACTTGGCAAACGTTTGACATTATGTCTCGTTCCACCAGTTTCGAAAGTAATGATGATGGCCTTGTAACTAAGAGACAAACACAAACACAGGTGATGTTATCATACAGAGTTTCACCCTGCTTACTGGTGTCGGCTGGTATCTCATACCTGTGTAAACTAAAGGTATGATAGACATGATGAAAGACAGACAGAGAGACAGGCAGACAGACAGACAGCAGGACGACATGCTGCTGTTCATTGAACACTGCAAGTTTTAAGTGGCTTTAGACATTCAGTTACAAGAACGAAACAATATTCAAATGAACAGAGGGTAGAAATAGCAATCAATCCACCCAAAAAGAATCAATCCAGTGCTTGAAAACATAAAAGAAATAGGTAATATTTGACTGGAAATAACTAATCACAGACACCGCTGCCATGGGCCCAACATGTTGTGTTTATATTTTTTGTTCAGTGTATTAAAAGAAGGAATTGAGAACCAGTTCTCATTTACAATAACTGCCTGCATGCTGAACCATGACCTTGTGTGATATAATGATGCTCCTGCTATTGTTTCAGTGACACCTATAATAAGATACATCTCTGAACCACACCATATTGTCATGTGTTAAGAGCAACTATCTCCAGGCCGATACTTCAAGGACAAAGGGAAGGAGTGTCTCTTCTAGATCTTTCTTTAGAGAGTGTCCCAGTGACCCAAGGTGTCAGAGGTGCTGCCACCACGGAGCCATGAAAATCATCACTGTTTTCCTCCTTCTGAGCTTCTGCTGCCTTTTCTCAGGTAAACTGCTATTCAAATCTATTAAATAGTTATTTCCAATCCGTGGTGATGATGATGATCTCTGGCATATGGAGTAGTTTACTATTCTGATCTTTTAATGTCAGAGCTGCTGTATTGGTTTATATCATGTTACTTAGTTCTATAGGTTTTAGGTCATTTCATATGAATTCATATGTTATAATGTGACTACTACAACAAATACACTCATTTAGGGCTTAGATGGAGTGCCAATTCCATTTTTTAGCTTTTTCAAATAATGTTTTATGTTTCATCCTGATATTTCTCATACTCAAACCAAGTTGACAGACCAACTGCTCAGCATTCCATTGGACTGTTGAATGTTTATGTTATAGCTGAAACAAAAACAACATTCACTACCTGTCACCTGTTGCTCACTGAATATTCTGGAATACTTTTGGTCATTCATGTTTTTGTCATTTGCCACAGCAGTTTCTAGAAATTTGGAGAAATATTATTTTGTTACTTTGAATACTTTTGGTCATTCATGTCCTTGTCATTTTCCACGTTCATCAATTTTGAGATGTTTTGAGAAAGATTATGTTGTTGTTCATATTTAAAATAGATGCTCTGAAGTGCTATGTGTGCAGCTCCACCACAACCAATGACGCATGCAACCAGTCATCCCAAACCTGCCAGGCACCCCTTGATACCTGCATGACCACTGTGGACACATTTGGTGAGAGTACTTGGAAACCTAAGTGACACCAGTTACAGTAGCCTAATAGGAGTAGAAATGCATCGATCCCATGGAGACGGGAATTGATAGGTGAATTAATAAATGAAAAAGTGGAGCATATAGCTTATTTCTTTGTATGGTAGTCTATTCCAGAAAAAATAACCATGCCTGGTGAATAGATTTGAGAATTTAGAAGTGAGTCAATATATACAAAAATATACTGTAAATATATAGTAAATAATATAATAGTAAAGATGCATGATTTCCCTTTTCCATCCACAGGCAAAATAAAGGCCATAGTGAAGTATTGTGCCAGTGCAAGGACCTGCAACGGAGCATCGTCAGGGGCCTTAGTGGATGCAAATGGCAATGGGAACCAAGTCACCTGCTGCTCCAGTAACCTTTGTAATGTCAACGGGGCGACTGGTGTTGGGCTAAGCACACTACTGACTCTGGCTGTGTGTTGTAACCATGCTGTGCTCAGCATTCTCTGGCTGCTCTGAGAATGGATGACCTCATAGTATGGGGAAATTCAGACATAGCCTGGCTCCAGCACAATAGGCAACAAGTTCACTTAATATTTACAGTATATTTTATTTACCAAACGAATACAGCTCTCATATATATTGTTATATCTTGTTTGTATTTATATTGAATTACTGTGACAATGTTGTGCAGTAATAAAAGCTATTTCTTGTATTTATACGGCTTTGGCTGTGATAATGTTTTGTATTGTGTCAAATAACTGTGGTAAATGGGTTTGGTCCTATGTGAAGTGTATAAACAAAGATGAATCTTAAGTTAAAAAAATAAATAATAATAAAGTTAGCTGGTTTTATGTTTGCTCTACAACTGGTAGTGATTTGCATTGACTCCTCCCATATAAATGACGTCTAACAATATATAAACTTATGTCCCGCCCTTTCTCAGTCCCTTTCCGCTAAAATCTAAGTAGGAAGTCAACGTGCCTAAGGTGCTCGGTTCTTCTCTTGAAGCTAAGGCCCTGAATCCGGCGACTAGCACCACTAAAATTAGGCATCCGACACCAAAACTATAACATCTACATAGAAAGATGGCATCTGTATCTGAACTCGCTTGTATTTACTCTGCCCTCATCCTCCACGATGATGAAGTCACCGTCACAGTAAGTCCCGCTTACAGTATCCGCTTAAAATGGCGCCTTGGCTGGCCTCTGTAGCTAACCAGGCATATTTGGAAGACTGGTTCTTATCTGTAGTGTCTAAGTGAATACGAAGTGATAGTACGCCAGTTTTACATAATTGCAGGTAGTTGTCCAAAATGATAGCTTACTAGCCGTCAATGTCACTAGCTAGCTAACATGCTATCAGTTAACGTTAGCTAACATGAGTTAGCTAGCCGGTGCCGCAGCCATCAGGAGTCTTCTAGTCTAGTCAACAATGTGCTGTTGCTGGAGCCATTGCTAATCTAGCACGCAAACTAGCTAACCCCGGTGCCTTAGTCAGTTATGTTTATGGAAAATTGCTAGCTAACCAACGTTGACTATTCGGCACATTATTTGCCCACACCTTGATATCTTCTTGGCGCTAACGTTAGCATGTTAACGCTGGTGAATGGTCACATGTGAATGCGATGAAGGCAGCCAACGTTGGCTGGGGTTTCTTCCCACTTCTTCCCACTTTTGGCTTTTACCAGCTAACTTGTACTGACCTGATAAAGGCTAAACAACACCAGCCTGATGGTAGTTTTGTCTTCATGTTTGTAGAGGTCTGTGATGTGTATTCTAATCTTTCCCCATGTGTTTGCAGGAAGACAAACTGATGGCTCTCATCAAGGCTGCCAATGTGACTATTGAGCCTTTCTGGCCTAGTCTGTTCTCCAAGGTGAGTCTGAAGCCCTTTTCTCCAGCACCTTACACGCATACAACAGGGTTATGCCTTTGTAATTGGGGAAATCTGCTGCGGCTTTTTACATTAGAATTTTTTTGTTATCCATTTTTTATGTAACACTTATTTTTCTTAACTGTGTTGTTGGTTAAGGGCTTGTAAGTAAGCATTTCACTGTAAGGTCTACACCTGTTGTATTCGGTGCATGTGACAAATACAATTTCATTTCATCCTCTGTGGAGCTTCTCATTTATTCCTTCAGTGTCATCCACATATTCCTTCATATCAATGGTGTAAGACCTTCTACTAGGTTACTGTTGTGTGTGTGAACAGTTTTTTATCGAATGGTGATGCCACTTAGTTTCTTTCTTGGTGATGCTCTGACATGTGGTAGTCATTCATATGTAAAGGCTACATTGTCTGACCTTATCCTGCTTCCTGTATGTGTTACAGGCTCTGGCCAGCGTGGACATTGGCAGCCTGATCTGCAACGTGGGTGCCGGTGGAGGAGCTGCACCTGCTGCTGGAGGCGCCGCACCTGCTGCAGAAGCACCAGGTAACAGAAGCCCTGTTCGGACAGGACTAGTATTACTAGAGCCGTTGGTTATGTAATTATTACCCCAGCATGTGCGTTATTCCAGAGAGATTCTCACAGCCTTAGTTTTTCCAAACCTCCCCTTGTAATTCATTAAAAAAATATATGTTTACTCATGACGGAAACCTGGAGGTTTTTATTCTAGGTGTGAATATATTAATGTCTAGACCATAATAAGCTACACTGATAACTCGTGCTTGGTTGCCAAATGTATAGGGGTCCCCATAATATTTAAATTGAGGAAGTGTGATCATAATCTTTATTTTAGCGATCCACTTTAGACGTCCCTCATGAAAATGCCCCCAATCCTGCTGTGAGCTTCTGAACAGCGCACTGCACTTGAGATGCGTTATGGATGGAAGTGAACTTGCCATTTCCAAAAAGTTAAGCTCAGTGGGGAATCGGGGATCCACATTTAGAGCCCAAGTCTCATTAAATAGGCCTAGGCGCAGTACCTTTTTTGCACATTTAATTAAACCAACGCATTTGGCGATTAACTTCAATTCATTAACACAATGTAGCTTTGTTGACGGGCCGCCCCAAGGTGGTAAGGGTAGGCAACAACACATGCCACGCTGATCCTCAACACTGGGGCCCCTCAGGGGTGCGTGATTAGTCCCCTCCTGTACTCCCTGTTCACCCACGACTGCGTGGCCAAACACAATTCCAACACCATCATTTAAGTTTGCTGACAACACAACAGTGGTAGGCCTGATCACCGACAACGATGAGAGAGCCTATAGGGAGGAGGTCAGAGACCTGGCCGTGTGGTGCCAGGACAACAACCTCTCCCTCAATGTGAGTAAGACAAAGGAGCTGATCGTGGACTACAGGAAAAGGCAGGCCGAACAGGCCCCCATTAACATTGACGGGGCTGTATTGGAGCGGGTCGAGAGTTTAAAGTTCCTTGGTGTCCACATCACCAACAAACTGTCATGGTCCAAACACCAAGACAGTCGTGACGAGGGCACGATAACACCTTTTCCCCCTCAGGAGACTGAAAAGATTTGGCATGGGTCCCCAGATCCTCAAAAAGTTATAAAGCTGCACCATCGAGAGCATCCTGACCGGTTGCTTCATCGCCTGGTATGGCAACTGCTCGGCATCAGACCGTAAGGCGTTACAGAGCGTAGTGCGTACGGCCCAGTATATCACTGGTGCCAAGCTTCCTGCCATCCAGGACCTATATACTAGTCGGTGTCAGAGGAAGGCCCAAAAAATTGTCCGACTCCCGTCACCCAAGTCATAGGCTGTTCTCTCTGCTACTGCATGGCAAGCGGTACCGGAGCGCCAAGTCCTTAACAGCTTCTACCCCCAAGCCATAAGACTGCTAACTATACCTACATGTACAAATTACCTCGACTAACCTGTACCCCCTGTATATCGCCTCGTTATTATTTTGTTATATATATTTTTAAACTTTAGTTTATTTAGTCAATATTTTCTTAGCTCTTTCTTGAACTGCATTGTTGGTTAAGGGCTTGTAAGTAAGCATTTCACTGTAAGGTCTACACCTGTTATATTCGGAACATGTGACAAATAAAAGTAGATTTTTTTTTATACGTTTAGGCCATTCATATTAAATATATGCACAGCACTTGTTTTCTTGCTCAAACTGCGTGCAGCACCTGTCAAACTCTGTAATGTTACACTCCTGCCATGTAAAAATTGACATTGCAGATTTGGACGGGACTAAAGTTACATATGTGATTTGTGCTCGTGCACATAATCCGTTTTTCTCACACAGCCCACCTGCCCTTCTTCCGACACTAAAGCTGCAAGTTGGAAGCAAGACGCTTTTTCGTAGCAATTAAGTAGTAGATTCCCAAATGCCCAATAAAAATACAAGTCATTAAGCTGGAATTATGTAGTAATGCGAATAGGAAATGTTTGTTCACCAGTAGGCATGTCCCAGAACTCTGCTCATCACTACTCAATTTTAGTGCATGAAAAAGCACTTGAATTTGAATTGCCACTGTATGTGCGAACCCTGAGCATGGTCTCCATGTGAGCCCGCGCTTACTACTATCAGTGGTTTAAAAACTGACTCCCATGTGTGATCACTTCCTGTTACGCCCACGACAAGGATTCAGACCACCTCTGTTTCAAACATCTCTGGCGCCAGCAAGGCCGGAGATAGTGGCATGGTTTCCACTAGAGCACTGTCCGGATTTTCAGGGCATCAAGCAGTGACTGGTGTTTATCCCTTTCCCTTTATTTGCCCAATTTGTCTAATGGGTTTATTACACCTCATTTCTTGGCCTAAATCAGACATTATGGTAAAGTCAACTGCTTAGTGGTCATTTTTGTGAATTAAATTACAGTTTTAACTTGAAGGATATTTCTTGGTACGTGTACTGATGCCATACCTTGTTTCCTGCATTACAGCCAAGGAGGAGGAGAAGAAGAAGGAGGAGAAGGAGGAGTCCGAGGAGGGTTCCGATGACGACATGGGCTTCGGTCTTTTCGACTAAACCGGTTTTTGTAACAAATAAAATCAAAGAAACTGAACTGGCAATATTTGTAGTTTCCTTTGAGCACCTTTAATCCCATGATGCACTTATTGTACCAAACTGAATCCCCTGTGAGGAATGGTTTGCCCTGAAGTCATCTACACCTGTCTGAAAGTATGGCACGATATCACCCATTTTATTTTACAGCACACAAGGAAAACAAACACTTCTGAAGACAGAACGATACATTTTATTAGTTTAAGGAACTGTACAGGTTATTCTTCCTGAGAATAAGTTATACCCAAAACGAGCGGTTTGATGAGATTGTACACATGGTAGGGACATTAAAGCCTAACAGTCTGGAGAGGCAGAATCTGTAAAGCTGGGTCAAATGAAAGACTTGACGAACGGGACTACCTGAAGTTGTCGAATAAGCTTGTTTTCCGTTGCAGAATGTTTTGCTACGTGTGCCCTATTGAATACGACCCAGGTAAAGAAGCAGAAAGGTTTAACTTGGGGCTCTATTCAATCCGTATTGCGGAAGTTCAGCGTTACTGGGGCGGCAGCTGGCAAGTCGCTCTGGGTAAGTGTCTGCTAAATGACGTTAAATTGAAATTTAAAGTCAATGTTAGCACAGGCTGCATTCATAGTAAACACTGCATATGTCAGCTCAATCTGAAAATACCTTTACTATTCTGCAATCTTAACGCTTTATTGATACAGATTGAATAGAGCACCTGGTTTAAATATACAAAAACTGTTTCAGTGATAAGGGAATGGCTAGCAATGGGACAGTGTTTTTTACCATAGAACTGCCAAACTATTGGATGATTCAAATCATTTGGCACATGATAGTTCATCTTCACTGGAATTTAAATGCGCCTCCCCCTTATGACAAAAAATAAGCCCCTCGTAACATTTCAATCCCAGAAATGCAGAAAAATATATTGATTTGTATATTTACTGTTAACTTAAAGTGGCATGTGACATGTTTGATAAAGAAATATTTTTTTTATATTTTATTATTCACTGTCCAGAGGTGCCTGAGTCTATGTAAGAGGATGCCAAAATATATCATTCTAGTCGAGAGTGTTGGGAAGAGCATTATATGCTGTGATACTGTAGGACAGGGAAGGTAAGTGTTTAACACAGACATCCCAACCATTGATCTCAGAAACACAATGATAACCATTGCCATATATAGATAGCTTGTAGTTCTTCAATGGTTCAGATGTTCCAGTTAGATTTTTATTATATTTCCACATCTGTGATAATTATTAGCCACCTGGAAGAAGAAGACGTCTGACGTAAGCTGAAATTCATCTCTGGATAAAAAAAACATTAGCACAAACGAGACGCAGCCAAATCTAATAAAACAAGAGTTTGTATGTAACTGATCTCAAAACATCCAAGGATCCTGGAGTGCAGCGACAGACAAAACAGAAGTCTATAAAAAGTTTTTAGGAAGGGGATGGAAGGGTGCGATCAGGTCGAGTGACCACTGTCTCTGTCCTGCAGTATCAGGAGCTCTGATCGAGGTGTGAACTGAGCAGTCTTGACTTGTGACATTGTGCGGTCTATGATTGCTATGGGAGCTGAAACCAACCAGCCCTATTTCCACAGCACCAGACTCCCTTCCACTCTGTTATATCCCTCTCCCTCCCCTCGGAGGTCTTCCATGCCCAGGGAGCTAGGAGCCGGAGGGGGCTAGTGTGATCCCCGGGACTGGGCATGGATCATCTTGAGCCGGGCCTGGTCGATGACGTCTAGCAGGTTCTTGGCATCCACTGCCAGGGCATGTGCGGCCGTCAGCATCTGTTTCTTGTAGTCCTGCTGCAGGCTGGTGAGGACGTACTGCTGGGCCAGCTTCATCTTGTTGATCAGCTCGGCCAGGTCAGAGTTCAAGAGCTTCTGGGCCATCTCAATCTGCAGATGAAGAGAAAGACAGGAGTTAAAGAAAACACAATAGACAACTGGCTTTCAGTGTTAGATGTTTTTTGAGGCAAGACATAACTTATTTTGTCCTCAGACACAATAAATAGGACAACAGTCAGAGGCAATATCTTGATTTGTAATGAAGAGTTATCACCTCTCTGTGTGTGCTTGCTGGTAACACTGGTATGGTCTCGTCCACTGTGGCCAATAGGGTTCTCAAAGCTAGTCCCACCTCCTGTGGTAAAAAAAGAACCAGGATATCACTAATATAAAATAAAGATGCAATGGCTTAGAAATCAGTGTCCCTCGACAGGTGAAATAATATCCTCTTGAGGAATGATCACCAACATACAACATTAATAATCACGATGACGATGATTCAACAATAAACTTTGTCCTTCATCGTTCATTCATGTCCTCTCTAGCTCAGTTTGTAGGGCATGGCGCTTGCAAAAGCAGGACAGTGGGTTTGATTCCCGGGACCACCATTATGTAACAAATGTATCCACGAATGACTAAGTCACTTTGGATGAACGAGTCTGCTAAATGGCATATATTATTATTATAGCCTTACCTTGACCATAGGGACGTACTCCTCTGGAGGGGCTGGCTGGATCTTACTGGACATCTCTATAACAGCCTTGACCAGACCCGTCACATTCTCATACACCTTGTCGTTGGAGCGGTCCAAGTTGGCCGTGGGGGGAGGGCTGATCTCCTGAGGCTGGATCTACACACCACATAGATGAGGATGAGTTGGTCCACATACAACATAGTGAGGGAAGTGAATCTATCTCCTTCAAATAATTTGAGTGATTCTACGGTGAATCTATGATGATAAAATGTGTGATTATGCTGATCTAATGGGACCCAATTGAGTGTCGGTGTTCTAGAGAAAATAAGCTAGGTAATTTTGTCTGACTTGATTTTTGATGAGTGCACAACCAGAAGTGTCCCATCTATCCTATTCACTGGAACCACGAGGTGGCGTAAAGCTAAAATGGTTTTGTTTCTGTAACCACTAGCCGCCAGCAATTTATAGATTAATCATGTAGTTTACAAAGTGAACACTAGATGACAGTATTTGCCAGAATTCCTGTAGCTCGATTCACAATATGAGAGCATTCAATCTCTGAACATGGTTGTGAATGACGTGTGATGAATTGGACAACCCAAAACAGACAAGTAGACAAACACACACACGCATGCCACGGTCCAGAGAGGAGGCAGATTGTGGTGTACTATAATCTACTAAACTACAGTTAGTGATGGTAACTATGACTACACAGCCCAACATGCATCACACCATACCACAGGGAAGAGAGTCATCAATGGAGGCCTACATATATTTATTATTACTCCCACTAATTGATTTGACATTAGTACTATGACTGACAAAAGAGCCAATACAGTAATTTGGTCATTACTGAAATGACTGCCACTGAATACTAGGATGATTTGCTTTGTTTATGGGTTTAAGCCTCACTGGTTTTAGAACATGAGCCTGGATGAAGTGGCCTCATCCGGAGTAGTCGCCTCTAGACACTGATCTAAGACCAGTTTGTGTTGCCCCCTCTAATGGTTACGGTTAGGATTCAGGGAGAGTAAACTGATCTTAAGGCCAATGCCACTATCCACTCGGCTAAGAAGGTTTGATGACTCCTGTACAGTGGTAGAGAATGTGTTATTAGAGCGCTCCCTAGTGGTCAGACAGTAACTGACAAACACAGAGCTCTTACCCTCCAGGGCTAAAGGGCAACAACAGTAGGTTGGTGCAGAGGCAAAACAAGGGAGGGCGAGCGGGAGGGAGAGGGGGATGCAGGGAAAACAGAAGAGAGAGAAAGGATTAACACTGCAGAACAGAAGGCAAAAGGCAACGCATGCAATGCATCAACACAATACAAGCAGATAGGGTCGTGTTCATTAGGGCACACCGTTTTAAAACACTTAGCAATTGAAAAGTTCAGATAGTATCTCCTGTTTCGAGTGATAAAGTTCTGAGTGCTAGTTGGATGTTGCACTGAGAAAAATATCCAAATGCCTGAACTCTATGGTATTCGGAGTTGCTGTATTGTATTGTTCATCATAACGTTAGCTTTCGCTGGGCGAACTGAGTAGTGAGTCTAAAACCTTTGATCTAGCATTTGATCCAGGATCATGATTAAAAGACAGTGAGAAGGGAGCTTTGGATTTCACCGGATTCTGTCTTGTTAGGAAGGACTGTGTTTTCCTTGGGCTTCTCTATACTCCACTGTATTACAAGCCTCTGTGTTTTAATTAGGTTTTATTTTCAGAGCTAGAAGAAGAGAGGCCTCGCTAAGGGTCTCCTTTCAAACTGTCTGCCTGGAAAGTTATGAGAGAGAAAAAGCACTCTGTTCCAACAGTCTTCATTTCACTGGCTTCTCTCGAAATGGACGGTTGTTGCATAACTAGGATCCAAAATAAAAGCCCAGAAAGTGTGGTTTACCGTGGGGCTTTTTCTGGGCCAGCTTGGCAGCGTCTGTCTGGGTGGGGCTGTGTGGCAGAAAGGTTGTGACCCTGGCGGTGTAGGGGTGGATGGTGGGGTCAGGGTGGGATGATTTTCATCTAACCCCCCCCCCCCATTTTTTGGGACAGTCATTGTATATTTTAGATTCTCATGGACAAGCATGATGCTGGGTATGTATAGTGCATTCAGAAAGTATTCAGACCCCTTGACTTAATAAGGCTTTAACGTAACCAAATGTGGGAAAAGTCAAGGGGTCTGAATACTTTCCGAATGCACTGTACATGTAAGCGTATATGCTAGTGTGTTCTAAGTGCAGATAAGTGTATGCATGTGTGTCTTGTGTAAGTGTGTGTATCCACGTGTCTTTAGTGTGTATTTCTACATCTGTCCATGTCTCTAAGTACTATCTCTGTCAGAGAGATGGGCTTTGGGTTGGGCTAGCCTTGCTCTGTACTGTCTGAGACCTGGGAGGGAGTGAGAGAGCGAGAGAGCGAGAGAGAGGGAGCAAGAGAGAGAGAGGGAGGTAGAGCGAAAGAGAGAGCGAGCGAGAGGGAGAGCGAGTGAGAGAGAGGGCTTCAGAGCTGAGCTGATCTAGGAGCCCCATTCTGTTCTGTTGACTAGGAGCAACTTTACCCGCCTGGGCTCCTGGTGAACCAGGGGAAATACTGACATGTTTTCAGAGCTTTTCCGTCCAGATCCCCATCTGCTCTGAATCTGGCTATAGGTTCAAGTTCTCACAGCTCCTGAATGAACTGGGAGGACATATTTTATGTAAGAACTTATAAAAGGAACTTGTGATGGCCAGGTGAGAAATAGAAAGCATGCTTGAAACAGCTGCAGCAACTCATAGCAGTAAAAAGCACATGCATTGTCTCAATATTGAAGTAATGGTCTCTTTCTCATACAACGTCATGGTGGTGGTTCAGGCTCAGAGTTTTTCCCTGACCATGTGACCTAACCAGGAGAAACTATAGGCCCTGCAACTCCTAGGTATGAGTCATGTAGCCTGGTCCCAGATCTATTTGTGCCGTCTTGCCAACTCCTAGACGGCCTCCTATGGGAGTTGGCAAGATAGCACAAACAAATCTAGGACCAGGCTAAACCAAGCTATGGTTTGTGTAATGCTGACCCTGGTGTAAGACATTAAGACAGTGTTGTCTTGGTGATGTGTTGCTGTAACGGTGACCCTGGTGTAAGATATTAAGACAGTGTTGTTTTGGTGATGTGTTGCTGTAACGGTGACCCTGGTGTAAGACATTAAGACAGTGTTGTCTTGGTGATGTGTTGCTGTAACGGTGACCCTGGTGTAAGACATTAAGACAGTGTTGTTTTGGTGATGTGTTGCTGTAACGGTGACCCTGGTGTAAGATATTAAGACAGTGTTGTTTTGGTGATGTGTTGCTGTAACGGTGACCCTGGTGTAAGACATTAAGACAGTGTTGTCTTGGTGATGTGTTGCTGTAACGGTGACCCTGGTGTAAGATATTAAGACAGTGTTGTTTTGGTGATGTGTTGCTGTAACGGTGACCCTGGTGTAAGACATTAAGACAGTGTTGTCTTGGTGATGTGTTGCTGTAACGGTGACCCTGGTGTAAGACATTAAGACAGTGTTGTCTTGGTGATGTGTTGCTGTAACGGTGACCCTGGTGTAAGACATTAAGACAGTGTTGTCTTGGTGATGTGTTGCTGTACCTTGACCCCGTCGTTGTAGCTATCTACAGGGTTGAGGCTGGCCAGACTGCCCAGGTGGCTGGGGGCTCCAGGACGAGGAGGCTTCTTAGGAGGGGCCACATGCTCTGAGAGGAGAGAGAGAGAGGGAAGATAGTTAATGTTTGTGTGTGTGAGAGTGAGTGGAGAGCGAGAGAGAGTGTGTGTGTGTGAGAGAGAAAGAGTGTGAGACAGAGGACTGTCACTTTGTGAGTATCAGAACACACAGCAGATAGATAGTTCACATGTGACAGATTGTGCTGATGATGGTCTTACCTGGTTTCCCCAGTCCCACTGGTTGGTATATGTGTTGGTTTCCTGTCTGAGGGGAAAATAGAAACACAAACCAGTGATTAGAAAGGCACATTGTCACTTTTCTGGCTGGCTGAACGTGCTTTTCCAACAGCACTCAGGATTAGGGCTTCCCATGGCCCAGTCTGTGTGTTTGTGTGTGTTATTGTGGGCACTCTGTGGGTAGCAGCATTACATATCTCAGACCTTCTGAGGCACGCAGCCAAATACATCCATGTTTCACCCAGCTACATTTCTCCAGCTCCTCCCCAAAACCCTCTTCTTCTCTCTTTATTTTAACACACTCTGGTGTTTTCTTCTCCCCCTCGCATTCCGATGCTTCCTCTTCTTAGAGAAGAGACCCACTCAGCCCAGTAGAGTTCTGTAATTACTGTGTAAATGGGTTTGGTTGGTTTGTGGGGGCTCTACAGCTGACGCCTGTTTTTAAAGATTATCCAGCAGAGAGAGAGTGAGGATGTCACGAGAAACGCCTGGCTGTAGCCACAGTATAGTTCCCAACCTCCCTAGACCCTATACACTTCAGCGTAGGGGGACTGGGGTGGTTCAGATAAAGCACTGTGTCTAGCTAGCCACGACATGCAGTGCACTACTGAGGTCTACGCTATGAAACTCAGACAAACTGTATTTTGTATTATGATTGAAATGGAAAAACATAATAAATTAATTGGTTTATTGAAAAACAATATTTCCTGCTTGTGTGTGTGAGAGTGTGTGTGTGTGACAGTGTGCGTCCTGCTCCATCCCTCTGGGGGTATGAACCCAAACAAGCGGTGGGCCATGGGAAACTCACCGGCCCTTGGAGACTGCAGTCCTCCCGGTCAATGCTGCCCCGCGAGTTCCTGGATTCTGGCTTCTGACGAGAACACAGAACAGAGGGTCAGAGAACTAGCTAGCCACAGCTGACCCCCTTTTATAACCACAACCTCAAAGATTTAAACAACTATATTTATCAGTGAAACCATCGTTACAGTAGTCTTGAAATAGAATAATATAGAGTTTCTGTTTCTTACAAAATAACAAGATGAAATTACTGTTGAATTCTCTTTCGTGTTTTGTTCCATGAGAGAATAGAACTCACAATTCCATACGAAACTAAATCTGCTCTGTTATCCTGCTGTGCTTACCCTCATTCTTCTTTGACTACCTCAAAGATCGGAGCCTGCTACCAACGAACAGTACCAAATCAACCAATCATCCATCCAGTTTCAAGCTAAACAAGATTTATGCAACCCTGACAAACCACACAGATACCCAGAAACACAGACACTGTAGTCCAGTGACAGAACTATTTGCATAGAAGAAATCCTCAAGAGTTTCAGCAGCATCTTGTCTAAACAACCTTCTAGGCAGTCAAGTACCACTAGTAAAAAAAGATCCACACAGAAAGCCACCAAGATGACCACCACCCCTTCCCAGCCATGATCTGTACCGGTTTTCCAAAGCAGGACTTGAAAAGGTGCATCCTCTGAGCCTGTGGAAGTGTGGCTGTGTGGAGAGCGGTGGTCCCATCGGCAGAGTGAGACAAGAAACAACCAGAGTTTTCTGTTGTTGCTGCTGGAGGAGGAAGGCTTAAACGTGCCTGACGGGTTCATGCAGAGACTGATCCCACAGCAGACTCCTCTTGCTCTGTGGCTCACACTGACTCCTCTCTCTCTCCCTCCCGTCCCTCACTCTCTCTCTCCCCCCTCCCTCTCTCCCCCTTTCCCCACAGCAGACTCATTTTGCCCTGTGGCTCACACTGACTCCTCTCTCTCTCTCGATCCATCTCTCTCTCCCCCTCCCTCCCTTGCCTCGCTCTCTCCCCTCCCTCTCTCCCTCCCTTGCCTCGCTCTCTCCCCTCCCTCTCTCCCTCCCTTGCCTCGCTCTCTCCCCTCCCCCCTCCCTCCCCTCTCTCCCTCTCTCCCCCCTCCCTCCCCTCCCTCTCCCCCTCTCCCCCTCCCTCCCCCTCCCCCCTCCCCCTCTCCCCCCTCCCCCCCCCCTCTCTCTCCCCCCCCTCCCTCCCCCCTCTCTCTCCCTCCCTCCCTCCCCCCTCCCTCCACCCCCTTTTCTCTCACCCCCCTCCCCCCACCCCCTTTTCTCTCTCCCCCCTCCCTCCACCCCCTTTTCTCTCTCCCCCCTCCCTCCAACTCTCTCTAGCCAACTCCACTTCCTCCTTCCCTATCCCTCACTCACCACTTTCTTTTTCTATCATTTTCTTTCTCTCAGTTCTCAATCCTTATTTGTTTACAGGAACACATAGAAAAGGCATCATATGAACCTGTTATCACAACCAAATATTTCACACAAATCACATCCATACAGATAGACAGTGTAGCCATTTAACTTTCACCAAGGAAATACTAAGGAAGACTGTCAGTGCCGTCCGTTCGTCTGCCAGATCTGCCAAAAGGATCTTTATGACTGAGAAACAGCATGAACCCACCACAGGCTGAGTTTTCCACTCATCTTCCACAATATCTGGCGGCCAAATTAAACCGGCAGCATTAATGAAAGCTCTTATTCTGGCTGGCCGGGGCTGTGGAGAAACAGACGCAGTCCGCCAGAATTTCCAAAGGAAAGCCTTCTGAGAGGGAGAGGGATTGTCAAAGGGTGTGGAGGGACTGTCTGTCAACACAGTGGCTGGCTGCTCAAATACCATTACTGTTAAAGATCCCTTTAAACTCACCCTTTAAAACTATTTTAAGTCCTGTGCAATTGTCTTGTTAGACGTGACAACAACACAAACATTTCCAAGGTCCACAAATGTGATCCTTTATCAACATATTATTTATACGACTGGCTTTTTAAATGTATTGCTCAAACAATGTAGATGGCCTATTGTGGACATTAATCATATGATTGAAGAGTAAAAAGATAAGAAATAAAGTAAAGAGCAGGAAGGGCAGCACTGCTGTCATCTTTAACCATCACATAGTTCCTCTAGTCAGTCTAGCTCTACCCACACACAAAGAGTGAGAGAGAGAGGAGAGAGAGAGAGTGGGGGAGTGAGAGAGAGAGAGAGAGAGAGAGAGGGGGAGTGAGAGAGAGAGGAGAGAGAGAGAGTAGGGGAGTGAGAGAGAGAGAGAGAGAGAGAGAGAGAGAGAGAGAGAGAGAGAGTTCTAGAATGCTGCTGGCTGATCCATGCATTTCCCTCAGGAGGTGAGTCTGTGGTCACAGGTCTGTCTTCCCGCCTTAATTCACTGAATAAAAACAACAATGATCTGAATCTCCTCAGATCGTAGAAAAGTAAATAAACCGACCCAGAAGGGGGATGAGGGGCTGAAGGATGAAATGGTCGAGAAAACACCAGCCAGCATGACAATGTAATCAAATCCAGAAGTTTACTCCACTAAACAGTCAGTGGCAGACTGAATACAGATATGATGCTTTTGGGGCAGACTGACTGGATAACAGTTGAATAGATAGCTATAGCAATTACTTTACAGTCATTTAGTATTGACATTACATCTTAGGTAGAGAGAGTATGTTTCCTGGTCACAAGGATCAAGTGATGGACAATGGTGGTAGAATGATGTAGAGAGCATATGCTTGCTGTTAAGGAGTTAGTGTGGTTTAGTGGATGAAAGGTGTTGTTCCTAATGTAAAACCTCTACCAAATAAACAAAGGTGTGGTTAAGAGTATATTAGCTGGTTTCTTAGCATGATCGAGACAGAGAGCCAGTGCAGGGTGGAAGAAGGTACTGGGTGAATAAGGGTCTGTTACCAGGAAGCTATCTTCCTGCTCCAACCAGCGTCAAGTCTCTCTCTCCCTCCCTCCCTCTCTCGCGCTCTCTTTCTCCTTCTTGCTCTCCCTCTCTCATTCTCTCTCTCTTTCTCCCTCCCTCGCCCTCTCTACCGCTCTCTCTCTACCTCTCTCCCTCTCTCTCTACCTCCCTCCCTCTCTCTCTACCTCCCTCCCTCTCTCTCTACCTCCCTCCCTCTCTCTCTACCTCCCCCCCTCTCTCTCTACCTCCCTCCCTCTCTCTCTACCTCCCTCCCTCTCTCTCTACCTCCCTCCCTCTCTCTCTACCTCCCTCTCTCTCTACCTCCCTCCCTCTCCTCTCTCTCCCTCCCTCCCTCCCTCTCTCTCTACCTCCCTCCCTCCTCTCTACTACTCCCTCCCTCCCTCTCTACCTCCCTCCCTCCCTCTCTCTCTACCTCCCTCTCTCTCTCTCTCTCCACCTCCCTCCCTCCCTCTCTACCTCTCTCTCTACCTCTCTACCCTCTCCTCTCTCTACTTCTCTACCCTCTTACTTAACCCCTCCTCTCTACTACCTACCTCCCTCCCCCTCTCTCTCAACCTCCCTCCCTCCCCTCTCTCTACCTCCCTCCCTCCTTCCCTCTCTCTCTACCTCCCTCCCTCCCCTCCTCCTACCTCTACTCTCGCTACCTCTCTCTCTACTCTCTCTACCTCTCTACTTCTCTACCTCTCTCTCTCTACACCTCTCTCCCTCTACCTCTCTCCTCTCTACCTCTACCTCCCTCCCTCTCTACCCTCCCTCCCTCCCTCTCTACCTCCTCCCTCTCGCTCTCTCCTCTCCCTCCCTCCTACCTCTCCCTCTCTCTACCTACCCTCCCTCCCTCTCTCTACCTCCCTCCCTCTCTCTACCCTCCCTCCCTCTCCTACCTCCCTCCCTCCCTACTCTACCCTCCCTCCCTCTCTACCTCTCTACCTCCCTCCCTCCCTCTCTACAGTGGCTTGCGAAAGTATTCACCCCCCTTGGCATTTTTCCTATTTTGTTGCCTTACAACCTGGAATTAAAATAGATTTTTTGAGGGTTTTTATCATTTGATTTACACAACATGCCTACCACTTTGAAGATGCAAAATATTTTTTCTTGTGAAACAAACAAGAAATAAGACAAAAAAACAGAAAACTTGAGCGTGCATAACTATTCACCCCCCCAAAGTCAATACAATAGAGCCACCTTTTGCAGCAATTACAGCTGCAAGTCTCTTGGGGTATGTCTCTATAAGCTTGGCACATCTAGCCACTGGGATTTTTGACCATTCTTCATGGCAAAACTGCTCCAGCTCCTTCAAGTTGGATGGGTTCCGCTGGTGTACAGCAATCTTTAAGTAATACCACAGATTCTCAATTGGATTGAGGTCTGACTTTGACTAGGCCATTCCAAGACATTTAAATGTTTCCCCTTAAACCACTCAAGTGTTGCTTTAGCAGTATGCCTTGGGTCATTGTCCTGCTGGAAGGTGAATCTCCGTCCCAGTCTCAAATCTCTGGAAGACTGAAACAGGTTTCCCTCCAGAATTTCCCTGTATTTAGCGCCATCCATCATTCCTTCAATTCTGAACAGTTTCCCAGTCCCAGCCCATGAAAAACATCCCCACAGCATGATGCTGCCACCACCATGCTTCACTGTGGGGATGGTGTTCTCGGGGTGATGAGAGGTGTTGGGTTTGCGCCAGACATAGCGTTTTCCTTGATGGCCAAAAAGCTCAATTTTAGTCTCATCTGACCAGAGTACCTTCTTCCATATGTTTGGGGAGTCTCCCACATGCCTTTTGGCGAACACCAAACGTGTTTGCTTATTTTTTTCTTTAAGCAATGTCTTTTTCTGGCCACTCTTCCGTAAAGCCCAGCTCTGTGGATTGTATGGCTTAAAGTGGTACTATGGACAGATACTCCAATCTCCGCTGTGGAGCTTTGCAGCTCCTTCAGGGTTATCTTTAGTCTCTTTGTTGCCTGTCTGATTAATGCCCTCCTTGCCTGGTCCGTGAGTTTTGGTGGGCGGCCCTCTCTTGGCAGGTTTGTTGTGGTGACATATTCTTTCCATTTTTTAATAATGGATTTAATGGTGCTCCGTGGGATGTTCAAAGTTTCTGATATTTTTTTATAACCCAACCCTGATCTGTACTTCTCCACAACTTTGTCCCTGACCTGTTTGGATAGCTCCTTGGTCTTCATGGTGCCGCTTGCTTGGTGGTGCCCCTTACTTAGTGGTGTTGCAGACTCTGGGGCCTTTCAGAAGGGGTATATATATACTGAGATCATGTGACACTTAGTTTGCACACAGGTGGACTTTATTTAACTAATTATGTGGCTTCTGAAGGTAATTGGTTGCACCAGGTCTTATTTAGGGGCCTCATAGCAAAGTGGGTGAATACATATGCACGCACCACTTTTCCGTTATTTACTTTTTAGAATTTTTTGAAACAAGTAATTTTTTTCATTTCACTTTACCAATTTGGACTATTTTGTGTATGTCCATTACATGAAATCCAAATAAAAATCTATTTAAATTACAGGTTGTAATGCAACAAAATAGGAAAAAACGCAGAGGGGTATGAATACTTTTGCAAGGCACTGTACCTCTCCTACTCTCTCCCTCCCTCCCTCCCTCCCCCTCTCTCTCTCTACCTCTCCTACTCTCCCTCTTGCTCTCGTTCTCTCTCTCCTTCTCCCCCTCTCAGGATGGTGTGTGTGAGAAAGTAGTTGGTGAATAATGGTCCGTTACCAGGAAGCACTCCTCCTGCTCCAACCAGCGCTGGTCCTCCTCCATCTGCTGCTGCTGTATCATCAGCCTCTCCTCCATCAGGTGGGGGGGCAGCGCCTGGCCCAGACCACGCATGTCCAACGCACCTCCATCCTGAGAAAGGGAGGGAGATATTGCATTAGTATTTAGCCATGTCTGCGATTGCTACAGATGTACCAAGCTCAGACAATAGCTGATGAAATTCAGAAATTCCCCCTGTATACAATTGGCAGAAGCACATAGTAAAAAGAGTCTACATATATATTTGGGTGGAGCTCTATCTCTCACCTCCATGTTGGGGGACCACATGGGGACGTCCCCTGGCCGGTGGTGGTTCCAGGGCTCATGGGGGTCCAGGACACCGGCCTGGGAAGGGTAACCTCCACTGGGCATAGTAGGCATGCCGTGGGGGCCAGGGTACCCAACCTGGATATGGTAGGACAGACGACAGGTGAAAAGCCCATTTTGTTTGGAGAGAGGATTATGATGATACCAAAGCCTTGTCTGTGAGGCAAGGCTGTTCATCATATAGCATTGGGCCCCAGTTAGCATTTCAGGGTACAGGGAAACACTTCGCTTGCAGTATAATGCAATAACTAATTATTGACCCCCAGACACAAAGACCTCTGGGACTAAAAGTATGAGCCTGAATGTGACATGTCACCATTAGCACTGGCTGATAAGCATCTTAATAATAACTGACCTGATCATAAAATAGAAACTTTAAATATGCATACTGATACTCAAAATGCCTTTTAAAGACCCCGAAGCGATAACAACAGAATTTGAGAGTGGATTTTTCAGCAGATGGAATCTGCCTTAAGTCAACAATGCCAGCAGTTGACTTAAGCGCTACAGGAAATGCCTGCTGTCAGCTATGTTTTATGGGCAGCTGAAGTGCTGCAAAATAACTTAGTTTGGGAAGATATTATTTCTCGTTCTCACTGCATTCAGAAAGGGGGAAGCCGGGCACCTCTCCATCAATTCACTTTTGGCTTCAAGCACCCTTTCACAGTTTTACCCAAAAGCATAGAGTTGAGCACTTTCTCTGCCTTCACGCATCAATCCACTAGCAAGTAAGAAACAAACCACATTTACTAAACCAGTATTGCCAGTACCTGATTATCAATACAAATGATATAATGGTAATACCATAGAAATAGAACAGACTTGGAAACTAGGCGTCCCCATTTCTAATTCTATAGGTAATACACAGTAGCTGTGGTAAAAGTGTTAGTATAGTACAGTAGTATAGTACAGTAGTATAGAAGTATAGTACAGTAGAACAGTACAGTAGTATAGTACAGTACCTGGTAATGGTTGAGCTGCCCAGCATGCTGAGGGCTGGGGTAGAATCCTTCACTAGACCGAGGGCTGGGGTAACCAGGTCTGCTAGGCTGCACAGGGAGGGGGAGAGAGATCATACTGTAAGTAGCCTGAAGAACACATTGGATATTTAGACCTCCTGCAGTGTGTGATCACCATCTATCGGACAGGGAGCACTAGTTCCTAAAATTAGTAATTTAGTCTATCTGTGCCTAAAGATATCTAAGGTAAACATCTCAGAAATGTCATATTATACCCCTAGGGCAGGGGTAGGGTTAGGGAGGGTTCTAATTTTAGGTGGGGGGGGTTAGGGTTAGGGAGGGATCTTACTTTAGGGGTGGGGGGTTAGGGAGGGCTCTTACTTTAGGTGGGGGTTAGGGAGGGTTCTTACTTTAGTGGGGGTTAGGGAGGGTTCTTACTTTAGGGGGGGTTAGGGAGGGCTCTTACTTTAGGGGGGGGTTAGGGTTAGGGAGGGTTCTTACTTTAGGGGGTTTAGGGAGGGCTCTTACTTTAGGGGGGGGGGGGGTAGGGTTAGGGAGGGTTCTTACTTTGGGGGGGGGGGGGGTTAGGGTTAGGGAGGGTTCTTACTTTAGGGGAGGTTAGGGAGGGCTCTTACTTTAGGGGGGGTTAGGGAGGGCTCTTACTTTAGGGGGAGGGAGTTAGGGTTAGGGAGGGTTCTTACTTTAGGGGGGGGGTTAGGGTTAGGGAGGGTTCTTACTTTAGGGGGGGTTAGGGTTAGGGAGGGTTCTTACTTTAGGGGGAGTTAGGGTTAGGGAGGGTTCTTACTTTAGGGGGAGTTAGAGTTAGGGAGGGTTCTTACTTTAGGGGGGGGTAGGGAGGGCTCTTACGTTAGGGGGGGTTGGGGTTAGGGAGGGTTCTTACTTTAGGGGGGGGTTAGGGTTAGGGATGGTTCTTACTTTGGGGGGGTTAGGGTTAGGGAGGGTTCTTACTTTAGGGGGGGTTAGGGTTAGGGAGGGTTCTTACTTTAGGGGGGGTAGGGAGGGCTCTTACGTTAGGGGGGGTTGGGGTTAGGGAGTGTTCTTACTTTAGGGGGGGTTAGGGTTAGGGAGGGTTCTTACTTTGGGGGGGTTAGGGTTAGGGAGGGTTCTTACTTTAGGGGGGGTTAGGGTTAGGGAGGGCTCTTACTTTAGGGGGGTAGGGTTAGGGTCAGGAGGGTACTTACTTTAGCTGGGGTTAGGGTTGTGGAGGTTTCTTACTATGGGGGGATTAGGTTTAGAGAGGGTTCTTACTTTAGGGGGGGCTTCGTCGGAGCCCCCTGAGTCCCAGGACACAGTGACCTGACGTCTCATCTCCATCCTTAGTCTCTCCTCCTGCTGGGCCTTCTCCTCCTCTAGGATAGTACTGCAGGGAACACACATACACACACACAACAAACAGGTTAGCATACACAGCTAACTGCAGGGAACACACATACACACAACAGGTTAGCATACACAGCTAACTGCAGGGAACACACACACACACACAACAGGTTAGCATACACAGCTAACTGCAGGGAACACACACACACACACAACAGGTTAGCATACACAGCTAACTGCAGGGAACACACATACACACAACAAACAGGTTAGCATACACAGCTAACTGCAGGGAACACACACACACACAACAGGTTAGCATACACAGCTAACTACAGGGAACACACACACACAACAGTTTAGCACACTTAACATTTATAAAAAAGACTGAACATTTCAACAAAATCATCTAAATTACTGTAGCCTGAAATACAATCATGTTCCTATCACAGACGAGCTGCATTGCAGATGTGATTTTGTTTGTTTGTTGGGCAAATTGATTATCTGTATCCGTTGCCAGGTTCCCAAATCCATCCATGAATCCATTAATGTCATCATCCGATCATCCATCATTCGATCCTACATCCAATTTAGCTTACAGGAAAACGCTCATCCCCCAAGGTTTATGCCTCTGAGAGCCCATCCAAACACACCAGAACACAGATGAACCATCAGCTCCCTGGTCACATCCCCAGCCTGCAGCGGAGGTGTGTGAGAGTCTAGCAGCAGCCTGGTAAATCCTGTACTGTTTTGCTAAACTCTCTTTATCAGAGCCAGCTAGCTCCAGCTCAACCCCTCCACCTCCCCTAGCTTCCCTCTCCTTCCTCCCTCTGCCTTGGACAGCCTGTTGTGGTTGGCCCCCGGCCAGACAGCTTATCAGCCAGCCGCCACTGGACTGGACTGACTGGGAAGTATGACGCTGTGGAACTAAATATCAGGGTCGTATTCATTACGGCACAACATAGCAAAACGTTTCACAACGTAATGCAAAAAACAGTGTTTCTTTTTGGACAAGTTCAGGTAGTCTGTCCCTGTTTCACTCAGTTTTCTTCCGTTTGGTGCCTAATGAATGCGTCCCAGGGTTTGGCTAGAGGAGAGGCGATCGTAAGGAAGTGCTGTCCTTAAGACACACTATGAATGCCTTCACAGTGGTAGTAAAACTTGGTGTAGCTTACTCTTTGGCCCTTAATTGGTCAAAAACCGCAACAGACAAAGTGGGTATCCCAGGAGCCTTGACGGGTGCTCACTGGAATCTCTGCTGCCCTGTGTTTCCTTTCTCTCCCGGTGCATTATGGATCTAAGGCTGTGCGTTACTATGGGCTAGACTAGAGACAATGGGCTGTTCACACACTGTACCCAAGAGCTCAAAATGGAGCATGAACAGTCACACTCATGATGGCTCACACAGACGCACACACACACGCAACCAGCACAGACGCAACCAGCACACACGCACACACACACGCAACCAGCACACACGCAACCAGCACACACACGCGCACACACACACAACCTGCACACACACGTCAGACCCTTCTTCGTACAGTGCAATAAATCCAGTGACAGGGTAACTATCACCCAAACACAGCAAAGACTTTGGATACTGGTAGCTTAGCGGTTTAAGAGCGTTGGGCCAGTAACCGAAAGGCTGCTGATATCGAATCCCTGAGCCGGCAAGGTGGAAAAATCTGCCGTTCTGCCCTTGAGCAAAGGCATTTAAACCCCAACAACTGCTCCCCAGGCGCCGTGGATTAAGGCATCCCACTGCACCTCTCTGATTCAGAGGGGTTGAGTTAAATGCGGAAGACACATTTCGGTTGAATGCATTCTGTTGTGCTACTGACTAGGTATCCCCTTTCCCTACAGACAACCAACCACATAGTCCTCTACCTCTGTCTCTCCCAAAACATACCCACTGCTCAACATAGGGCTGTGGGGACTGTGCTGAATATGGGTCCAATGGCATGGGAACTATTATCTAGTAGGGACACATGAGTCACAGTTCAGTGAGTCTAAAGTTAACAGGAAAGAGAGTGGCTCACATCCTTTAGGGCTTTATCTATGGACAGACAGACATTTTTACCTACTAAGGCAAATGGCCCATGGGATGCGTAGGCAATAAATCCACCACACAAGGGCTGCATCCCAAATGGGACCATAGGGCTCCGGTCAAAAGTAGTGCGCTATATAGGGAATAGGGTGCCATTTGGGACGCAGTCGAGGACTACCCACAGTAATTTACCCACACACACCATCTCCTGTGGCTTTGCTTCAGTTAGACTAAAATATATACTACATACATCACACTTTATCCAGCTACCATGGATTTGACTGATATAGATAGACCATTGAAGTGCATTGTGTGCTGATAATTGATAGTCTCTATTGGGAATATGGCATCAACCTGTTGCCTCTTATGTGGACTACAACTTAAGTAGCTGAGACCACACTGTTTCCAAACTTTACTGAAGTGTCCTATACTTTAATACATGAAACAGTGACCTCTTGAGTAGCAATGTTGAACATCATTCTTCCAGAGTTATAAAGGAGGGAAAACGTATGTAAAAGAACACTGGCATGACCTGAACTTCTCCCCTCAGGGTTACTGACCTGAGCTGGGTTTTGAGCTCTGTGAAGCGGGGTCTCTTGCTGGGGTCGTAGGCCCAGCACTTGGTCATCAGGCTGTAAAGGGTGGGGGGACAGTTGTGGGGCATGGCCAGACGCTCTCCGTTCTCTATCCGCCCGATGACATCATTGTTCTTTACCCCCTGGAAGGGCTTGATACCGTACATGAGGATTTCCCACATACACACACCTGGAGGGGAGGGGAAAGACTGTTAGGACAGGCTCTAGATATAACACCACAGACAGACAGAAACAAACACATACAGACGCACGCGCATACACACGCACGCACACACACACACACACACACACACACACACACACACACACACACACACACACGAGTTGATCGCTAGATGAGCGTTATTTGTAGCTGCCAAACTCACCAAACATCCACACATCGCTGGCTGAGGTAAAGCGTCTGAAGTTGATGGACTCTGGAGCCATCCATTTGATTGGCAGTTTCCCTTTGGAAGCTGAAAAACCAGTTGAGCAATAGAGACAGTCAAATGCATCAACTCATCTACAAGTGATTTCATCATATGTACCCTATTTTGTTCCATGTTGTTGTTGTGTTAGTCTGATCAGTTGTAAGCGCTTACAAGCATCAACATTTGGAGTAGGGTGAAGTTTCCCCTAGACGCTGATCTTGGGTCAGTTTTGCATTTCCCACACTAATGGTTAAGGTTAGGATTGGTGGAGGAGAAGCTGATCCTAGATTTGTACCAAGGGGAAACTTCAGCCTGCAATACCTTTCACAACCACCAGATGGTGGTAAAATATCAGCCTGGAATCCCGTACATTTGTACCATAGACTTAGATAGACATTGCATCATTGTATCTGACCCATTATGGCACTGCCCATGCTAAAACAGGCTTTTAGGCACTAGAATCCTCTATCTCTCTCTATGGTTTGTACCTTTGTAGTAGGAGCTGTCCTCCATGTAGCGGGAGAGGCCAAAGTCTCCCAGCATCACACAGTCTGTGGAAGACACTAGCACATTCCTGGCAGCAATGTCCCTGAGGAGATACACGCATACATATACACAATGAGTAGGAATCCTGGAAAACCTGAGGATTTTGACAGCCTGGCACCAAAAAATATATTAGAAAGTGTCAAAAACGTCATTTTATATTGTCTCTGTAAACCTAAATAACGGCTGTTAAAGTGGGTCATGGTCTTACCTATGAACAAAGCGTTTGCTCTCCAGGTAGGCCAAGGCTGTGCTGAGCTGGTGGGAGAACAGGATCAACGTTGACAGGTCCAGGTTGTACTTCCTTACTTGTAAAAAGGACCTCAACTGGAAGAGATGAAAACATCGATAAGATACAAGATATCCTCTTTGTTATGACAGTGGTAGAGGGATGACAGCAGGAATGATAGTGTTTTGACAGAGATAGAGGGATGACAGCAGGAATGATAGTGTTTTGACAGAGATAGAGGGATGACAGCAGGAATGATAGTGTTTTGACAGAAATATAGGGATGACAGCAGGAATGATAGTGTTTTGACAGAGATAGAGGGATGACAGTAGGAATGATAGTGTTTTGACAGAGATAGAGGGATGGCAGCAGGAATTATAGTGTTTTGACAGAGATAGAGGGATGGCAGCAGGAATTATAGTGTTTTGACAGAGATAGAGGGATGACAGCAGGAATTATAGTGTTTTGACAGAGATAGAGGGATGACAGTAGGAATGATAGTGTTTTGACAGAGATAGAGGGATGGCAGCAGGAATTATAGTGTTTTGACAGAGATAGAGGGATGGCAGCAGGAATTATAGTGTTTTGACAGAGATAGAGGGATGACAGCAGGAATTATAGTGTTTTGACAGAGATAGAGGGATGACAGCAGGAATGATAGAGTGTTTTGACAGAGATAGAGGGATGACAGCAGGAATGATAGAGGACACTTTGGCCCCGTTTCCAAATGTGTTCTTGCGTTCTGTGTTCTCCCATTTATTACAAGAATGACAAGAACTCCAATAACACCTTTGCAATACATACTGTAGGTATTGATCCAAACATACTTTGTGTTTGAATGGCTCAGTGCCAACCTAACCTCCAGGTCGCCTCACCTCTCCCATCGTGCACAGCTCCATGATGATCCACACTGGGTTTTCTGTGATCACACCGATTAGCTTCACTATGTGGGGGTGGTCGAACTGACGCATGGTCACTGAGGAACACACACATCAATGGGGTGTGAGGATTTCACAGAACAGTTTAGAACTAAAGAGAAAAGAGAGAAAAGGCTCCCTGGGATAGGTCTAACACATGGGGGCTCAAACGCCTCTGTTCAAACACTGTCAATAGTTGAGTCCCAAATAAAATAAAATAAAATGTTATTTGTCACATGCGCCGAATACAACAGGTCACCTTACAGTGAAATGCTTACTTACAAGCCCTTAACCAACAATGCAGTTTTAAGAAAAATAAGTGTTAAGTAAACAATAGATAAGTACAAAATAAAAGCAGTAAAATAACAGTAAAATAACAGTAGCGAGGCTATATACAGGGGGTAACGAACGGTACAGTCAAATGGCATCCTATTCTCTACTTAGTGCACTCCCTCAACAGTCTGTGAACCGTGTAAACCCAATGAGCAAAGCAACCTGAGACTACCATCAGGCAGCGTGTGTGTGTACATGGCAACCAGCAGCAGCTGCAGTCATCATCAGGCCCATTACAGTGACGCAGCACAACATCTGAGCACACTCACGTGCTTCCTGAAGGAACTTCTCGCGCACGCTGTCCGACGTGCAGTTCTTGCATGTTTTAATGGCCACGTTTAGAGTGGGATTCTCCTGTAAGAGAAATTTGAGAAAATATTGGATTAGTTTGTGTGCATTACTGGTAGTGGACAATATCATGACAATTTTGACCATAAATAAGAGGCCAGATGTGTTTAGGTAGACAGTAACCTAAACAGAATTGAAAGGAACACGTGAGGACTGAGGGTGATAGGGGAGATGCTTTGGCTGCATTTAGCCAGACAGTTGCAGTACTATTTACCGGGCTGTTGTAGACTCCCTGGTGGACGTCTCCAAACTGTCCCTCTCCGATGCAGCGTCCCAGCTCTATCCTGTCTCTCTGGATCTCATAGTCCCTGGCTGGGGAGGGAGAGATAACTCCTGTTAGTTCCACTGACTCTCATAGTCCCTGGCTGGGGAGGGAGAGATAACTCCTGTTAGTTACACTGACTCTCATAGTCCCTGGCTGGGGAGGGATAGATAACTCCTGTTAGTTACACTGACTCTTATAGTCCCTGGCTGGGGAGGGATAGATAACTCCTGTTAGTTACACTGACTCTCATAGTCCCTGGCTGGGGAGGGATAGATAACTCCTGTTAGTTACACTGACTCTTATAGTCCCTGGCTGGGGAGGGAGAGATAACTCCTGTTAGTTACACTGACTCTTATAGTCCCTGGCTGGGGAGGGAGAGATAACTCCTGTTAGTTACACTGACTCTCATAGTCCCTGGCTGGGGAGGGATAGATAACTCCTGTTAGTTACACTGACTCTTATAGTCCCTGGCTGGGGAGGGAGAGATAACTCCTGTTAGTTTCACTGACTCTTATAGTCCCTGGCTGGGGAGGGAGAGATAACTCCTGTTAGTTACACTGACTCTCATAGTCCCTGGCTGGGGAGGGAGAGATAACTCCTGTTAGTTACACTGACTCTCATAGTCCCTGGCTGGGGAGGGAGAGATAACTCCTGTTAGTTACACTGACTCTCATAGTCCCTGGCTGGGGAGGGAGAGATAACTCCTGTTAGTTACACTGACTCTTACAGGGAAAATGACTCACCAATAAGCTGATCTGTGTGTGTGTGTGTTGATGAGGCCTTTTTTGGTTGTTAATAATAACAGCAAGAAGCCTTGGCTGTATTTTCACTGCAGTAGACGGTAATACTGTATGAAATACTGTATATATCTGTATAAGGCAATTCACACCCACCACCAGGCAATGACATACACACTGCAACAGAAAATGATCAGGCTGTGGTGATGTCAACAGACATAGTCCTCAATATATTTGGTTCCTCCCTGTGCATTTGAAATTACAACAGGCTACCACTTTGGTTTGATGGACTGTATCCATTTTAGTAATTTACCAGACCCTCTTATCCAATTAAGATGAATGCACAATTTCTCTTCAGACAGACACATAACAAAAAAATTATAAATGGAATATCACAACAAAACATTCAAGCAATGGTGAAATTAAAGAAAAACCAAGGAAGAAACACATCAACATGAAAAATAAATAAATAAGCCAATTGAACAATCACTATTGAAGACGCTTTCAACTCTGGTACTGAATGGATGAGATTGCTTCATCTCACAGCTAGCGAGATATTTTACTTGGGTTCAGCAAACAGTATTAAAGTGATAGTTCACTTCAAATTCAACGTTTTTCAAGGGTTTGAATGGATTGAAAAATACCAGTTCCCTCTAAGCTGATGAAATGAAACAATTCCTATCCATTTGGGATGGAGGCATATGGATGAATCTGAAAAGTCTGGCAAACTTTGATTTTAGAGGGAATTGAATTGATTTTAAGATGACCAGTAGGTTACTAAACTTATGAAATACCTCCAGTAGAAGAGTTGAATGAGCCGTTCTAGTACAGTACACAAGAACAATTACAGACATAAAAAACAGAGAGACAAACAGATCGAGAGAGGCAGCGTTACCTTCGTCTACTCCATAGCTCACTGCTGGGCGGTTAGGATAAAGAGAGGTGGCTTTTAGAAACCATTCGCAACAGAACAGGACAAACACACACAGAAGAAAGTAAGACGAAGGGGAATAGATGTTATGTGGCTTTAAAATAACCAACTTCTGAGTGCACAAAGCTAGGTGTCAATGGGGAAAAACAGGTTATCCTGTAGAACAAGAATATGTGCTAGAAAGCTACACGTGTTACATTAGATATCTCCTTACACATGTTGAAGCTTTTGTATGTCAAAACTTGATCATCTATAAATGGATAATGTGTTATCTAAGGCTGCCTCAGATGGCACCCTATTCTAATTCCTATTGGCCCTGGTCAGAAGTAGTGTACTAACCAGGGAATAGGGTGCCATTTGGGACTCAAAACTATTTCTTGGGTATAGACCCAGTGGGACTCGGTGGGACTCAAATCCCCATGTGGTATGAAGAAACCTACAGATGCTGGATGGATGACTGGATGGAGAGAGCTCTGGTCTCGAGTGTAAGCATGCGATGGGACTCCTCCGTCTCCATATACAGAGCTCCTTGTTACAGAGGAACTTTTTCTTTCACAGACCAGACTGTCTTATTAGTCAGCTGGCCCAGACCACTCCACAACCTGGTGAATTAGCTGCACTCTATGGCTGTGTCACAAATGGCACCCTATTCCCGATATAGTGCACTACTTTGACCAGGACCAAAACTAGTGCACTATATAGGGAATAGGGTGCCATTTGTGACGTACCCTACACCACTGCAGGGGCTATCGTGTTCCAGACTCATATGATCCCACGAGACCTGGCATCATGGCCACCAAAGAAAGGCCTGAGGTTACTGGAGACATGGAATTACAATTACTAGAATGGAAATTACCATTAAAGTCAATGATCCGTGGTGGGTGGGCTGGCAGCTATGGGTGTACCATGGTCTAAGGTGCTTTGTCCATTCTAGTGATTATAATTCTATTACTAACTCATTATTTTGCTCCAGTACACTCAAAGGGCACCTGTCTCTTTCAGTCCTGATGACTACTCACTAACATGACTATTCCATATAATGATAATGAACATTTGTGACAGGTATTAGGATTTCACTGATGATGTATTACTAAGCGTTCCATGGATATTTTCTTGGACTATCAGTAAATCATAATGGAACAGAATTAGTATCCGATTTGGACAGCATCATGACAGCAGGAATATAAATGAATGGAATTGAGGCAAGGACTATAGGCAGTCCTGGGAAATTAAAGATCATCAATATGAATATGTGCCTGTCCCATTCCTCACATGTTAAAGTATACATATTACAGTATGTGTATAGTCTTACACTGTCACCATGACAACCAAACATTGAGTGTACCAGACAATCTAGTAACGTTTTGATAAAGGACACACACAGGCAGCGTGTCGGGTATTTGGGAAGTAGAAACTAACGTCACCAATAAACACGCCTGAGAAAACAGATCACCATACAGCACCCGGGCCACGTTCAATTTGGATAGAGAGAAGGACGAAGAGAAAGAACGAGAGAGAGAGATAAAGAGAGAGAGAGAGATAGAAAGAGGAGATCAAGAGAGAAAGTAAAAGAGGGAGAGAGATGGAGAAAAAACATCTGGACTGTATCCCTCGAGACAGTCTGGCCAACATATTAGCAGGGAACACATTAAGATCAACATACTGTATTACTACTAGGGAGCATAGAGCTGCACTTACTTGAGGGCATGGTGTAGGTATCGTCTTCGTCTATAATCTCAGCATAGTCGTCCGTCTCTGCAGAAACACAACAGCCTCGTGGTCAGTCTACTGGTCAAGTCCAGTCACACTCACACCGTCCGAGACGGATACACACAGATGCAGCTAGCTAGACACGTACCCTTCCACACAAGTAACTAGAGCCAGCTGAAAATAAACATGCGAGTCAGACAGCAAGTGCTCCTCGGCAAACTCCTACACTGCCGGACACAGGGCGAGACACACGCGCTCTCTCTCGCTCTCTCTCTCTCTCTCTCTCTCTCGTCTACACACACTCTCATACAGTAAACACAGAAACACAAGCATTTGCGTTCCCAACTCGCACAGTTTCAGCCGCTCGTGTGTTGCACATATCTGTCTGCTCTGTCGGTCTGTCTAATCAGAGCTTAGCAGTACAGATGGGCTTCTGGGTAATGGGGAAAGACGAGGGGAGGGGATGCGGAGACGAGGGACGGATAGAACCAGTTATTCCCTATTTTTTTTAAGGAGAGAGAGAGAGAGAGAGAGAGAGAGAGAGAGAGAGAGAGAGAGAGAGAGAGAGAGAGAGAGAAAGAGAGAGAGAGAGAAAGAGAGAGAGAGAGAGCCAATGCCAATAAAGCCCTTAAATTGAATTGAGAGAGAGAGAGAGAGACAGAGAGAGAAAGATAGAGAGAGCGAGAGAGAGAGAGAGAGAGAGAGAGAGCAAGAGAGAGCGAGAGCGAGAGAGAGAGAGAGAGAGAGAGAGAGAGAGAGAGAGAGAGAGAGCGAGAGAGAGAGAGCAAGAGAGAGCGAGAGAGAGAGAAGCCGTCCCCAGTCCCCTAGATAAACAGATTTAGGTGTTTACAGTATGTGAACGGCCGCTTGCTGTCCAATCTTGGCTTGATCTAAAATGGTAATTCACTATCTGTGCCGTCTTGGCTGCTGTTCCTCTTAGGGAAAAACAACCAGCAGACTCTGTGTAGTGTGTAGCTAGCCATCAGGCGGCCCGTTTTAGACAGGAATGCCGCGGTGCCACGGAGTTCGCCAAACTCAGCTCTCTTTATGAGGCTGAGCTGGGAGCTGGGCCCTTAAAGACGCAGGCAGACAGCAGGGCACGTATTCAAAAAGCCACTCAGAGTAGGAGCCCCCCCCATCTAATCTTATTCATTATGTTAAAAGAAAAAGGCACAACTGATCCTACTCTGAGACGCTCTGTGAATACGGTTCCAGAGCGTGGGACAGACCAGACCTGGGTCCAAATAGTATTTGTTTTATTTCAAATCCTTTAAACTGTGCTTGATTGAGCTTTGTCTGGTACCGTGGAACCAATGGAATAGTCCCAAAAGTGCAAACTGTCAATTTGGCACTCCAGACAGGCTCAATCAAACTGAATCGATTCGAATCACTGAGAAGCACTGCAGCTAAGACAGATTTTAAGACAGATTTCAGCACATTTTCTAGAGACGTTGTTAACCGTTACATTGGTTCCCTAACTCCAATCATGTCTATTGCATGATTAGTGCATTACTAATGACAAACCTCTACAAGCAGATAGATAAAAACTGATTCATTTAATTTGATTCATGATTCATTTGATTGATATGATTCATGAGTGATACACACACAACACAAACCACAACCCCCAGAATCCCTCATGACCCCAGTGAGTTAGTAGCAGGTGACAGGAAGGAATGGAGGGAAATATTAAACGGCAAACTTTACCATCCCCACTACAATCCTCTGCAGGTCCAAGGAGAGCATGCAAAACGGAGAGAATGAGAGAGAGAGAGAGAGGGGGAGGGAGAAAGGGGGAGGTTACACACCATAGAAAGATATGAAAAGTATAAAAGACAGTATAATTCATTGAAAATGGGTTTAATAATTGTTACCATGACACCCCACACTCTCTCAAAACAAGCAGGGACTGGGCATTTCAAAAGTGTATCCAATCCATGCTTTTATTCAGTACCAGTGGAAAAGTATTTTATTTTCTAAGCTTCTACTTGAAATTAAATTAGTCTGTCGTTGGAATGTGTGGAACCTGATTCAGTTTGGTTGAGGGGATGGCCAGAGTAGTGAACTTCAGCCAGCATTGTTCGGAAGGGGGTCAGTGGAGTTCATTGGCTATTCTTAGCATGAGCCACTGTGACGGACAGGAACGTGAGCCAATAGGAAGCTGTTAAACTGCTGAGACAGGTGCGTGGGCCAATATGAAGCTAGCCATCAGGCGGGACAGAAGTCACATGTCCAGAAGCCAGTGTTGGTTAACTTTGTCATCATCCTTGTTCAAGGGCATAAACTCAGTTCGGCAAAATCAATCTAAAATGATAGCGACATATAAATCATCAGTGTAATTCTAGCAATATAAACAGATGGTTGTTAAATTAGATGTACAGCTATTAAAGGGTGTTTCATCTTTAAGAGTCTGTTGGTCTGATGTGACCTTACAGGCTTACAGCATCTTGAACCTGGCTGTGGACCAACCAGAAACATTAAAACCAAGGGACCAACCAGATCAGCCAAGATACAGCCCCGTCAGGCTCTACATACGTCCCAAATTGCACCCTATTCCCTATATAGTGAACTACTTTTGACCTGAGCCCTATGGGCTTTGGTCAAAGGTAGTGCACTATATAGGGAATAGGGTACCATTTGGGACCCTGTTGATTTGCGGGCCATGGCTCGACTACAATCAGCAGACAACACGCTTCCCAGAAAATAAAATGGGGACTTAATTTGATCTCGCTGTCTTGGAAAGCTGGAACAGTTTCAATTTGTTTTATTCTCAGACACGTCAGGGATAGGGCATGAGCAATGAGATGTACTTAATGTCATTGAGTAGAGATGTTCCTTTTTTTCACAGTTTCTCAAACTTTTACCCGCCAGGCTAGTTCTGTTTGGCCATTGTATGTGTTGCTTTGTCAGTCATTTTGTGAGAGTTTTGTGCACTTCACACCAGAACTTTAGTTCAGCTAAAGTTTCATCACCCCAGTTCCCCTAAATCCCCTACACACTTGTTGTGTGTGTGTGTTGGAGATTTGGGGACTTAGTGGGGCAGACACGGTTAGTCAGAGCAAAACAGAAAGCAGAGTCAGTCGAATCAGCCAATCAGAGCAGTGGTACCCTTTGGCGGAGAGTCATGGGCACAGAAGACAAAAGGAAGGAGAAAGCGCCTGGCTTTAGCAGGTTTAGGAGGCGTCGGGGTCACAGAGTTCACAGAGTCTTCAGCCAATCAGAGAGAGGGATGAGAGAGCGGGAGAGATGGTGAGAAAAAGAGACTAATAGTTCTTCTGACAGAAACAGCTCTGGGGTGAAGTTTCTCCTAGGGACAGATCTAGAATCAGCTTCCCCTCCCACAATCCTAACATTTACCATTAGTGGGGAAAATGCAAAACTGACCCAAGATTAGCATCTAGGCAAAACTTCACCCTACACCACAGAAAAACATTGAGCAGCAGACAGCATTTGTGTATATGTTAAGGAGTGATGAATGTTGGTGTGATGGCGTCCGAAGCTTTTCCCATATTACAGAGAAAATGGTACCTATCCATTTACACCTCAGAAATCGTTACCACTCTGTCATGGCATGTCTGTTATGAAACTACATGAAATCTGTCAATAATAATATGAATAAATCTCTTCTTTCCTTTACCAACCAACAGGGAAGTCAAAGCCGACAGGAGAGCTTCTAGCCTCACTCAAATTATGGCAATTCTGCATTTCAATCAACAGTTTAGTAATAGGTCCTTCACTATTCTATACCTGATATGGCAGCCAGGGCTAAGGAATTGATTTCCACTTCTACAAAAGGTCTTGGGTACAACTGTACGTTGACACATATGGAATGAATTCAGTTAAATATATTGGATTTGTGTGAGCAGCAAGCTGCTGCAGTCCCTAAGGGACTTTCTCTCTGACCTCTTTCTGAGAAATGGCATTGATGGATGGTATCAGGGAGAACTGGTGTAAACATGGAACTCTGACCGTCTCAGAAAATATACCGCTAACACTTCATGTATCGTCACTGGAGGTTTCAGCCACATATCAAAAACACTATCAAGTGCAGAGCTGTGGTGTCGTTGTAACACTTCTCGGCATAAGTCACATATACAACTCCCCACCGGACACCGTGGTTCGATCCCCACCTTTCTCACGGTTTCTTCCACTTGCCTGTCTCCCCCTCTGATCTTCCTAACTGTCTGAATAAATTGCTGAAACATATTCACACAAAAAACAACAACACTATCAAATATCCTACGGTCTGACAGTGCAACTGAAACTACCAGTATTACTATTATTTACTGATAGTGGTACAGAGTAGACCTATCCCGTGGTTTGTTTCAAGAAACTAATTTAAACAAGTGTTAAATAGGCCTACTGTGAGAATATGCTCCAAAATCATCAAACCATATTGTTTGAAACACACCAGTAACCTCTAAACCATATATGTGGTATATACTATCTGTGAATACAACACCTCTCAACCTTCATATCACTGTGTAGCTAAAATCAAATAATAGTTCCCTATGAAGGACTCCCATACATACAATAGGATTCACCTTCTCCTTGAGAGCTGAGGAACATTTAGATACCCTGTGACACTAACACCCTATGACATGTACTGAAACCTTATGACATTTATTGAAACCTTATGACACTCAATGACACCATATGACACCCAATGACACCCTTTGACACTTAATGACACCCTATTACACTTGAATGACACCCTATGACACTTTAATTACATTTAATGACACCCTATGACAACCTCTGATCCTCCCAACCTCAGTCCCAGGCTCTCCACTCTCAGCAGCATAGTACACAAGCATCTCTTTGATACCATACTGTCTGACTCTCTACTCCCCTAACCTCTAACCTCTGGTCAGTTAACAGGGCTATGGCCAACCCCTTCAATCAGGCCTTAATCTGTCTGTCACTGGAGCCCCCAGGCTATTAACATTCAGCAGTTCCATCACAGTCCTCTGACATTTAGGAGATATAGATAGAAATAGACTGGGGAAGAGAGAGAGGGGCAGAGGGATGGAGGGGGAGGGGGAGGGAGAGAGAGGGGGGAGAGAGATAGGGAGGGGGAGAGAGATGGAAATAGACTTGGGAAGAGAGAGAGAGGCAGAGGGATGGAGGGGGAGGGAGAGGGGGGAGAGAGAGATGGGGAGGGAGATAGATAGACTGGGGAAGAGAGAGAGGGATAGAGGAATAGAGGGAGAGGGAGAGGAGGGAGAGGGAGAGGGAGAGGGGGGAGAGAGATAGGGAGGGAGAGAGAGATGGAAATAGACTTGGGAAGAGAGAGAGAGGCAGAGGGGGAGGGAGAGGGGGGAGAGAGATAGAAATAGACCAGGGAAGAGAGAGAGAGAGAGAGAAAGAGAGATAGAGGGATAGAGGGAGAGGGTGAGATAGAAATAGACTGGGGGAGAGAGGGGGATAGAGAGAGAAAGAGATAGAGAGAAGGAGAGAGAGACAGAGTGAAGGAGAGCTGTGTAACACAATGGACATGACAGTCATGCTCCTGGTCTGATGTGTAACTCTAGCTAAAGTGTGGACCCAACTGCTCCTGAGTCCTAAGACAGGCTATACTCTACCACAACAATACCTTTAACTTCATTTCTGACCCTAACCATAGCATTATCCATACTATTACCAAACTCCTAATTGTAGTTCCACCCAGAAACATGGCTTCAGATTCTATATGGATCGTGGTGGGGAGAGCAGTGAATCAAGAGGTTCAGGCACACATCCCTCTGGGGCCCAGAGATGGCTAACCATGCATTTTTGGGGGGGTTGTGTTTGCATGGGCCACTCCAGCTGCAGGCCTTGGCACCTGCTGCCCCCGTTAACCTCCTCACCCTGCCAACCCTCTCCTGTCCTCCCCATCTCCTTAGCACTGACTGCCCCTGCCACTTGCTAATCCACAGGCATGTTAAGTCTGCATCCCAAATGGCACCATATTCCCTACATAGTGTACTACTACGTAGGGAATATGGTGCCATTTGGGACACAGTTAAATCTAACCTGGCTCTGGACCGTTTGTCTCAGCAGATGACATTTATTATCTGCCATGGTGTTATAGCCCTTCAGCCCCGAATTACTGAGCTCCACCATTACTTATCATGCTGAATCGATTTCCTGTTACCACCACACACACGCCCGGCATCTGTTCTTGCTCTTACAGAAATAATCGGTGGAGAAGGCTTAACACGTCCTGTGATTGCACTAACCATCTATATCTTGGGATCAACAAGAAAGACTAGAGCTGACAGAGACTAGGCCTAAATCATATCAATTCTGCCCAGCATTCATAACTGGCTAAAGTATAATTCCCTGTTTATCCATCATTGAGCATCAATAAACCCCTTTTACCCACACACATCCAAGTAAGGTATTTTATGTGATGGGTTGTGTATTAGATATCTAATATGTAATAAATCTAGTGGCTTTACAGATTAATGGACAGGAAGCATCTGGAATTAGCTTGACTGGGATCATATGATAAAAAAGCATGATCATCGTCACGCCAGCAGCCGCCCATATATGGACTTCCATCAATAGCCCAGCTATATACAGTACAGTAAGACAGTCAGAGATGTTGAGGAGGCACTGATCTCTTACCTGAGACAGAGATGGCACGCACCCCGGCGCTCCGGACCACCCCCTCTACTATCCTCTTCTCATTGTTGGGTACCCTGAAGGGTAAAGGTTGGAGACAGAGAGGATCAACATGAGAAATTCCCAAACCTAAAACCAGCAAGTAAATCAACAGCGTCCACAGCAACTCCAGGAGGATCCAGCGTAATCCTGAAAAGAATCTCTGGGGCTATGTGGAAAACATCCACAATTTTCTGAGTATCATTCTCCTCCACTGAGCCACTGTTCATCTTGGAGGCATCTAGTGTTGAGGTGCTGAACCAATAACAGAACAGAACAGTCTTGGAAGGATCTAGTGTGGAGGTGCTGGACCAATAGGAGGGGACTAGGGAGGAGACATTCTGAGAAAATCCTACTGTAGAGAACTATTTATCAGGATTCTGCCCCAGAACTGTCTTGAGTGGGTTTTTTAAAGACAGAGAGAGAGAGAGAGAGAGCGAGCGAGAGAAGGTGTGATTGTTGAAAACACCCCTCTAACACTAGTTCTAACTAGTCAATTGATTTCCCTGAATCACACAGGCCATACTGCACCTAATTTCCAGTAATTATAGCATGGATTGTACAATGGGTGTCATTGGATAACAGAGCTCTGACGTTAGGGGTCCTACAAATAGATTTACTGAGCAGATGTTTTTTAGCATTCTTGTTTCTTTCTTTGTTTCTTTCTTACACAGCTCTTTATGTTAACACCATCATATAGAATTGTTACGTGAATGAACATTCAAAGTATCCCCATTGACAAATCATTTAGTGTACGGCAGATACTTACTTGGGGATTGACGGCAGTGCTCTCTCTCCCTCTGAAAATACAGATGAGAGATATTATTAAGCAAAGCATTTACCGTAAAGCATTTTGAATACCAGAATACTAAAATCCAAGTGACTGTGTTATCTCTATAACCAAGGAAGAGGCAAGTGGAAGGGGCAGAAAGTAAGGAACTTGTCTGTTGGCCCTGCATTAAAGACCAAAATTGGCTAAAGAAAATTGTGATAAATAAAAAAGTATACCACTTTCATTTAAGGACTAAAAGTAACAAAAGAGAACTATTGTAAAATATACTGTGTCCGTAAAATGTATATAGTATGTATAAGCTGGGAGTAGAAGTCTAAGTGTTGTTGTCCATTAGTTTACTCCAATTAGGGGAGGGGTGGCAGGGTTAGGGGAAAATAATGAAGGAAAATATATAAAAATAAATATTTATATTTTATACATATATTTACCCCCCAAAATATATGGGGGATTGGAAATGATGCAGACAATTACATTGATGTAAGCCACAATCTATCTGCAATTTTAAAGCTGATCTACCCCTTTAAAAAAATAACAAATAAAAGGGAAGAGGTGTGTGGGTGGTGGCGTTCCCGTGTGGCTCAGTTGGTAGAGCATTGGCGCTTGCAATGCTAAGGTTGTGGGTTCGATTCCCACGGGGAACCAATGCGAAAAAGTATGAAAAATGCATGCACTCACTACTGTAAGTCGCACTGCTAAATTACTAAAATGTCAAATAAGGGGAAAATCACAAGCACAGGAGAGGAGTAGCCTGTTTCAACCGTTCCCCTGCTCCCCTCCCTCCCACACAGGAAAAAGCAGACAATCCAACTCCAAACAAGGCTTAATAACACCCCTCGCCCCTCCCAAAAAACAGTTCTCTAATGCTTTACTGTTTTCTGTTGAAAATACCAGATCTCTATCTGACTGATAAAGGTATTGAAAGTGAATTCACTTAAAACGACTACTAAACACATAGGGGCAGTCATGACTCCAAATCAAGCTACAACTAGAAACCTTGTAAACAGAAGAGTTAAAAATCAAGCTACAACTGGAAACCTTGTAAACAGAAGAGTTAAAAATCAAGCTACAACTAGAAACCTTGTAAACAGAAGAGTTAAAAATCAAGCTACAACTGGAAACCTTGTAAACAGAAGAGTTAAAAATCAAGCTACAACTGGAAACCTTGTAAACAGAAGAGTTAAAAATCAAGCTACAACTGGAAACCTTGTAAACAGAAGAGTTAAAAAATCAAGCTACAACTGGAAACCTTGTAAACAGAAGAGTTAAAAATCAAGCTACAACTGGAAACCTTGTAAACAGAAGAGTTAAAAATCAAGCTACAACTGGAAACCTTGTAAACAGAAGAGTTAAAAATCAAGCTACAACTGGAAACCTTGTAAACAGAAGAGTTAAAAATCAAGCTACAACTGGAAACCTTGTAAACAGAAGAGTTAAAAAATCACACTACTGTCTACTGTTATGGTGATTACCTAATACAATGCAGACCATTTAGACTCAAATGAGAACATCACCCAAGGCAGAGTGAATCTGTGACCGTCACTGCAGCAACGCAATCTTGAAAACCTAGTAATGTCAACACTCATAAACCCAAACAAACTTCAACCACAGTTATACTTCTTAGTTGATGTATATTTTTGAGACAGTGTGTGAGTCTTACCTGTGATGGCAGTAAAACAATCTTCAAAACCGTAACCATATCAGCACCAAAACAAACTCAAACTCAAATGTAAACTACTATCTTTTTGAGATAGTGTGTTTGTCTGTCTTGAAAACCATCTCGTAAAATCAACACAAACACAAGCTATCAAACATAAAAGTACACCACTTAGTGTGTTTTTGAGACAGTGTGCGTGTATGTGAGGAAGACGTACCTTTCTGCGGCCGTATGATGAAGGACTGGGTGGTTCCGTTGACCAGGCGACAGTAGCCGTCTATGAGGTCGGCCATGTTTTCAGCTGTGGTGAGTGATGGTGTGGTCACTGTGAGAGGCTGTGGACACAGGCAACAGCAGCCCACAAAGAGTCATTATTACCAGCACGGGCAGAGAGACAGACAGACAGACAGACAGGGCTGTTACAACCGTTCTGCTCTGCCTGGGGCTGCCAGCTGCCCCCTCCCATCACACAAATACTGTAGGGGGAACTCCGCTTTTGTCTCACTCACTCACACACACACCCACACACTGCAGACAGACACGGGCACACACACATTCAGGAACACAGGCTCACTAATAAATAATAATAATAATATGCCATTTAGCAGACGCTTTTATCCAAAGCGACTTACAGTCATGCGTGCATAATTTTTTTGGTGTACTAACACACGACACACACAAATTCCATGTATTCCTGACATAACTTCCTTCCTTATTCCTGTGCTGATTCATAACAACAGTAATACCACATTGAACATATGACTACAGTATAGCACTGTGGCTGTGTTACTCACTTTACCACCCTCCACATCTTACTCCTGGCTTGCGTCCAAGATGGCACCCTATTCCCCTTATAGTGAAATACTTTGGTCTAGGTCGCATAGGGCTCTGGTCAAAAGTAGTGCACTATACAGGGAATAGGGTGCCATTTGGGACATGTGCCCTGCGCTCCCGCTGACTGACAGGCAGAGTAGTAACCCAATACTATAATAACGTCTATGGCCGGCCCATCACAAATGAAAGGGTCCATTCATACAGGGAGGACCCCAGAGTGAATGAATGTGTGTTACAGTAAAAGTCATCCCCAAAAGGAAGACCTCTATGTGGAACGATTTGTAAATGGAACACTTACAGTGGGGGAAAAAAGTATTTAGTCAGCCACCAATTGTGCAAGTTCTCCCACTTAAAAAGATGAGAGAGGCCTGTAATTTTCATCATAGGTACACGTCAACTATGACAGACAAATTGAGAAAAAAAAATCCTGAAAATCACATTGTAGGATTTTTAATGAATTTATTTGCAAATTATGGTGGAAAATAAGTATTTGGTCACCTACAAACAAGCAAGATTTCTGGTTCTCACAGACCTGTAACTTCTTCTTTAAGAGGCTCCTCTGTCCTCCACTCGTTACCTGTATTAATGGCACCTGTTTGAACTTGTTATCAGTATAAAAGACACCTGTCCACAACCTCAAACAGTCACACTCCAAACTCCACTATGGCCAAGACCAAAGAGCTGTCAAAGGACACCAGAAACAAAATTGTAGACCTGCACCAGGCTGGGAAGACTGAATCTGCAATAGGTAAGCAGCTTGGTTTGAAGAAATCAACTGTGGGAGCAATTATTAGGAAATGGAAGACATACAAGACCACTGATAATCTCCCTCGATCTGGGGCTCCACGCAAGATCTCACCCCGTGGGGTCAAAATGATCACAAGAACGGTGAGCAAAAATCCCAGAACCACACGGGGGGACCTAGTGAATGACCTGCAGAGAGCTGGGACCAAAGTAACAAAGCCTACCATCAGTAACACACTACGCCGCCAGGGAATCAAATTCTGCAGTGCCAGACGTGTCCCCCTGCTTAAGCCAGTACATGTCCAGAAGTTTGCTAGAGTGCATTTGGATGATCCAGAAGAGGATTGGTAGAATGTCATATGGTCAGATGAAACCAAAATATAACTTTTGGGTAAAAACTCAACTCGTTGTGTTTGGAGGACAAAGAATGCTGAGTTGCATCCAAAGAACACCATACCTACTGTGAAGCATGGGGGTGGAAACATCATGCTTTGGGGCTGTTTTTCTGCAAAGGGACCAGGACGACTGATCCGTGTAAAGGAAAGAATGAATGGGGCCATGTATCGTGAGATTTTGAGTGAAAACCTCCTTCCATCAGCAAGGGCATTGAAGATGAAACGTGGCTGGGTCTTTCAGCATGACAATGATCCCAAACACACCGCCCGGGCAACGAAGGAGTGGCTTCGTAAGAAGCATTTCAAGGTCCTGGAGTGGCCTAGCCAGTCTCCAGATCTCAACCCCATAGAACATATTTGGAGGGAGTTGAAAGTCCGTGTTGCCCAGCGAAAGCCCCAAAACATCACTGCTCTAGAGGAGATCTGCATGGAGGAATGGGCCAAAATACCAGCAACAGTGTGTGAAAACCTTGTGAAGATTTACAGAAAACGTTTGACCTGTGTCATTGCCAACAAAGGGTATATAACAAAGTATTGAGAAACTTTTGTTATTGACCAAATACTTATTTGCAAATAAATTCATAAAAAATCCTACAATGTGATTTTCTAGATATTTTTTTCTCATTTTGTCTGTCATAGTTGACGTGTACCTGTGATGAAAATTACAGGCCTCTCTAATCTTTTTAAGTGGGAGAACTTGCACAATTGGTGGCTGACTAAATACTTTTTTCCCCCACTGTATGTCCACTGTTCTGCTGACAAATCCATCCCAAAAAATCCATGTTTCACATGCTACTTCCACTTCCAATAGTAGTATATTTAAAGCAGATATTGACAGAAAGGAAAAGCTCAATAAAAACACAATATGAGTACATACAGAGAGGGGGAGGGGGGACTTGACTGCAAAAAAGTTAGCTTATATTAGGTCAAATTAGCACTATTCACAAAGGTTATGTCAATGTGTGCACCTTCTACTCATGTTGAATGCATCATGTAAAAGTCAAGCTCATGGTAGTGTAAGGGTTATTATGAAATGGTTGATTGGTACCTCGGCAGCACCGGCCACGTTGAGCTGCAGCATGCCCTTCCTCTCCTTGTCCTCCATTACTGAGTACCCAATATTCTGCACCTGGGTGAAGTTGGCCAGGTGTGTTGGCTGGAGGGGAGGAATCAATCAATTAATCAAATGCAAGCAAGGTAGCAAAATATGTCTTTAATGTGTTAATGTACAGCGTTTCAGACGATGATTCCTAAAGTAAAGTAGAACTTCCTTTAACTTTAGAATGGTCACAGTGTTTCTCGGGAAGCTGTATTTTGTGTTATCCATCTATTATTTCAGTGAAAACATTTCATTTCAAATCTGATACCCTCAGTTTAATTGGTAAAAACAACAAAAATCCTCGGGCCATTTTGGGAAGATTTCTCAAAATTGATTTTTACACACACATCTGTGTTTCATTACCTCAGCCCCTGAGGACAACATGAAAATGATCAGGAATGCTCTTTGAAAATCCCTGTCCATGCATGCCAATATTTCAGGGCAAAATAATATTGTATAGTGAGGAGATAGAAGAGAGACCAGCCCCTAGGTTACAAGTAGTGTATGGTTCCAGCTAAGTGATGGACAGATCTTCTTTGAGGAAAACCACACCATATGTCCTAAATATCTTTCAGAAGTTTGATGTCTTTGGTTTCAGTCAAAACTATATAAGTCATGTAACTGTAATAATGGCTGTGCTTGTTTGTGTGGAGATGCAGGACAAGGATACACAACACAATAAATATTGAAATGAACATTTCCAACTCACAGTCGAACCCTTGTCTGTAAGGTAGCTAATGCCCTCCTCAGGTCCAATGGCTAGCTCTACTTGGATGACCCAGCTTAACTGTCAGGAGGAAAGGAAGGCCGAGAGAAAAACAAAAAGAAGCCTTGAGAATTGTCTTCAGATCAGTCACAAATCATCAAAAGGAAGAGAGCGACACACACACAATGACATTTAAGTTGAGAGTTCAGTCTGTCGGATTCAAAGTGACAACTCATAACCATGAAAACACATCTGCTACAACATTTACAACTGTTTGTTTGAAGTAGATCTGAGGGAATGCCAGATTAATTGTTACCATCTCTTGTCATTGCTGGTAAACAAAAAACAACAGTGGTTTTCTTTATGGCCAGTAGGGGTCCCTATGAACTTGGTAATTTTTATTTAAACTACAGAGATGCAGATGAGACCCACCCAAATACAACCATTATATCCCAGGCATTACTCCACTGTCTAAGAAAAACACACTTAACTATCAAATAATTACTGAGAAAACAAGTATAACGCATTCAGTTGTGTTCAGTACGTGTTCAGTACGTGTCATTCTTTGGGATTTGTAAAAATGCGCATCTTGACGCTATATGTTTTATCTGAAACACAGAACAAAATAAAATATATTGAAATTCAGCCTACCCCGAGAGCACATTTAAAACACTCCTTATCATATCTGTAGACGGGCGCCAGAATCTCCAGGAACTTGAGGATGCTCTGGTCATCATTCATGTTGGCAAATTGTTTGAACGTCTGCTGAATCAGCTTCCGCAGGGTTTTGGCCTGGCAGAGAGGACAGAGAGGGAGAGGGTAGTTACTAGACAGGCAGACCCAAATGTGTCCCAAATGGCACCCTATTCTTTATACAGTGCATTACTTTTGGCCCTGGTCAAAAGTAGTGCACTATGTAGGGAATAGGGTGCCGTTTGGGACATAAACATGGCCCTGGTTAAGCTTGCCAGGGCATAGAGAACGGGGCACTGATACAGACACAACAAGTCACGTTAATAGTATCAAACAGAGCAAGTGTGAAACACATATGAAAGACAAGGAAAGTTCGTCTGGGTCCTATACTGGAAGGACAGTAGGCAACTCTTATATTGTTTTGATGCCATAGCCTACATGTTTGGCTTGGCATTGAACGAGAGGAGCTGGCTTAAAGCACAGAGTACTGGCTAAAGGAAAGCAATGCTCTAGCTAATTTCTCGGACTGCTTTAAATTGGTAATCTGGGATTAGTACATCCATTTGAAGGGGTTTTAAAGTAATGATATATAGCCACTGATTCTTAAAGTATATAACATGACTGAGCATAGTAGAACCGTCTTACCCCTTCAAAATCCCAGACCACCCCTTTAAAAAAGCTATCCATCACTTTAATACACTGTACCCCCATGAGAAAGAAGTGAATGATACTGATAACCGTATTGATTGGAGAATATATATTGAGCGTCATGCCAATTAGGGTCATAGCAGGGGACTGGGGGGCTGCGTCCCAAATGGCACTGTATTCCCTATATAGTGCCTTCCTTTGACCAGAGCCCAATGTGTTAACTTTATAGAGAATAGGGTGCCATTTAGGATGCAACGGTGAGTGAGACAGACCAGTTCATAGTTCAACCAGTTTAGAGACTAGTGGAGTTGTTGGCCTGATCAATGTGACCGGGTCAATAGTGACTCTGTCTTCCATTACACGGCCAGTGAGTTTAAACTCCATTAAAAATGCACGAGACATCGTGCTTTAATGACAGCTGATGTTGACACTATTACTACACACTGACTGACACACACACACACACACACACACACACACACCTTCTAATTATGTAATCTAAATCAACTCCCTGCAGAGTTAGGCTGATTCATCAAGGACTTATACTAACAGCTGCCTGTCCTACTAGTCCGCATACTGGCTTTTAAAATCAACGACTTATAAATACAGCATTTTAGACTCCACTTAATGGACAGGGGGTTAGGGGTGAGGGTAGGGGTCGGAAAACAATGGAATTCTAGGAATGGATCCCCTGATCCTATCTGGAGCTCTTACTTTACTGTAGAACATAACAGTAACATGTGGAGTAATCACAGAACTTGTCCCCTCCACCCTTCCTGAGAGGAAGCTGAGCTCAGAGTATCTCTCCATCTCCCATAAGAACCCTGCAGGGAGGGAGGGCCCTACAGTTGATATAGTACAGTAGTGTACTGATGTGTACAGATGAATCTTTCTGAATCTGTATTTATTCTATGCCATTTGTCTACACTTGATGTGTTTTAATGTGGGCACAGGCAAACAAATGGCATTTTTCCGCCGGTATATACAAAGTAGTACTTTGAAAGACATTGACAGCATAAAGACAACTTATGGTACTGTAGTTGTAACAGATCTCATGGTTTGACCTGACAAAGATTTAGGAGCATATAGAGTCCTGTTCAAGCATAAAGTCAACCCATCAGGTGGATTTCTCCATTAGAAATGTCAGACCACACAAGTGCTTCATTCTAAAGCACTTACAAGACCTCCTCTGAAATCGGATGCGTCCCAAATGGCACCCTATTCCCTATATCATAGATGTCAAACTCATTCCATGGAGTTTGACACCTGTGCCCTATATAGTGCACTACTTTTGACCAGGGTCCATAGTAAAAACTAGTGCACTTTAGAGATAATAGGGTGCTATTTGGGACGCACCCATTAGTGATTCTGGTGCCAAACCAAATTAAACTCACGTTTCCCTCCACTTTTTCGAGCAGAGCCTGTCGTCATCGCTCTAAATGGAAACCTTCTGCTGTAAACCTGGGGATGGTAATTATGTAAACGTGAACCTCTGTGTAATCAATAATTTATTTTATTGCCTAATTTGATTACGCTTTGAGTGAGTTATATTCCGACCTCAGCCATTTGCCAGGTAATGTACTCTGTCCAGTGGAGTGGATAGGAGCGAGAATAACCGTGTTAACATATTTCTGTTCATCAAAAGTGTGTGTGGGGGGGGGTCTGGAGTGTGTATGTGTGTCACAGTGGGTGTGTGCGTGGCTTCAGTTCGTTGCTGAAAGCATCATCTGTTCAACATGTCATTGTGATGTAGGGGAGAGTCATTTCCAGAAGGATCATGGTTTTTAATCCTACCAGAACCACACTTACATGTTTGGGGGTTTCAATGTTATAGCTAACTAACAACAGAGTAGATAGTGTGGGGGGGATGGTTGGCTGGAGGACGGATGGGCGGATGGAGGGAGGGAGGGATGATGGATGGAGGGAGGGAGGGAGGGATGGATGGTTAGGGGGTGTTTTTAACAAACAGGCGCCTGGCTACGAGGATGTGATTTCATGTTTTCCAAGGGGAGCTGTGACTGGAATGGGGGGAGGGTAACTCTGAGGCACTTGGGCCTGACAGAAGGAGGTACCCCCTCCCCAGAAGTACCCTCCCCCATTGGGGATAAAGTGGGTTTAGCAGTGACATGTGGGGCTGTGGGGTTAGGCACCACCCACACCTCCAGGCAGAGCATCTGTCCACCCCTCTCTCTCCGACTCCAATGCACCCTTCCCTGGGGCACTAGGTCCCACGTTCACGCCGCCCCATTGTGGCCCCCCCGCAGCTCTGTACGCCCACACACGTGCCATAAATCCATCACATCACACACATGGCTGGCGGCTGAGACACTCACACACACACACACACACACACACACACACACACACACACACACACACACACACACACACACACACACACACAGTCTCCAGGAAAACCCACCATCAAGGCTCTGTTAAACATGCTAAACTCCTTGCTTCAACTGGCTTTAGGCCAAAAACTAAAAAAGCTGTCTTATAGTACAGTATATAGAACAGTACAGTAAATGGGATCATTTCCACACTGTTTATCGCAGTGGATGTCTGGCGCTGTTGTGAAGCGAGATGAGAGGAGTCGACAGATGAGTGGGTTTGATTCAGCTGGGGCTCTTTCCCCCACAGGCCTGTTTGTACGAGGGATGCTAGCCTGGAACTAGGCCAACTCTGCCTGTCCAAGGCTGGAACAAAGGCCCCAGAACCAAGAGATCCACACACACAGCTAGAAGACACTTCAGAGGGTAGAAAGGAAATATGGAGTCTTCAAAGTGCGTGCTACATTCATATGAAGCGGTGGTCGGTGCTCTCTCTGAGAATGCATTGGAGACTGACTGGACCTTGGAGATATATTCTCATCGATGACCCTGAAAGAAGAAATACATTTTTCTGAAGCATCATCTCACCTTGACTGAATCCAGTAAACTCTTGGGGAAGAATCTTCTTAAGCCCACATCTTTTCTGTAAAGAAGGGAGAAAAAAAAGGAGAATGTCAGTTTAGTGAGACCAGTGCCTGAGGCTGGTCTAGCTGGCAACGTCACCTCCTGCAACACATATACACCACCAGCATGGGTACGAATCCTGGCCCCACCGCTATTCTGCATCTTCATCCCTCACTATGTCTACCCTCTCATTTCATACGATCCCTGTCTGAATAAAGTGAAATACTGTCAAATATATATATTTAAAAACAGTTTTTACCATTGCCAAAATGAGAATGCAAAATGTCTACTTTCGGGTTAGCCTCAACTCCTCAAAACAGTCCCCTGATGGAATTTCACCTCCCTGATACCAATCTACCAGGGAAAGGAGAGAGAAACACATCCATTTACTCAGGGCCATTAGTAGGCCTTCTCTGAAGTTAACCACACAACATAACTGATCGGTCTGTGTACAGAGAGGAGGAAAGGGGGGGGGGGGGGGGGGGGGAACAGTGTGGACCAGAGAGAGAGAGAGAGAGAGAGAGAGACAGAGTAGCAGAAAAGAAGACTTCAGAGAAAGAGAGAGGGAAAGAGAGTCCTCACATCGTAGAGGAGAAGAAGAGACAGCATATTTTTTAAAGCCAATAACATCATCCCTCCCACACAATCATTTCATCATTTGGTCTCTATTAAAAGATAGCTCGTTAAAACCCGAGGCGCTCCGTAAGCCACTTACGTTCCGCTGGCCGCGGCCATTAACCAGAATCAATCCACATCATTTATAAGGCCGGGGCCACAAAACCTGCCATAAAATTGATGCTGACTTGGCAATAGTGTGATGAAGCTTTTCTGGTAGCAGAGCAATGCTACCGTCCGTCTGTGCATGTGAGTGAGGATCTAGGTACATTTAAGGATCTGTATGCCACGACAATGAGTGACAAGGAGTTGGCATGATGGCACAAACAGATGCTATGGATCTGTTATAATGCCTTAGCTTAGCTATGTTAAATCAAGAGGAAACACACTCTGTAGTTTTAGCAGTGCTGAACCACAACATGATGACTTTCCCCAGGCTCAGAAAATCCTCTCTCCTGTATGTCTCCCTGGCCTGACAGTAATCCAAGCTGCTTATACTAAAAATGTGGAAATCAATCAATCCGCCATCATTAACACAATGGAAAAAAATCGAATGATTGATTTAAATATTGAAAGTGCGTGGGCTATGGAGAGAAACACAATGGTGCAGTTTCAGGCCATGTGGCGGAAAGTGATGCTGGCGCTGGAGATTTGGGTGTGTGCTAGTGGGTCTGGGCAGGTGTGATGTAGTTGATGTTTGCACAATGTTGTCGTTTGTATGTGTATGTTTTGTATTGTCTATAAAATATCAAATAAAATCGTTTAAAAAAAGTTTTCCAAGCTGCCCACCAGGTAGTCAAACCACCCCCTCCTTCCCCCTCCCTCCATGTCTGTCACCTCATTAGCCGTCAGTCACCGAAATTGGAAGTGCTCTCTGATTGGATTGCCCCTGCTGCGCTCACTCTCCCCCTCCCCTCTTGTATCCCCTCTCTTCTCCTCTCCATCTCTCCTCTCTCTCTATCCCCCTCCTCTCTCTCCCTTCCTCTCCTCTGCCCTCAGTGCTGGGCTGTGTGGACTGACTGACCTGGAACTAACGCTAGCCAGCGCACTGAATCCCAGCACCATTATCAGAGGAGAGGGGAGAGTGTGAAAGAGCGAGAATGCGAGTGCGAGAGAGAGAGAGAGGCAGCGAGTGCGAGAGAGAGAGAGAGAGTGCAAGAGCGAGAATACGAGTGCGAGAGAGAGAGAGAGAGAGAGAGAGGCAGAGAGAAAGAGAGAGAGAGAGAGAGCTGGCTATTCATTAGGACACTTTACTTTTGTGCCTCTGAAACAAGCCCCTGCTTTCTCTATGGGTCTGAGCACAGCACAGCAGCAGCTAAGACTGGACATCATTGGTTGGGCAAGGTCCAGTTAGCACTAGCCAGAGCCCTAGCAGTAGGCTACAAAACAGTCAAATGGACACATTTGTGTGGTCTCTCCCTTGTTTCATATCATGCTTAATAAAACCTGGTTGCATATCACAATAACCTTGTTCCAAAAACCTACACATAAGGATGATATTAGTGGCATTAAATCTGAAGCATACAGAAACATCTTGGGATTTAGTAGCCTACTATGAGAGAATGTATGGTCATCAACATGGAGGGAGAGCAGCAGAGCTCATATTTCTTCCACAGTTACCCAGTAACTGTTTGCACTAGGGCTGGGAATTGCCAGGGACCTCATGATACAATATCACGATACGTAGAGTAGGTGCCGATATGATATGTATTGCGACACTCACAATTCTATACCTATTGCAATTCGATACCACGATTTTATTGAAATTCAATGTTCCAAACACATTGCTCACCATATACTGTATGTTTGCTGCAGAGGGACAAGAGAGTCATGATCAGTCATGGAAATAAAAGTGCTGAAAACAAATTGGCTCCCTATTAAAAAATAAGATTGAGAACAAGCTATGAAGGAAAAATACTGGAGTTTTGGTGCAGGTACAGCCAACTAGCACAAAAATAATATTGCAATATTGTAAAAAATATATATATTGAGGTATATCATCAAAAATAATATCCTGATATGTGACTATCGATTTTTTCCCTTATCACTAGTTTGCACAGTAACACAGTATTAACCGTATGCATCAATGACAAACAGACCATTGCACCGTTATGTATCCACATCCAATATGGAGGATCCAATACGCCTTGGGCTGCGGGGTAAAGCTTTCCCTAGGTACAGATCTAGGATCAGCTTACCCTCCCCCAATCCTAACCTTAACCATTAGTGGGGAAAATGCTAAACTTAACCAAGACAAGCGTGTAGGGGAAACTTCACCCTACACCACAACTTGGCAAGGCTGATCAACCTCCGGTTAGACACGTTTCTCAGCTTGCAGTGCCCTGCCTTACAGCCTGTTGCAGGCCCGGTCAAATTACTGAACCCCTTAACTCTGCATATCCTTGGAGCCAGCAGAGGACGACACTGGTTGCGTCCCAAATGGCACCCAATATAGTGCACAGGGTTTGACCAGGGTCCAACAGGGCTACATAGAGCACTATGTAAGGAACAGGGTGCCACATTTTCCCTGCAGAAGGAAGGTGTGAGATTATCCCCTGGGAAAGGAGGCAGAACACGGACGTTCCCCAACAGCAAGGCGATAAAGACCAGGCAGCAGGGATCCGTATAGTGGACGGGCTAACAAGACCGGAATGCCGCTCGGAATACCAATGGGCCTGGAATACCAACGGGCTCTGAATATACCAATGGGTGGTAGTGTTTATCCTATAATTTTTTTAAAAGCACATCTGAAATATTATTTTCTCTTTAAAAGCATTATAAACTGTAGGCTGAAGCATGGGGTTGCCCTTCTGCATTTACCTAATTGAAAAACCCTAAAAGACTCAATTTGTCAATCTTAAAAGCGCGTCTCGGCAGAAATATGTATTATTTTTAAATGGGCGTGGCGGCAACGATTGAAATGAATATAGGTGAAACACTGGGCTGGAATACCAAAGTAGAGGACCCAACCCTTTGGGTTAGAGAAGGTATGTTGATGGTAAACAGGAGAGACATGCCAAAGGGATCGCTGGTAATTTAGTAGCGGTGTGAGGGCTCTCTCTCCCTCTCCCTTCTCTTCATCCATCATTCGAAATATGTAAATAATTTATGAAAAGCGAACTCTGCATTTCAATCAATACGGAGAGAAAAGAGAGAGTGATCGTTAGTAATTAGCGGGCCTCTTTAGAGTGTGAAGGCCTGAGCATATGAGAAAATAACTAATTGGACGCATCGTTAGAAAAGGGCATTGTTAACGTGAACCCCTGACCTTTATCAAATAGCGCACCTCGGAAAAGCGTGTTCGATGGCAGACCTGAGACTCTGCAGGGGGTTGAACCATGTATGGTCACGGCACCGGTTTACCCATGTGATCTTTATGAAGAATGGTTCACATATACCCCATTAACACACTAGGTTAACCTACAGTATGTGATCTTTATGAAGGATGGTTCACATATATCCCATTAACACACTAGGTTAACCTATGTGTTCTTTATGAAGGATGGTTCACATATATCCCATTAACACACTAGGTTAACCTATGTGTTCTTTATGAAGGATGGTTCACATATATCCAATTAACACACTAGACAAGGCCACCGCAACCATGGCAACTGATCCCAGTGTCCTCACAAAAAATAGTCTTGAGGTTATAGAAGATATAGGATATCCAATGACATCATATTTTAGCTATCATAAATAAATGTATTAATCACCTTTACAGGAATTCCTCTTACACATTGAGTTTCTTGGTAAAAGATCAACAAAGACATACAATATTGACTGAATAGTTATTTCTTACAGTGAGCAGTAGAAACCCAAGCTATTACCATACGAGAATCAAGCCAAAAGGGACTTACTCTAATAGCTCATAGTTTGATTTCTTGTCCAGCGCATTTCCCCGCATCTCCCGGAAGAATCTCCTGTACGGGAAAAATGTCTTGGTGAGTGTGAAATACAACAACATGGGAGCTAGCTAACGTTCATGAAAGAGAATAGAACATTTGACCACTCTTGGATAACTGAACTGACCTGATTTCAAGGCATCCCAACTTAAGTGCAATGTCTTGCTCGACCTGGTCGGCTATCTCTACCATGTAGTCATTTTTCACCTGTAAGACAGACAGAAATACATGTTTTAGAATGGGAGCATGGAGGCCTTACACAGAGCAACAGAAGTCAAACAAACACACACTGAATTTTGAGGTGTAGAACCCACGGGACAAAGGCTTTGAGGGGGACCTTACTGATATACAGCTATTTTACAAACACTGGCCCCCTCCCTCCAGAGAGAGAGAGAGAGAGAGAGAGAGCGCGGGAGGGGGGGATAGAGAGGGAGACAGACAGAGAGTGAAAGACAGAAAGAGAGTGAGAGAGAGACAGAAAGAGAGACATTCAATCCCCCATACAAACAGCCCATAGTAAGTGGGTGGTGGGCTTGGTTGATAAAGCCTGGGTGGGTGCACCTGCAGAGACAGCAACACAACACTGGCAGACGGACACAGAGAGAGCCATTTCATGAGACAAATGAGCATGTGCTTCTGAGTGATAACTAAGAGAATTAGCACTCATGGGCTATTATGTCCTCTCTGAATGTCACGATTTGTCATGTTGAGTGGCGGTTCTTTGTATTCTAACACCCATAAAGAAATTGAGTCTGCCATTTTAGATCATATGCATTGAAAACAAAACCTGGTTCATGAAAGTGTTGTTCCATACCAGACACAATTCGGAACATAAGCGCACTTCACGCTCCATGATTACCCCTTCAAACAGTGAGATTTTTACCTTCCATCATGGCAATTTTCCCCTCAGCTGGATTTCAGTGAAAACATGAGAGTGAAAGTGACACAAGATGAGCCCAAATGTGTCCCCCTGCTGTCAAGATGGCCTCTTTTCTTCCACGTCAGGATCGGAGAGAGGGAGCGTCTCTTACCAAGAGCGCCAGACAGAGCCCTCCTGAGGCCCACTGACCCAGTTCACCTCTCTGCATCTACAGCCTTGCGGGTGGCTACACATCGTGTGTTACGCCCTAATACCTCCACATATTTCACCCATACACTCACAGTAACGACTTGGGTCCCTCAGACCCACACACACGCACACATATGTATGTGCAGGCACGCATGCATGCACACACACACACAAACAGATGCATGAACTCTCACACACACACACATCTGTTAGAAGTGCCATATGCCTCCGCCTGCGGTTACAGTGTTGTTGAATAAATAAGCCTAGCTAAGTATGTTTTGAAAATGTGTCTCCCCATGGTCAATGGCCTGTTACAAACCAGGCTGTCTCTGTTACTTAACTCCCATGGATGATGTGTTGGGGTGTGTGTGTACACTACTGGTGAAAAGTTTTAGAACACCTACTCATTCAAGGGTTTTTCTTTATTTTTACTATTTTCTACATTCTAGAATAATAGTGAAGACATCAAAACTATGAAATAACACATATGGAATAATGTAGTAACCAACAAAGTGTTAAATTAATAAAAATATATTTTATATTTGAGATTCTTCAAATAGCCACCCTTTGCCTTGACAGCTTTGCACACTCTTGGCATTCTCTCAACCAGCTTCATGAGGTAGTCACCTGGAATGCATTTCAATTAACAGGTGTGCCTTCTTAAAAAATAATTTGTGGAATTTATTTCATTCTTAATGCATTTGAGTCAATCAGTTGTGTTGTGACAAGGTAGGGGGGGTATACAGAAGATAGCCCTATTTGGTAAAAGATCAAGTCCATATTATGGCAAGAACAGCTCAAATAAGCAAAGACAAACGACAGTCCATCATTACTTTAAGACATGAAGGTCAGTCAATACGGAAGATTTCAAGAACTTTGAAAGTTTCTTCAAGTGCAGTTGCAAAAAACATCAAGCGCTATGATGAAACTGACTCTCATGAGGACCGCCACAGGAATGGAAGACCCAGAGTTACCTCTGCTGCAGAGGATAAGATCATTAGAGTTACCAGCCTCAGAAATTGTAGCCCAAATAAATGCTTCACAGAGGTCAAGTCACAGACACATCTCAACATCAACTGTTCAGAGGAGACTGTGTGAATCAGGCCTTCATGGTCGATTTGCTGCAAAGAAACCACACCAATAAGAAGAAAATACTTGCTTGGGCCAAGAAACACGAGCAATGGACATTAGACCGGTGGAATATTGTACTTTGGTCTGGAGTCCAAATTGGAGATTTTTGGTTCCAACCGCCGTGTCTTTGTGAGATGCGGTGTGGGTGAACAGATGATCTCTGCATGTGTATTTCCCACCGTAAAGCATGGAGGAGCAGCGCGCCGTCTCTAGCCAACTCTCCTGCAATCTCTCTCAGAATGACCTTCTTGATCCAAACCAGTCAGGTTTCAAGACTGGTCATTCAACTGAGACTGCTCTTCTCTGTGTCACGGAGGCTCTCCGCACTGCTAAAGCTAACTCTCTCTCCTCTGCTCTTATCCTTCTAGACCTATCTGCTGCCTTTGATACTGTGAACCATCAGATCCTCCTCTCCACCCTCTCCGAGTTGGGCATCTCCGGCGCTGCTCACTCTTGGACTGCATCCTACCTGACAGGTCGCTCCTACCAGGTGGCGTGGCGAGAATATGTCTCCGCACCACATGCTCTCACTACTGGTGTCTCTATACACCAATTCTCTCTATACACCAAGTCACTTGGCTCTGTCATATCCTCACATGGTCTCTCCTATCATTGCTACGCAGACGACACACAATTAATTTTCTCCTTTCCCCCTTCTGATAACCAGGTGGCGAATCGCATCTCTGCATGTCTGGCAGACATATCAGTGTGGATGTCGGATCACCACCTCATGCTGAACCTCGGCAAGACGGAGCTGCTCTTCCTCCCAGGGAAGGACTGCCCGCTCCATGATCTCGTCATCACGGTTGACAACTCCATTGTGTCCTCCTCCCAGAGTGCAAAGAACCTTGGCGTGACCCTGGACAACACCCTGTCGTTCTCCGCTAACATCAAAGCGGTGACCCGATCCTGCAGGTTCATACTCTACAACATTCGCAAAGTACGACCCTACCTTACACAGAAAGTCCTAATCCAGGCACTTGTCATCTCCCGTCTGGATTACTGCAACTCGCTGTTGGCTGGGCTCCCTGCCTGTGCCATTAAACCCCTACAACTTATCCAGAACGCTGCAGCCCTTCTGGTGTTCAACCTTCCCAAGTTCTCTCATGTCACCCCACTCCTCCGCACACTCCACTGGCTTCCAGTTGAGGCTCGCATCTACTACAAGACCATGGTGCTTGCCTACGGAGCTGTGAGGGGAACGGCACCTCCTTACCTTCAGGCTCTGATCAGACCCTACACCCAAAGGAGGGCACTGCTAGCCCCCCTACCTCTACGGAAGCACAGTTCCCGCTCAGCCCAGTCAAAGCTAATCGCTGCTCTGGCACCCCAACGGTGGAACAAGCTCCCCCACGGCGCCAGGACAGCGGAGTCCCTGACCACCTTCCGGAGACACTTGAAACCCTACCTCTTTAAGGAATACCTGGAATAGTATAACAGTAATCCTTCTACCCCCCCCCCCCCCCCCCCCCCCTCGCCCACCCCCCCATAAAAAAAAAGGAGTGGTTGTCCCACTGGCTATCCTAAGTTGAATGCACCAATTTGTAAGTCTCTCTGGATAAGAGCGTCTGCTAAATTACTTAAATGTGTTATGGTGTGGGGGTGCTTTGCTGATGACACTGTCTTTGGTTTATTTAGAATTCAAGGCACACTTAACCAGCATGGCTACCACAGCATTCTGCAGCGATATGCCATCCCATCTGGGTGGGCTTAGTGGGACTATCATTTGTTTTTTAACAGGACAATGACCCAATACACCTCCAGGCTGTGTAAGGGCTATTTTACAAAGAAGGAGAGTGATGGAGTGCCACATCAGATGACCTGGCCTCCACAATTCCCTGACCTCAACCAAATTGAGATGGTTTGGGATGAGTCGGACCGCAGAGTGAAGGAAAAGCAGCCAACAAGTGCTCAGCATATGTGGGAACTCCTTCAAGACTGTTGGAAAAGCATTCCAGGTGAAGCTGGTTGAGAGAATGCCAAGAGTGTGCAAAGCTGTCATCAAGGCAAAGGGTGGCTATTTGAAGAATCTCAAATATAAAATATATTTTGATTTGTTTAACACTTTTTTGGTTACTACATGATTCCATATGTCTTATTTCATAGTTGTGATGTCTTCACTATTATTCTACAATGTAGAAAATAGTAAAAATAAAGAAAAACCCTTAAATGAGTAGGTGTTCTAAAACTTTTGACCGGTAGTGTATGTGTGTCTGTCTTACCTGCTGGTAGAAGTAGTTGAGTGTGGGTTTGTCTTCACTGAAGTGGTGCAGGAATCCTTTTGGAAGGTAGCGAATACGCAGCTCATACCTGGAGAAGAGAAACATGTCACTGTTTAGATAAGACACAGAAGGGAATATGGATGTAGGTGTTTTTACAGTCACAGAGATAGAATACTGTTTACAGTTCAGCTATAACACAGTGCAAAACACTGCCTAGTGACACAGGGGGGAAATAGTATTAATATGCCCCTGCTTAGAACACAGACGCTTAGGGAATAGGGGTGTTGTGGTCCAATGGTGTTTTTACACTTAGGTCACAGGGCTAGAATACAGCACAGTCCACATAAACAAAAGGAATAGGTATAGTGGCTTGCGAAAGTATTCACCCCCCTTGGCATTTTTCCTATTTTGTTGCCTTACAACCTGATTTTTTGGGAGGTTTGTATCATTTGATTTAAACAACATGCCTACCACTTTGAAGATGCAAAATACTTTTTATTGTGAAACAAACAAGAAATAAGACAAAAATACAGAAAACTTGAGTGTGCATAACTATTCACCCCCCCAAAGTCAATACTTTGTAGAGCAACCTTTCGCAGCAATTACAGCTGCAAGTCTCTTGGGGTATGTCTCTATAAGCTTGGCACATCTAGCCACTGGGATTTTTGCCCATTCTTCATGGCAAAACTGCTCCAGCTCCTTCAAGTTGGATGGGTTCCACTGGTGTACACCAATCTTTAAGTCATACCACAGATTCTCAGTTGGATTGAGGTCTGGGCTTTGACTAGGCCATTCCAAGACATTTAAATGTCTCCTCTTAAACCACTTGAGTGTTGCTTTAGCAATATGCTTAGGGTCATTGTCCTGCTGGAAGGTGAACCTCCGTCCCAGTCTCAAATATCTGGAAGACAAACAGGTTTCCATCAAGAATTACCCTGTATTTAGTGCCATCCATCATTCCTTCAATTCTGACCAGTTTCCCAGTCCTTGCCGGTGAAAAACATCCCCACAGCATGATGCTGCCACCACTATGCTTCACTGTGGGGATGGTGTTCTCGGGGTGATGAGAGGTGTTGGGTTTGCACCAGACACAGCATTTTCCTTGATGGCAAAAAAGCTCGATTTTAGTCTCATCTGACCAGAGTACCTTCTTCCATATGTTTGGGGAGTCTCCCACATTCCTTTTGGCGAACACCAAACAGGTTTGCTTATTATTTTCTTTAAGCAATGGCTTTTTTCTGACCACTCTTCTGTAAAGCCCAGCTCTGTGGAGTGTATGGCTTAAAGTGGTCATATGGACAGATACTCCAATCTCCGCTGTGGAGCTTTGTAGCTCCTTCAGGGTTATCTTTGGTCTCTTTGTTGCCTCTTTGATCAATGCCCTCCTTGACTGGTCCGTGAGTTTTGGTGGGCAGCCCTCTCTTGGCATGTTTGTTGTGGTGCCATATTCTTTCCATTTTGTTTTTATGGATTTAAGGGTGCTCCGTGGGATGTTCAAATTTTCTAATATCTTTTTATAACCCAACCCTGATCTGTACTTCTCCACAACTTTGTGACAATCATGTGACACTTAGATTGCACACAGGTGGACTTTATTTAACTAATTATGTGACTTCTGAAGGTAATTGGTTGCACCAGATCTTATTTAAGGGTTTCATAGCAAAGGGGGTGAATACATATGCACGCACTACTTTTCCGTAATTTATTTTTTTGAATTGTTTTAAACAACTATCAAGCGCTATGATGAAACTGGCTCTCATGAGGACCGCCACAGGAATGGAAGACCAGGAGTTACCTCTGCTGCAGAGGATAAGTTCATTAGAGTTACCAGCCTCAGAAATTGCAGCCCAAATAAATGCTTCACAGAGTTAAAGTCACAGACACATCTCAACATCAACTGTTCAGAGGAGACTGCGCGAATCACGCCTTCATGGTCGAATTGCTGCAAAGAAACCACTACTAAAGGACACCAATAAGAAGAAGATACCTGCTTGGGCCAAGAAACAAAAGCAATGGACATTAGACTGGTGGAAATTCGTCCTTTGGTCTGGAGTCCAAATTTGAGATTTTTGTTTCTAACCGCCGTGTCTTTGTGAGACGCGGTGTGGGTGAACGGATGTTCTCCGCATGTGTAGTTCCCACCGTAAAGCATGGAGGAGGTGGTGTTATGGTGTGGGGGTGCTTTACTGGTGACACTGTCTGTGATTTATTTAGAATTCAAGGCCCACTTAACCAGCATGGCTACCACAGCATTCTGCAGCGATATGCCATCCCATCTGGTTTGGGCTTAGTGGGACTATCATTTGTTTTTCAACAGGACAATGACCCAACACACCTCCAGGCTGTGTAAGGGCTATTTGACCAAGAAGGAGCGTGATGGAATGGTGCATCAGATGACCTGGCCTCCACAATCCCCCGAACTCAACCAAATTGAGATGGTTTGGGATGAGTCGGACCGCAGAGTGAAGGAAAAGCAGCCAACAAGTGCTCAGCTTATGTGGGAACTCCTTCAAGACTGTTGGAAAAGCATTCCAGGTGAAGCTGGTTGAGAAATTGCCAAGAATGTGCAAAGCTGTCATCAAGGCAAAGGGTTGCTATTTGAAGAATCTCAAATATAAAATATATTTTGATTTGTTTAACACTTTTTTGGTTACTACATGACTCCATATGTGTTATTTCATAGTTTGATGTCTTCACTATTATTCTACAATGTAAAAAAATAGTATAAAATAAAGAAAAACCCTTGAATGAGTAGGTATGTCCAAACATTTGACTGGTAGTGTATAGGTAGGAGATACCGACTGTCATTTTTGGTGAGTTTCCAGCGAATGTGAATGAGAGACATTGTGCAAATGAACAAAGTTTTGTCGCATGCTTGTCTGAAGGAAGAACAGTACTGTGTACACACTGTGTATGTGTGGAGTCTGGGAGTCACTAGGGAAATGGACCTGCCTGCTCTGCTCAGAGAAGATAGGGGAGGAGCAGACAGGCCCAGAACAGAGAGGAGAAAACACAAGGGAATCAAGCTGCAGTGGCAGCTGTACAGATTACTCATCCAAAGGGATTTGACTTCTCAAACACTACAGAAAGCTAACACAATATGATGCCCCGTGACCTTATTAACTCAGCCACTGACTTAAATAACTAGCAAGTTAAACTTTAGAGTCGCCCTAACGTAGAATTCTTTGTTTTTCACGCAGGAAAAAATGATAAAACGCATTGATAAAACGCATAAGAAATATCTTGCTGCGTTTTTTAAATACAGATCTAAAAAGCTTCTTATTTTAATTTCTGCTCAGCATCAAACTAATTTTGTGCTTCAGTTGCACTTCTCCACTGGGATGAGAATTCACAAACAGGCATTCTATCAGCAGACAGCGCTCTGACTGATGTGGAGCTTCTTTTCTCTGGTACTTTTCTGGTGTAGCCAGCCTACTGTTCTCAGTAAAATGCAAGATTAACTTGAAGCAAAACATTAGGAAATGTAGCTGGTTACATTCTTTCTATGATATACATTAGCATATTGATGGCCATGCATTGTTTTCTGCAAAAAAAGACATTGCGTTTTCATTGTAAGCTCATTTACTTGTGTGGCTGCTAGCCAAATAGCGTTGCACCTCTGTCATCATCTGATGAAAATTAAGCTTTTTCTGCCGAATGTGTTGCACTAATGTATTTTCTGTGAAGGAAAACTATAGTCTCTCTCTCTCTATCCTATGAGACAGCCTGATCAAAGCTGTGAACTCCTCTCCGCTGTGTTCGGCCCGGCTGTGATGAAACAACTCTGCCTGATCCCAGACCTGCCTGGCACGGTGCCACACCATAACTCTCTCTCCCTCTCCCTCCCTCCCTCCCTCTGATGGTTCCCCCATCACCCGCTGCCACCACCACCACCTGCCAATCCCCCCCAGTGGCAGTGAGCCGGGATAATCGCTTAGCGTCTTTAAATCGGCCGCTAGATGCCCGTCACCTTGTTCTATCAGAATAGACATACCCCCTGACAGAACTAATGATGGCTCGCCTCTCTAACCACTAGGCCACCTGCCGTACACACACACACACACACACACGTATATGAGGAGTCTTGACAGCCAGGCTCAGGACAGAGGGGAAGATAAATGAATAGTTAAATCAAATGGCTGAAACTGAGGAAGAATATCAATATATTAGACTTGTAATAATCAGTTAGTAGCACGTTCAATCCGAGCTGTTACATAAACACAGCTTCATCTTGTTTTATAAAGGTCACTATGGATGGAACCCTGAAAAATATTGAAAAAATCTCATCTGAGTTGTGTTCAGTAGGTCACACTGTAGCAAAACATTTTGCAACACAAAATCAGCGTTCTTATTGGATAAGTTCAGGTTGTATCTCCCCTGTTCCAAATAGTTTTGTGCCAACTGAACAAGACCCAGGCCCTTCAGGTTTCATTTCCTAATAGGTTCAGATTGTTCTAGACCTTCATTCTGTCTGTATCCATGGGTCTTGTCCTTGCAGCTCAAGCCAGGGTCTGCGTCCCAAATGGCACCCTATTCCCTATGGGCCCTGGTCAAAAGTAATGCACTGTGTAGGGAATAGGGTGCCATTTGGAACACAACCCATGATTACATGGAGGCTCGTGATGAGGTGAGGTAGTGGAACTAAACTGATTGAATCATAGCAGTAGTGACAGGCTTCATGTGCACCTTATTGTATTGACAGAATTTTCTCCTCACGCGCTGATAGCGGTCATTGGTGACATTGAGAAATGACATTGAGAAATGACATTAGGGACCTCAGTGGTCGATTTATGAGATCCGCTCTACTCCCCTTCCCCTGAGAGGCAATTATCAATGTGACAACACACACAAATATACACACACAAACATTTGAATGCACACACACACACACACACAAAAACACATCAAAGTTAAAAGAAAACCCCCATTACTTCAGCATGACAACACCTTTAGACAACTCCACAACAGGCCTGTCATTCACACAGGTGGAGGACGAGATAGAAAGACATCTGGGTTAACTACAGGCCAAGTCTGAGGATGACATCATTGACCTGACATGCCATGACAGCTTCCTGGGCGAACACACACACACGCATGCACACACACACACACAAACGTCAAACATATTAGGGCTGTGGGCGGCAGGTAGCCTAGTGGTTAAGAGCGTTGGACCATTAACCGAAAGGTCGCTGGTTAAAATCATTGAGCCGACTAGGTGAAAAATCTGCCGATGTGCCCTCGAGCAAGGCAATAAATTATAATTGCTCCTGTAAGTCGCTCTGGATAAGAGTGTCTGCTAAATCACTAAAATGTAAATGTCAAATGTAAAGATACCAGTATCGCAATATTTTTTCCATGGCAAAAATTAAAACACAAAGCAGACCAAATTCTTTGGTCCTTTAAAAACCTGCTGTATGTAAAATATTGTGTTCTATAGCTTGGAAAATAAATAAATGTGACTCTGGATGACAACATAATGATGTGTGTTTCCAACATTAGGGCTGTTTTCCTAAAGAAGTTAAATCTGCTTCATGTTTTGTTTAGTTGACAGGATACTAATGAGTATCGTGATACTGGTATCGTCCCGGCCCTACTACATACGCAGGCACTCACACACACACACAAACGTCACACGGACACAAACACAGGCGCACACACACACGTGTGCAGGGACACACACAGACACACACACAGAGCCCTCAGGGTTTGCTTTTCCCTATTTGAAGAATGTGTGTGTGTGTCACTGATGATCACAGACAGTGTTTCAACATCCCTCACTCCCAGGACAGGAATATTCAGATTACTAAACCAGGCCTGGAGGTATACTGTAGTGAATGTAGGGGGACACTGTTCTGTGCTGTGTGTGGAGTTGAACAATGTTCTGTTCTGTACTGTGTGTGGAGTTGAACAATGTTCTGTTCTGTGTGTGGAGTTGAACACTGTTCTGTTCTGTACTGTGTGTGGAGTTGAACAATGTTCTGTTCTGTACTGTGTGTGGAGTTGAACAATGTTCTGTTCTGTACTGTGTGTGGAGTTGAACAATGTTCTGTTCTGTGTGTGGAGTTGAACACTGTTCTGTTCTGTGCTGTGTGTGGAGTTGAACAATGTTCTGTTCTGTACTGTGTGTGGAGTTGAACAATGTTCTGTTCTGTTCTGTGTGTGGAGTTGAACACTGTTCTGTGCTGTGTGTGGAGTTGAACAATGTTCTGTTCTGTACTGTGTGTGGAGTTGAACAATGTTCTGTTCTGTACTGTGTGTGGAGTTGAACAATGTTCTGTTCTGTACTGTGTGTGGAGTTGAACAATGTTCTGTTCTGTACTGTGTGTGGAGTTGAACACTGTTCTATGCTGGGCTGTGTGTGGAGTTGAACACTGTTCTGTTCTGTGTGTGGAGTTGAACACTGTTCTGTGCTGGGCTTTGTGTGGAGTTGAACACTGTTCTGTTCTGTGTGTGGAGTTGAACACTGTTCTGTGCTGGGCTGTGTGTGGAGTTGAACACTGTTCTGTTCTGTGTGTGGAGTTGAACACTGTTCTGTGCTGGGCTGTGTGTGGAGTTGAACACTGTTCTGTTCTGTGTGTGGAGTTGAACACTGTTCTGTGCTGGGCTGTGTGTGGAGTTGAACACTGTTCTGTTCTGTGTGTGGAGTTGAACACTGTTCTGTGCTGGGCTGTGTGTGGAGTTGAACACTGTTCTGTTCTGTGTGTGGAGTTGAACACTGCTCTGTGCTGGGCTGTGTGTGGAGCTGAACACTGCAGTGCCAGCAGCAGAGTGAGTGAATTTAAGATTTCCACTCGGAGTAGATTCAACAAACCCTTGAGCCATTTCTATGCAGCAACATAATTTGACGAAGCATATACACAAACTGTGAACTCCTCAGTATGTTTATTGCAGAATACTGAAACAATCTCTCCCACCCTGAGTTCTATCACAAACGAGAGAGAGAGGGAGGAGAGAGAGGGCGGAGAGAGATGGGGGAGGGAGGGAGGGAGGGAGGGAGGGAGAGAGAGAGAGAGGGCGGAGAGAGATGGGGGGAGGGAGAGAGAGAGAGAGACTATGACATTTGAAATGTTTTTTATTCTTTTGGAACTTCTGAGTGTAATGTTTACTGTTAATATTTATTGTTAATTTCACTTTTGTTTACTATCTACTTCACTTGCTTTGGCAATGTTAACATACGTTTCCCATGCCAATAAAGCCCTTAAATTGAATTGAATTTAAATTGAGAGAGAGAGAGACTGAAAGACACTTCAAAGAGTGTACAGGTCTCTGAGATGTGAAATCACATCATGATAGAACACAACAGTGTATCCCAGGCAGTGGCACTGCTCCACTCAGAATGAGGGAGAAAAGCCAGACAGTCCTTTGTGAACAGATTTAAGTCAGGATTGTTACCCATCCATAACAGAGCCAAGTAGAGAGAGACGACGAGGCTGTCCCAAATGGCACCATATTCCCTATATAGGCTCTAGTCAAAAGTAGTGCACTATGTAGGGAAAAGGGTGTCATTTGGGTAGCACACACAGACTCCAGGCTCAAAGATAGCCAAAAAAGACCTTAGCCTCCCACTCTTAGGATTAAAGTACTGAGATTCGCAGAGGAACATTTAACAGTAATTCAGGAAAGACTGTAAAATGCCTCAGATGATGATCCAAGTAAGGATGGAAACTTCAGATGCTTATAATGTTCAATTAAATGTTTTCTGAAGTAAAACAGCGTACTACAGTACACAAGCCCTTGAGGCTCTTTAGTGGCTGATACTGAAGCCATGTCCAATTCTGTGTTCGGAATATATTTTATGTGACGGTTACATCTAGCACAATAACATGTTCATCTGAATGTGCTGTAAGAAGCCTATGTCAGGCCAGGAGAATGAATGGCTAAGGAACTCTATTGGCCAATCTCTATAGTGCATTCTTCAAACACTCATAGTATCAATGCCTTGCAAAATTCCTCAAAGATCCTCGACTGACTTCTTCCCTACATAAAAGACACAGCGATGAAGTGTTAACTGTCTTGCCTCTGCTCTCAGGGACATTCAAATGGGTATTTGTGTGCTTAAAGAAAGGTTGTAGACTATCAAATCCGTGAAATACTTACTTAATGAAATGCCCTTAACCAACAATGCAGTTTTAAGAATCCCCCCCCCCCAGTAAAATAACAATAGTAAAATAACAATAGCGAGGCTATATACAGGGGGCACTGGCACAGAGTCAATGTGCGGGGGCACTGGCCAGTCGAGGCAATATGTACATGTAGGTAGAGTTATTTAAGTGACTATGCATAGATAATAAACAGAGAGTAGAAGCGGGGGGGGGGGGCAATGCAAATAGTCTGGGTAGCCATTTCATTAGGAGTCATGGCTTGGGGGTAGAAGCTGTTTAGAAGCCTCTTGGACCTAGACTTGGCGCTCCGGTACCGCTTGCCATGCGGTAGCAGAGAGAACAGTCTATGACTATGGTGGCTGGAGTCTTTGACAATTTTTAGGGCCTTTGACACCGCCTGGTATGCCTGGTATAGAGGTCCTGGATGGCAGGAAGCTTGGCCCCAGTGATGTACTGGGCCGTACGCACTACCCTCTGTAGTGCCTTGCGGTCGGAGGCAGAGCAGTAGCCATACCAGGCAGTGATGCAACCAGTCAGGATGCTCTCGATGGTGCAGCTGTAGAACCTTTTGAGGATCTGAGGACCCATGCCAAATCTTTTCAGTCTCCTAAGGGAGAATAGGTTTTGTCGTGCCCTCTTCACGACTGTCTTGGTGTGCTTGGACCATGTTTCGTTTGTTGGTGATGTGGAGACTAAGGAACTTGAAGCCCTCAACCTGCTCCACTACAGCCCTGTCGATGAGAATGGGGGTGTGCTCGGTCCTCTTCTTTTTCCTGTAGTCCACAATCATCGCCTTTGTCTCGATCACATTGAGGGAGAGGTTGTTGTCCTGGCACCACACAGCCAGGTTTCTGACCTCCTCCCTATATGCTGTCTCGTCATTGTCGGTGATCAGGCCTACCACTGTTGTGTCATCAGCAAACTTAATGATGGTGTTGGAGTCGTGCCTGGCCATGCAGTCATGAGTAAACAGGGAGTACCGGAGGGGACTGAGCACGCACCCCTGAGGGGCCCCTGTGTTGAGGATCAGCGTGGCGCATGTGTTGTTACCTATCCTTACCACCAGCGGGCGGCCCGTCAGGAAGTCCAGGATCCAATTGCAGGTGTTTAGTCCCAGGGTCCTTAGCTTGGTGATGAGCTTTGAGGGCCCTATGGTGTTGAACACTGAGCTGTAGTCAATGAATAGGTGTTCCTTTTGTCCAGGTGTTAAAGGGCAGTGTGGAGTGCAATAGATATTGCATCATCTGTGGATCTGTTGGGGCAGTATGTAAATTGGAGTGGGTCTAGGGTTTCTGGGATAATGGTGTTGATGTGAGCCATGACCAGCCTTTCAGAGCACTTCATGGCTACAGACGTGAGTGCTACGGGTCGGTAGTCATTTAGGCAGGTTACCTTAGTGTTCTTGGGCACAGGGACTATGGTGGTCTGCTTGAAACATGTTGATATTACAGACTCAGACAGGAAGAGGTTGAAAATGTCAGTGAAGACACTTGCCAGTTGGTCAGTGCATGCTCTGAGTACACGTCCTGGTAATCTGTCTGGCCCTACGGCCTTGTGAATGTTGACCTGTTTAAAAAGGTCTTACTCACATCGGCTACGGGGAGCGTGATCACACAGTCGTCCGGAACAGCTGATGCTCTCATGCATGTTTCAGTGTTACTTGCCTCGAAGCGAGCATAGAAGTAATTTAGCTCGTCTGGTAGGCTCGTGTCCCTGGGAAGCTCGTAGCTGTGCTTCCCTTTGTAGTCTGTAATAGTTTGCAAGCCCTGCCACATCCGACGAGCGTCGGCGCCGGTGTAGTACGATTCGATCTTAGTCCTGTATTGACGCTTTGCCTGTTTGATGGTTCATCGGAGGGCATAGCGGGATTTCTTATAAGCTTCCGGGTTAGAGTCCCGCTCCTTGAAAGCAGCAGCTCTACCCTTTAGCTCAGTGCGGATGTTGCCTGTAATCCATGGCTTCTGGTTGGGGTATGTACGTACAGTCACTGTGGGGATGACGTCATCGATGCACTTATTGATGAAGACAGTGACTGATGTGGTGTACTCTTCAATGCCATCGGAAGAATCCCGGAACATATTCCAGTCTGTGCTAGCAAAACAGTCCTGTAGCTTAGCATGTGCTTCATCTGACCACTTTTTTATTGACCGAGTCACTGGTGCTTCGTGCTTTAGTTTTTGCTTGTAAGCAGGAATCAGGAGGATTTAATTATGGTCAGATTGGCCAAATGGAGGGCGAGGGAGAGCTTTGTACGCGTCTCTGTGTGTGGAGTAAAGGTGGTCTAGAGTTTTTTCCCTCTGGTTGCACATTTAACATGCTGGTAGATATTAGGTAAAACAGATTTAAGTTTCCTTGCATTAAAGTCCCTGGCCACTAGGAGCATTGCCTCTGGATGAGCATTTTCCTGTCACAGCACTGTCTGATGCAGAAGAAAGAAAGGCATAAAATGCCATCTGTGCGATACCTCACGCTAGAAGCTAAGGATGTGACTCATCTGGCATAACAGCTTTTAATGGACAATGACCTACTACCGAGTCAGTGACAGTTGAGGCAGTGAAAAACACACACACACACACTAAAAGGTGGGTCTGTGAATCTGTAGATTCCACCCTCTTGTTGCAGAGCCACCGACTGCCACGTATCTCCATGACAACAAGGGCAGACAGACGTGTTGTCATTGTCTAAGGGCCATTGGTTGCCATTCTCCATTACACACACAGGGGCAAACAGAGACAGTCAGACAGACAGACAAATACACACACCAAGAGACGGACACACTATCAGACAGATACATGCACACAGGGCAAACACATTGGTGCACTCATACACGTACGCGCGCACAGATGTGCGCGCACAGACACACACACACACAGTCTGCTCACCTCCACTCCTCCTGGGAGCGGTTCTGCTCGTACTTCTCCCTCACGTGGGACACGCCCATATCAGGGTGGAGCCAGTGGACCTGGCCAGACTGGGAGTGGCTGAGGCGCAGACCGAAGCACGCAACGCATTTCACCTTGTGGATGTCCAAGATCTTCTGGATGATCCCCTGTAGAGGTGGAACACAGGAGAGTTGAGTTAAGAGACCAGTGACAAGCCACGGTATGATAGTACAAGGTCATACAGAAGTTATGTAAAGGCAAAGATGTTGAACGTAAAAGGTCCACACAATGCAAGACATTAGAAAAGAAACAGACTCTAATTTTTACTAGAGACAGACAATAAAACACGGTAAACAGAAAGTGGAACCCAGATATTGACTCCTACTAAGAGGTCTGTGGGAGCGATGCTATCTTATCGCCATGGCAGCAGCCAGTCTGCCTAGTGACAGCAGGTAGCCTGTCTGAGGCGATTAATATTGTGTATATTAGTGTTGGCTGAGTGGCCAAGGAGGGCACCAACCCATACCCTTATCCCCCATCTGACCAGCTCCACAGGAACAATCCGACACTCAAATGGCCACTCAGTCACTCAGTCAGGACCTCCATGTCTCTCTCTGCGACATCCTCTCACTGTCTGTCCGGTTTAATATCAAACCCACAGACCTCACGGACCACTCACGACTTGTCAGCCATGAAGTGGCAACTAGAGTGCCAATAGACTAGCTTATGACTGTAGTCTATGACTGGCCAGGGATCACTCACGTCTGTTATATTATGCCGTTAGTGCCCACAACACTAGGGCTCCATGTTAAGTCTATGGCTGGCTGGCATGGAGATATTCTGGCCTCGCATGGCTAGGCTGGTGTGCATACTATCACACACTGCCGATCCGATGTGACATTCCAGCCCAAACACTTAAGAGCCATTGCATATTTATGAAGATTGTATTTATGAGGTAAGAGAGAGAGGCTGGCTAGCTGGATCCCCCAGGGTAGGCCCAACAATGTGCCCCAGTTACAGCCTGATGGCGAAGTAATAATAATATAATAATAATATGCCATTTAGCAGACGCTATTTTATCCAAAGCGACTTACAGTCATGCGTGCATACTGTAAGTATGCGTGCATACTGTAGTGGCAACAGTGTGGAGGATAACAGAGCATGATCACTGCCTAAGGGGAGAGAAGAAGGAGAGGAGGAGGAGAGGAGAGGAGGAAGAGAGCAGAGGACAGAGTAGCATAGAGTCCTATTGGGACTGGGAATTCAAAGCTGTCAGCCAGCATTGTTAGGTAATGTACTTTCCAATTTAGGGAGGTCTCTATGCTGCCTTGGGACTGACTTTCTGCTTGTGTAATGGCAAAAGTTTATTTGAGACTGTCCACGGCCAGGACTAAAGGAGAAGGACTAAAGGAACTGGGCTCTTTAGAAGGTTGAAAGAAAGTTAAACAAGAATCCATTCTGCATGGTAGTTCCAGTAACAATGCTCTAGGAACCAGGAGAGCACTGAGAAAATATATTATATGTAACAGTACAGCACTATTTTAGGTTTGTAGGTATATATCTACTAAAGTAACAATGGCTTCATGTGAATTGATGACGGTACCTAGTTATTTTCTCTAACAATGAAGGAAAATTCTTCCTGCAGAGATGAGACAGGCTGATAGACCCTCCTTAAGAGTCCAATGGCGAGTGGTGATAAAAGGAAATGCAATATGATCATGTCAAACTTCTCTAACAGAAGATTACTCAGCCAGCTAAGGGCGGCTAAGCTAAAGCCAGTCTCTTATCTCTGTTTCCTAAGGAGCACGCAAATCCCCAATCCTCCATTAAAATGATTAAATATGGGCTTTGGTTAGCTTCTTGAGCTGGTGGTTGGGGCTCCGGGGTGAAGTTTCCCCTCGGTACAGATATAGGATCAGTAGAAGAAGAATATATAGGATCAGTAGAAGAAGAATATAATGGCTCAACACAGACAGAAGTGTGTAATCTCGCAGTGTGTAAGCCATAATCTAAAAGTTTTGTCTGTGAAGAGAGGCTGATGTGAGTGAGCGCAAGAAAAGGTAGAGCCCTCTCTGTCCATCCAGTATTATATCTCAACACAATCTCTAATGTAATACAATCTCTCTCTTATAATCCAATACTGGATGCTGAATATACTGGATGCCGAAGTTCCCAGGAGGATCGTAGAGAGAGAGAGTCTGAGTAATGGAAAAAATGTATCTTCCCAATTAGGAGAAAAAAAACAATTTGCATACCAATGAATAATTGCCATTTCAAGCCCATTTAAGTCGAAGGTAATTGCCATATGAAGCAAACAAAACCATATTGCTGAAGATCTGCTGGTGATTGACTTGACATGGTTTTGTAGGCGGTAGAATTGACTGAATACAAATGTACTCAATTTCAATGAAGTATGGAGAAATACCACCAGAACCCAGAAATGGAGCCATTAATCATGGGCTCCTAAAATACCAAAATGCAAGGCTACAGCTACAACTTGAAGGCTAGCATCAGTCAAACGTCATATTCATCTCCCGCTCGTACCATAGAGCTGGGAAAGTATGAGATATACAGGGTGATTAAAAGCATGCAGTGAATAGGTCTGGTTCCACGATATGGCAAACAAGGCAATGGTAGGGCACTATGTCTTCCTTTGTGAGAAGCAAGATGCACAATATTACACAGCCTTAACCCGAACCCTTTAAAATGTCACATGCCATCTGAATGATTGTTTTGATACGATCTAAAAGCACAGCAGCAGACCTCGGGGGAAAGTAACTTGGAATGGTAGTCGCTGAAACGTAGGCTAAATATCCCAAGTGATGCTTTTAAGGTTAGTGTACTGACAGGTTCGACCTAGAGCTTGAGAGCCAACCTTGAAAAGCATGGTCCTATTCATTAGGCACCAAACAAAAGAAAACCAGCTGGCACAGGGAGAGAGACTACCTGGACTTGTCCAATAAGGAACACTCATTTTCCGTTGCAAAATGTTTTAAAACCATTGCATGCCCTAATAAATACGACCAACATCTGTCCTGTATAATAATTTAGAGCAGAGTTCCCCTTGGCACTTAGCAGGAAACAGATGAAGACGAAGACGAAGAAACTAACGGATTATAGAGACAGAATCAGAATGCTTACATGAACAGCTAGGGAGAGCAATCCAAACGGAGCATGACAAATTCCCCATCACACCACATTAGGCTAAACATGATGACAGCCACATCTATGATGATATGACAGATTATCTCAAACAAACAAGCTAATTTTACTACCCTTTTCTCATTTTTAAGATCCAAAAAGAATAAATCAAATCCCACTGGCACATAGTCATGTGGATTCTTGCAAGCCACAGCATTTCCATGTGTTTGCAATGGAAATAGAAAAGCACAATGGACATGCAAATTAACCAATTCAAATGCAAACAAACCGTGAACCTCTTATCAAGGTTGTGACATTGCATTGAGTACACAAACCTGGTCTCAGATCATTTCGTATTATTATGTATGTAAACCAAAACATAATTTTCACTCCATTTAGAATGATATGTTACATTTGGTATGGTTACATAAAGCAGATGGTTACTTAAAGTAAAAAATGAAAAGAGGGTGGTTGGTCACGGTGGATGGGTGGGCGTATATTGCAAACGTCTAGCAACCCAAAGGTTGCGATTTCAAATCTCATCAAGGACAACTTTAGCATTTGAGCTAATTAGAAACTTTTCAACGACTTACTACTTTTTAGCTACTTTGCATCTACTTAGCATGTTAGCTAACCCTCCCACTAACCTTAACCCTTTAACCTAACTCCTAAACTTAACCCTAACCCCTAGCTAACATTAGCCAGCTAGAAATCGTAACATATCATACGGTTTGCAGATTCGTAACATATTTTACATTTTGCAAATCCGTAACATATTGGAAATAACATATAATATGAATTGTAATTTGTAACATATAATACGAAATGGGTGATGGACATTCACAAATTAATACATACCATACAAAACGTAACGGATTTACTTACAGAATAATACGAAATGCTCTGAGGCCAGATTGAGTACACAGTAAATGAACTACACAGACTGAATACAGATGACTAGTAGGCACTAGGTAGATTAAATTACATGTAATTCTATGGTGTTATTATTGATACTATTTGTCCTATATGAGCTTTGTGAATGAACAGGATATCTGGAATCCCTATATAGTGCACTACATTTGACCATAGCACTGCACTGTGTAGGGAATAGGGTGCCATTTGGGATGCATCCTATAACTGGGCAGGCAGAGTGCTATTGATGCAGTATGTACAGGATATGTGTGTGTGATGGGATGAGGGGTCCTTGGGGAGCAACTCAGGAGATAGGAACATGATGTTTATTCTGGGATGGAACCAGGAAGCGGATGTGGATCCAATACCTCATCCAGCCCTACAAATCAATACAGGCATCTGCTGACTGCGCTGCTCCATAGGGCTCTGGACAAAAGTAGTGCACTATATAGGGAATAGGGTGCCATTTGGGATGCAGCCCATGTACTATGTCTCAATGGTTTCCTTTCTACAGAAAATAGGAGATCTAGGAGTCAGGATGTTATGTGCCAGGAATCAATTCACAGTTTCACACCACTATAACTGAGACCACTGTCCGTGTCAGTGAGGGCAGGGAGAATGTAGCAAAATGTATTTCTGCAGACCTGTGTTTGCTTAGACTGGTCTCAGATTGGTTTGTGCTGTTTTGCCAACCCTATATGGGATGCGTGACAATGACCAGGGACCGGGCTAGTTTCTTGCTAGCCTCTCTCAGTTCATCTACCTGAGGAGAGACAATGCTGGTCTTATGGTGTCATAATTCACACATGCCTTTAAATGTGTGTCCTATAAACCCTTTCTGAATGGTTTTCTGTAATTAGCCAACTTTGAGGCTTCAGGTGAGACCTAGGCTAACTGCCGCTGAAGACCACAGAGCTAAGGCGCTGCAACGTCAGTTAAAGGTGCAATATGCAGAAATGGCTCTGCCATTTCCTGGTTTAAAACATTATGATAGTTAATTGGGCCCAATTTGGACATTTTCACTTAGGCGTGTACTCACTTTTGTTGCCAGCGGTTTAGACATTAATGGCTGTCTGTTGAGTTATGTTGAGGGGACAGCAAATTTACACTGTTATACAAGCTGTACACTCACTACTTTACATTGTAGCAAAGTGTCATTTCTTCAGTGTTGTCACATGAAAAGATATACTCAAATATTTAAAAAAATGTGAGGGGTGTACTCACTTTTGTGAGATACTGTACAACTTCTTAGACTTGTTTTCAATGAGATTGACAGATCTATAACTCACATTTCTAAGTGATTTTGGTCAGGTCGCCCAAAAAGTTACATATTGCAGCTTTAAAAGAGAATCCGCAACATGAACTGATGGAGCCACACATACCTCTCTCTCAGTGAAGGGAGTTGGAGTGCAGTTAGACAGTTGAAGGGTAACCACAAAACAATCACACTATGGTATTCCAATTTGAAAAGCAATGAGGGATTGCACTCTGAACTTTCAGTAACATATAGCAATTGACAAACCAACAACTACACTGCTGAATCACTGCTCTGACGTGCAACATCAATCAATAGTGTCTGTACAGCAGCAGCTATACACTGGGCTCTAACAGCCAAACGACTGCATCCAGTCAATGACTCATGCTCCTTCAGCACAGCAGAGAAACAGACAGAGTCTATATCACCTCTTCATGACTGTATGACAGGTATTTGAAGTAAAACCTGTACACTGATTGGCTCTAGCTCTGATACAGGGTCAGATGCTGTTCTACCCCTCTAATGGTTAAGGTTAGGATTGGGTGTGCGACAATCTGTTTCCAGACCTGTGATTAGTGTCAACTAATGTGTGTGTGTGTGTGGTCACGATACCAGAATTTTTATTTCAATACCGATACCAGGTTTAGTGTCACGATACTCGATACCATCGCGATACTCAATACCAAAACGATACCACAAAAAAACGAGAAGGCATATTAGCCAAAGTCACAGAATGGCACTTGATCCAGACAGATAAGCTACTGCTCTGTTCAATCGTTGGGCATCTTTGAGTTCGATATCATTACATTTGAACATTTTTATGTCAATTATTTTGAGACAGCCATGTAGGCATTAATTGATCAATGATACAATCAATTTGACTTTGTTTTTACCAATCTAACTACAAAACAACATTTAGTTGAATGGTAAATCTGTATTAAAGAGAACATATTTTATTGTACTGATTAACAACATTTGCATAGAAGAAGAAATCACTTATTTTCGAAAAGTGTGCACTGTCTCTTTAAGAAAATAATGATTATTTTGCAAGGCAGAATGTGGCTGTGGAATCTAGTGGAAACCAGACTGGAAGCAAAGGAAGATGAAGAAGTGAATGAGTTTTTGGTGGCGAGGGACACGAAGTGACCTAATACAGTTTTTAGTGCCAGTCAGCTTTGTAATTAGCATATTTTGCGTTATGGTTGGCGTATTATCACAAACAAAGTGCTATTGTAGTGAATTCAGCTCTAAGCTAGCAAGGAAAGTTAGCCTACAATTAAAGCTGGAAGCTACCGGTTTCGTCTTGCATTGTGAAAGTGTTCTAGTCTGTATGGACATTGTTTTGTGAATAGGAATGAACAGTTTCAACATTTCTACATGCCGTGTTGCATACAGACTTGGGCCCGGTTTCCCGATAGCGATGGAACTTAAGGCATCCGCATGGTTCCCATATGAAACAGTTTGTGCATATATTATGATGACATTTTGTGACGTTATTGTTCGTTTTGGCCTTCGGCAAAGTTTTTTTTCAGCTGTTCATGTGCCGAACAGAAGCGTGGGGAAGCCTTTATGCCCTGTTTACTGGACTGAGAGCATAGGATAAGCATAGGATAGGGTTTCACAACGCAAGACAAGATGGAGGAGAGCCAATTCTCAGAGATCTGATTTATTTTGGAGATTGCAAAATATGACCTTTTCATTCAAGACAGGATAAAAATATAGATACCACAGTAGCTAGCAATGGGACAAGATTGTAACTACCAATTGGATATCACGAAATTGTGGAGAAAAAGGGGTAAAAAATGCTGTCATCTCGGTTTTCATTTGAAGCATCTTTTTATACGTTGCTTGCTTGTATTAATTGCAAAGACAATGGCACTTTGTATTTGTAGTCAACTTTGTTCTGAAGTTATCAGTGGTCACAGAGATACAGATAAACCATGTGAATCTATGTTTAGGAGATCTTCTGTGTATAAAGCGGAGGGCAAAAAGCCTCTAACCACACACTTAGCTGTTCTACGAGTGCTGTGACGCAGGCGTTTGATTGCGAGAGTTTTCAAGTGCAACGTTAATAACTATGGTTTTGGGAAATAGCTCGGGGACTTATTGATGCTCCTACAAAGGTTCTAACGATGAACTTAACCTTAAGATGCTTTTGGGAAACCGGGCCCTGATCAATCCTCTCAATCACATGAGCCACATTTGACAGAAGTACCGAATGTAACAAAAACTTTTAGAGTCCTAAAGTTTCGGTATACTGTGCAAAACTACTGTGTGTGTGAGACCCCTGTTGCCATACATTTGCCCTCTGTCTTACCCTGACATCGGTGGCGTCCCCATGGCGGATGTTGCTGGCCCATGTGCTATGCTCGCTATTGCTCTCGAAGTGATGGAAGACCTTCAGGACCCTGTCAGGAGCCCCGGGAGCCCGCTCCGTGGCCGTGGCCGTGCCCGCGCTGAGGCGCGACTTGGCCCCCCCAGCCAGGGCGTGGTTGAGGTTGGGGTCCAGGTAAGCTGTCGCCATGCCTTTGCTGTGCGCTAGGTGTCTGTCATATTCTGTTAGTGGAGAGAGAGAGAGAGAGAAAACAAACATATAATTAGAATTCCTGCTTTACTCGTATAAGGAGATTCAAAATGGCCGACAGTGCTCCCATTATGGCGTCGTTGAATTTAATGGGGATGCCCATTCTACTGATACTAATTCTATGGAAACAACACTGGGTGACAATGGAGTAGAAACATCACAAATCGTCCCTGAAGTATAAACATGGGAAGTCAACATTGTGTCTTGAGAACCTTGATTATAACAACTTTTTGGAATCTGAAGAACATTCTGAGAGCAGCAACGGGCAGTGGGCATAACATACTTCCTCACCGTTCAATGAGCCCCTGACAATGATTTCTTCATGAATAAATTATGCGGAGCGGTGAAAAATGTATCAGCAAGTTGGAGGTGTGAAAAGGGTTCTCATCCATATTGCACGATGCAGCAAGGTGTGACAACATGTAACACATCAGTCTTTCCTTCCTTCGCAAATGGAAAAGTGGCAAAGGAATCTAGGGAAAACATTAACAGCTACTTGGCCCACCACGTCTCACTATAATCTCAATGGTGTATCTGGAAGGGTGAATGCATCTGGAATTATATTATACAAAGAGCAATCTGTGATGGTCAGTCAAACATCTAGGCTCCTGATAGAATGCAGGCTAACAACTAGTGTAGAACTGTTGGGTGAATATACTATAACTAGTGTGGGGGCTGTTGGGTGAATATACTATAACTAGTGTGGGGGCTGTTGGGTGAATATACTATAACTAGTGTGGGGGCTGTTGGGTGAATATACTATAACTAGTGTGGATATGTTGGGTGAATATACTATAACTAGTGTGGGGGCTGTTGAGTGAATATACTATAACTAGTGTGGGGGCTGTTGGGTGAATATACTATAACTAGTGTAGAACTGTTGGGTGAATATACTATAACTAGTGTGGGGGCTGTTGGGTGAATATACTATAACTAGTGTGGATATGTTGGGTGAATATACTATAACTAGTGTGGGGGGCTGTTGAGTGAATATACTATAACTAGTGTGGGGGGCTGTTGGGTGAATATACTATAACTAGTGTGGGGGCTGTTGGGTGAATATACTATAACTAGTGTGGGAGCTGTTGAGTGAATATACTATAACTAGTGTGGATATGTTGGGTGAATATACTATAACTAGTGTGGGGGCTGTTGAGTGAATATACTATAACTAGTGTGGGGGCTGTTGGGTGAATATACTATAACTAGTGTGGGGGCTGTTGGGTGAATATACTATAACTAGTGTGGGGGCTGTTGGGTGAATATACTATAACTAGTGTGGGGGCTGTTGGGTGAATATACTATAACTAGTGTGGGGGCTGTTGGGTGAATATACTATAACTAGTGTGGGGGCTGTTGGGTTATTAACTATGTGGGGGCTTTGGGAATATACTATAACTAGTGTGGGGGCTGTTGGGTGAATATACTATAACTAGTGTGGGGGCTGTTTAGTGAATATACTATAACTAGTGTGGGGGCTGTTGGGTGAATATACTATAACTAGTGTAGAACTGTTGGGTGAATATACTATAACTAGTGTAGAACTGTTGTGTGAATATACTATAACTAGTGTAGAACTGTTGGGTGAATATACTATAACTAGTGTGGATATGTTGGGTGAATATACTATAACTAGTGTGGGGGCTGTTGGGTGAATATACTATAACTACTGTGGATCTGTTGGGTGAATATACTATAACTAGTGTGGGGGCTGTTGGGTGAATATACTATAACTAGTGTGGGAGCTGTTGAGTGAATATACTATAACTAGTGTGGGGGCTGTTGAGTGAATATACTATAACTAGTGTGGGAGCTGTTGAGTGAATATACTATAACTAGTGTGGGGGCTGTTGGGTGAATATACTATAACTAGTGTAGAACTGTTGGGTGAATATACTATAACTAGTGTGGGGGCTGTTGGGTGAATATACTATAACTAGTTGTAGAACTGTTGGGTGAATATACTATAACTAGTGTAGAACTGTTGTGTGAATATACTATAACTAGTGTGGGAGCTGTTGGGTGAATATACTATAACTAGTGTAGAACTGTTGGGTGAATATACTATAACTAGTGTGGGAGCTGTTGGGTGAATATACTATAACTAGTGTGGGAGCTGTTGGGTGAATATACTATAACTAGTGTGGGGGCTGTTGGGTGAATATACTATAACTAGTGTAGAACTGTTGGGTGAATATACTATAACTAGTGTGGATATGTTGGGTGAATATACTATAACTAGTGTGGATATGTTGGGTGAATATACTATAACTAGTGTGGATATGTTGGGTGAATATACTATAAACTAGTGTTGGGGGCTGTTTGGGTGAATATACTATACTAGTGTGGGAGCTGTTGGGTGAATATACTATAACTAGTGTAGAACTGTTGGGTGAATATACTATAACTAGTGTGGGGGCTGTTGGGTGAATATACTATAACTAGTGTAGAACTGTTGGGTGAATATACTATAACTAGTGTAGAACTGTTGGGTGAATATACTATAACTAGTGTAGAACTGTTGGGTGAATATACTATAACTAGTGTAGAACTGTTGGGTGAATATACTATAACTAGTGTAGAACTGTTTGGGTGAATATACTATAACTAGGTAGAACTGTTGGGTGAATATACTATAACTAGTGTAGAACTGTTGGGTGAATATACTATAACTAGTGTAGAACTGTTGGGTGAATATACTATAACTAGTGTAGAACTGTTGGTGAATATCTTAAACTAGTGTAGAACTGTTGGGTGAATATACTATAACTAGTGTAGAACTGTTGGGTGAATATACTATAACTAGTGTAGAACTGTTGGGTGATATACTATAACTAGTGGTAGAACTGTTGGGGGGAATATACTAAAACTAGTGTAGAACTGTTGGGTGAATATCTATAACTAGTGTGGAGCTGTTGGGTGATATACTATAACTAGTGTGAACTGTTGGTGAATATACTATAACTAGTGTGGGGGGCTGTTGGGTGAATATACTATAACTAGTGTAGACTGTTGGGTGAATATACTATAACTAGTGTGGGGCTGTTGGGTGAAATATACTATAACTATGTAGAACTGTTGGGTGATATACTAACTCTGTGGGGCTGTTGGGTGAATATACTATAACTAGTGTAGAACTGTTGGTGAATATACTATAACTAGTGTAGAATGTTTGGGTAATATACTATAACTAGTGTGGGGGCTGTTGGGTGAATATACTATAACTAGTGGGGGCTGTTGGGTGAATATACTATAACTAGTGTGGGGGCTGTTGGGTGAATATATAAACTAGGTGGGGGCTGTTGGGTGAATATACTATAACTAGTGTGGGGGCTGTTGGGTGAATATACTATAACTAGTGTGGGAGCTGTTGGGTTTGAATATACTAAACTAGTGTAGAACGTTTGGTAATATACATAACTATTGTGGGCGCTGTTGGGTGACTATAACTATACTATGTAGAACTGTTTGGTGAATATACTATAACTAGTGTGATATGTTGGGTAAATATACTATAACTAGTGTAAACTGTTGTGAATATCTAAACTAGTGTAGAATCTGTTGTGTGAATTCTATAACTATTTGTCAGAACTGTTGGGTGAATATACTATAACTGTGTAGAACTGTTGGGTGAATATCCTATAACTAGTGTGGATATGTTGGGTGAATATACTATAACTAGTGTGGATATGTTGGGTGAATATACTACATGCATTCATTCAGCTTGTGTCAGCAGCACTGTTCCCTCTATGTGGCTGGAAAAGCCCAAAATAACCTCCCCTTGTAGAAGTTAGAGTGGTTGCATCCCAAACAGCACCCTTTTGCATGTCGCACTACTTTTGATCAGGGCCCATAGGGCTATGGCCAAAAGTAGTGCACTATATAGGGAATAGGGTTCCATTTCGGATGCACACAGTGACTAAGCACAGAAAATGATGGAAAACAGGCTACTTTAACTGTATTTGGCCTACAATGAAATGCCACAAATATGGGGTTTAGCTTGTGAGCTTTAAAGACATGGTCTGGAGAATTAAAAGACGTGTTCCAAAAACACTTAACAACATAACTGTAATGGATACAAGGCTTGGCAGCAGTGCAGTCAATTTGAGAACAGAGCATTGCAACACAGCGCTGGCTACAGTACGAACTCAAGGTTAAAGCAGGGGCGCCTAAAGTGCACTGCTTACATTTTTTCATACAGGCGTACACAGAGCCAATGGCTCTAGTCAACAGCAAGTCAGAGACAGGCAGTGTGCACTGCAGTGCTGACTGAAACTGCTCAAACTGCTCTTTGTAATCAGTGAATCTCCCGGTCTGAGCTGGGGTCTGGCCCGTGGCTTCAGCCGGGGTAAACACACACACACGCATGGCTGGGCTGTCAGATGCCCGGCCAGTATCAAATCAACACACATGCCAAGCTGTGCAGCTCTCTCCAGAGGGGCCAGGGTGTGTGTGCATGTGTGCACTATGGGGCATCACTACTACATTCCTGTTGGTCATCTGGGAGCCCTGGGCCCTGCTGGCAAGTGTGTTCAGTTTGTCCATGTTATTAACAGACAGATTAGATGTATGTCTACAACCAGTGAACAGGAGGACAGAACACACCCCTGTGGTGAGGCGCCGCACCACGGGGAGAGACCAGTATGGTAACACACGCATTCAGCTGCACACACAGAGGATGGTGGTTAGCGCTGGGGTTTTTGCTTGCCAGAAGATGTTTAAACTGCCACCTTGGTCTGACCATTAGCTGGCCTAAAATAGAAGTGTCTCTCCAGATGGGTCCACCTGCACTGCATGCACTCAGTCACACATGGACTAATACACACACACACACACACACACAGTGAAAATAAACAGTCGACCGCTGTGTCCAGCCGCTAATATACAGTGCAATAGTGATGCCAAATACCCCAGCCAGTTTAATCACATCAAATCAAATT